AGTTCATATTTTCTCTCTTTATCAAAATCCATATTGGATTCAACATATCTTTCCAGCGGGTTTCTCATCCCTTACGCATCAAACCCCAAGAGATGTCGTCTTCGCTTTCAAACATGCATATCAAAGGTATCTTTGAATGCACCACGTCCACCCTCAAGGGCAGCTTCTTTAGCAAATCGATCCGCCACTGTATTCCATTCCCTAGGAATACGCCAGAATTTCACACGCATCTGATCACGATCCGCCCGCTCAATCTCCCCGAGTAGATAAAGCCAAAGGTCCTGATTAGCAACCAGCGCACCAGTCCGTGTCGCCCAACCATTCCGTAGCCACCCCCTCACCCAATCTGTGATACCGTTGACCACATATTCGGAATCAGTCGCAATAACGATGTCAGTCTCCTCCGCGTACCACCATTGGAATCGCAGTGCAGCAAGAACGGCACGTAGCTCAGCGCGATTGCTGGTTTGAGGGTACTCCCGGCCAGTGGGTCCCTCTAGCTCGAGGGGAAAACTGATCTGGCCTTTCACTCCGGGGGTGCAGGGTCTGAAAACGAAGGAGCAACCAGCTCGTGGGCTCGACTGGCCATTGGATAAGCATGCACCATCCGTATAAATGAGAAATTGAGTACGGTTGTTCTCTCAACGGATAAACTCGTAAATTTGCAGTATCTCCTTGCGCGAAATGCCAGGTGCGAATAGTGTCTGAGGCCTATCGCTTTCTGGACATGGAGGATAGATAGTTCACAATTCAACTCTTAGTACAGAGTACTCCGTACTATACTTCTAGTAGTAAAAGATCATTGCAGGATCCTATACATCATAATATATGCTTTTTAGCTTTATACTGCACATTTCAAGGCCCTTTGGCCATGACTTCCCCAAATTCCAAGTGCTTTTGACTTAATATGCCTTACTTCCATTATATATTTCAGTGTTGATCTCATAAGCATTTGAGAATTTGACATTTCCATCACAGTGAATGTTGATATCTGAATCCGTCACATCACGAATTTCTCTAGGTATAATTATTTTTTTCATGTAATATGTAATTATAGTCCTGGAGCTATTCAGGTGTAGACAATCCTAGTCCGGATAGTGGTCTATACGGTGGTATTTCCCTACTCACGTCCTTTACATTACTACATTTCACCTCATTTATTCCGGCAAATATTCACCGTTAGGATGGCTCTACCATTTTACCTTGGACAACCTTCGAAGAGGAAAGTAAACTGTCACAACATTACAAAGCATCTCCAATATTGTATTTGATCCGTTGTCTCTTCCAGCCCTCTGGGCAGGAAGCGCCCAGCTCTTTATCTCGCTCGTCAGGAGGTTTACACAAGTTGATGAACCGATTCGCCATCAGAGCTAATTGCTGGGCCTCAACTAGTGCATGGTGATTGCACAACCCGACAGATGGTGATGCTCCCCAAAGAACAAGGGGAACACCACGGACAGATTGAGAGGAAATGGCTGCCTTTCGAAGCAGGTTTTTCCGAGTATCTCTCTCATGTTCACACAGTACTCCTGGAGAAGCAAACATATATTCTGGTCTCTAGGGAGAATGTCGGAAAAAACTTCATCCTCAAGTAAATCTCTCAAGGATACTGTTGGTCGAAACACCGTGACGCCTAGGACAGGAACATGGTTCTCTTGGACATACCCATTTCTCTGAGTCTTTTGACGCCTCCCTTTGCATCAAGGGTTCCATCCTGCGAGAAGCTTCCCCTGACCTTCTGTTCGCGCGCCTTTTGTGGCAGGGAGCTGGCAAGGTGTGCGTCGCTAATAATGGAGTAGAATGTATCTATTGTGTGGTGCTGTCATGATTTTCCTCACTGTGACCATGTAAAATAGCCAAGAGTCGCCATTAGGAAAGAGGTCCCCTCCTAGCCACCGCAAGCGAGCCAATACTCTAGTGATTGGCTCGAATTTCATCCAGTCGTCTTTGAACAACCTGGGACACGCGCAAGATGATATTGCTCTTTTGGTTTAGCTTTTTCCAGGGTTATTTCGTGGATGCCATGTCATTTGGTCGTCGGGACCTTAAGCACTTTCTAGCATTAGTACTCGAGGTCCCAGATAGAACCGTCCGCCCGTTAGACAAGCAGACAATCCGCACTGTAGGCCCTTCGGCAAAAGTAGTATACCCCGTTATCCGGCCAGAATTTGATTTCATAGTCCTCGAAGGCAATCTCCATTTTACTAAAGCCCGGGGGCTCAGCAAACACAATCTTTTTTTTTCCGGGCCCGTCGTGTTCCCGACGCTCATTTCATCCTGTCTAAGTGGATTTTCTATGGTAGGTTGAGACACTTTCCCCAAATAGTAATAGGATAATTAGACCATACCTCCCTGTCATTGTTTGTATACCGACACCAGTAATAGCCTCAGCAAACCTTGAAAATAATTTCGTGTGATATCCTAATATTGCTCGTCCAATACCATAACGTCCCACCATCGAACCATCTCGATCCATATTCCAGTGATTGAAGTATAGACGCCATCTTGGAGAACATCCCACCAAAGTCTAAAGGTAAAATTCATCCCCATCATTAGCCATGCCGTAGACAACTCAGACATCATTGTGAAGGGTTTTTGGTTATTCTAACGAGGGAAAAGAGGGGAAAAGAGAGGAAAAGAAAAAGAGAAGCACCTCTCTCAGGGCTCTGTGGTCTTGGTGAACGAGACCTAGAAGAAAATGGATGGTTAGAAGAGTACTGCTAGACATAGTCTATAAAAACATACCCCTGTACTTGAGGACTCGCGCCTCTGCAGCGATCACCATGCCCCGCTTCTTTCTTGGACTCGACGATAACCAGGTTGATCGCCTTTTCTATCATCACACGGGTTCCCCTGTACCAGAGGTTGTGTCTGTAAGCTAGTCGGCCTATGCGATCCAGCACGCATATACTTTCATAACTTGTCGGAAGCCCTGTTCAATGCTGGACTCAGGTAAGATGGCTTTGTTCGTCTTGCTTTGCTGAGGCGTATCGCACTCAATAAACAAGCAGGCCCCATGTCTTTGTTTTGAATATTTCTCAAGATGACATTGGCTTCTGATAGGGCGTTGCGGAGAATTTGGCTTCTCGCTTGACTGCGTGATTGGCGCTAGCAGGCCACTAGAAGGAGAATATTTGGGCCCAGACATGGTCTTCTCGGGCTTCGCAACATCATGGCTGAAGGGTGCCAAGGTACAGCTCAATCAAGTCATTTTGATCGTTCTATATGTGTAGTTATAGTCAGTATTTTAATCAAGAGATTTTGTGGAAACAGACTCACGGGGTGCTCTCGTGGAGTGTTGTATCCTGTCTATAGGCGTGGTACCAAGTCGATTCGGGAATGGAATCCTCGATATCGAAGCACCATTCAGAGTCGGTCGGGCAGTATCTTTGTCTCGATGCAGTTATCCATCCTGTTTCGCGGCGCGATCAGGAGAGCGGCAGTAAGAATTATGCCATCTAATTGCGTGATGCCATCGGCGTAGGATGTTCGGAATGGACCAAATGTCTTCATCGCAAAGAACGCATTGCTACTAGTCCTATTCCGTAGGTGGCCTTCGTCGGGCGTCCGCCATGGCACAAATGGGATGCCGATCTTGTGAGATGAACATGAAGCTATACGGAACGAGTGATTAGTTACGCAAGTCATGTAAAGTCATTGAATGTTGAATCTCGATCAAACTTACTAACTTGTGTCATCAACCACCTTGTAATCTCTCGCAGTCCTCCTGGACCACGATATTTGGTTTATTGCGGTGCGAGTCGACTCTTTGACTTCCACAATTAGAAGGCCAGCCATCTACTGTCACCTTATTTTCCCGAAGGTTATCGAGCGCTAGACGAAATCCTTTCTCCGAGTCCCCCTGTTGGCGGGAAAGGTCATCTAGCTCGACTGTCTGGTAAAGAGAAAGTAGAGCTGGCGGCTTTGCGTAAGCTCAAGCTTATCAAGTTCCCCTGTAAAGAATAGAGGTTTTCCAAACGCCGGAGGGAGCTGATAGAAGTCCCCTGCCAGGATGACGTTTAGCCCTCCAAATGGTGAGTCTAGCCGATGGATAAAGATTTCGCGGCACCGCTGATCTTCATTGTCCATTCAGATCGGAAAGCTCCAGGGTATGAGCCGGAAAGCGGTGGTGTAGGTGATAGGGATCGCGACAGATCCGAATTTATAGAGTAATATTGTGTAGTCCTACAGTCGGACTATGTAGTGACTAGGATATCGATGATGGACCCATTTCCCGGGACGAGTAGGCACTATTTGTGGTATCCTCGACACAGATACTCGTCTTTGTCACTAAGAAGTGATAGTCGGGCCTTGTTGATGAGTGTGGAGAGTGAGTACCTATACAGAATGTTAGCAGTCATTTTGTTTTAAAAGAGAATGTAAGACCTAAGAGAAAGTGACCGTGTCTTACAGTAAATAGAGAGTCTAATAAGGGAGAAAAAGGAGTTAGGAGAGACAAAGGTAAGTGTGACAGAAGAAAGGAGAAGTACGAAGGAAGCAGGAGTGAAGGAAGACGATGTTGAAAGGAAGATAAAAGAGAGCGAGCCTCAGGTTACTTCTCCCATGCATAAATATACCGTAAGTTTGTCTTATGGGTTGATTTAAATGGCAACATGAAGTCTCTGATATATGGAGTCAGTCACAAATCCGGTCCACGGAGGAACCTTGGAAGATATACTAGATAGCTATGAGCTAAGGATGGCTAGGAGATGCACAAACTGAAGTCCCTGGCGAAATCGCCTATCCGATAAACGGCTGTATCTGCTATAAGGGCGATTAGTGCAGAATTATGGTAGAAGGCTGGAATATTCAGATATCACCAAATGTGAGTGAGTACAGGCTATCTTTGATGTGCAAATTGGTGTAATACTTGCCTAGAGATATTACCAGGACCGGGGAAAAGCAATTTTTGCAACGTAGATTCAGCTCAATATCCTACATGTGTTCAAGGGCAGAAAGTACTTGCATATGGAGACAAGTGTGAAAATATCCACTTTCGTCTACTCCTCTTCAATCTCTCCTTCCTCGCTGCCAGAGTGAATGGCCTTCTCATCCTTCTTCGCTTCCTTGGGTTCTTCTTCCGGGATTGCAGAGGGTTCCCGTCGGGGCGCTCTCGGGCCCTTACTGCGCTCTGGCTCACGGCTGTCACGTCGGTACCGCTTAATAGAGCGGCTAGCCACACTCTCGGCATCACTGTCACGTCGGCGTCGACGGTCACCGCTAGCCACGCTGCGGGTATCAACACCACCACCATAATCAAGTTCATCTCGACCTCCACGGGGGTCACCACGAGTGCGGTACAGGCGCTCGCGCTCGTCTTCGCGTCGGTCTGGGTCTCTCATGCGGGGACGGTCAAAGTCTCGGCTACGATAACGGTCTCCATCGCGACGGTCACGAGATGGGGAGATGCCGCTGACCTTGCGGTAGGTTCGTTCGCGATCAGCCTGTGCCTTGCGACGGTCTGCTTCGTATGCATCCATTTCCGGGGTGCGATTGCCCTGGCCACTGGGGCCTCGTCGTTCTCCACGTCCGCCACGGTATTCACGGTCGCCACGGTCGTAATCCCGCCGACCTCCACGGGTCTGAGCGTATGCTTCGCGATCCTTCTCTGCATCCTCGTCTCTTTCTTTCAAGCGGCGAATGGCTTTTTCAAAGGCAGACTCCCGAAGCTCATCGGACTCCAGGGCCTTGTATTCTTCGTATTTCTCAAGACGAGGTTGAACTTCAGCCCAGGTGTCGGTGACCCGGACAGGCGGCTCCAGGCGCTTGATGCGAGAACGCAGTGCGTCCACGGCGCGACGCTGTTGACGATCGGCGGCATGCTTCTCATCCTCTGTGCGACGGATCGCCTTTTCTTGGATACGCTTGAAAATGAGGTTGAGGATATCAGTGTCGATCTGGGAGGTGCGGCGGTCGGCGGACATGATAGAATTGAATTCATCGAATGTTGTGTCAGCCGTAACTTCATATCGTTTGTCCTAGAATCAGTCCGTTAGTATAGATGATCAACGATTCAGTTCAATCCGAAATAACTTACATCCAGAACATCGAGCACATCGTTCCGAGGTCCACGCAAAGCGCGCTCTTCTTCTTCCACCATATCCCAGAACAAATCAAGAGGGGTTGAGCCAAGCTGGCCCAGGATGCCGTGGTATCTGGGGTCATCCTTGATGAGCGGGCAGATATTCATCCACTTGGCACCCGCCTTGATCTTACCTTGAGCTCTGAGCTCATTGAGGAGGGCCACAAACTGCTCTCGGTTCTTGCGCTCTTTTCTAAACCTGGCGGCCTTGCGCTGCTGGCGAGCATCGTTGAAAGCCCGCTCTAGGGACTTGATATGATTTTCAAAGGCAGTCAGAATGTCACACTTGCTCAGAGATTTGAACTTATCATCGCTTTGGAACTTGCTGTCAGACTGAATGATAGCTTGAGCCTCAGACCAACGCGTGTATGGCTCCAGGTTAAGCGAGCCCAAGATGGTCGTCAACTCATCCATAGCGGCCTTGTGCGTGACAGCCTCTTGCTCGGTGTGAGCCTTTTTGAGTTCAAGGAGGTAATCTTCGAATAGCTGACGTCTTTCGCCTTCCTCGTTGGTAGACCTGAATGTGGTCTCCCCCTCAATGATCGGACGAATCGTCTTCCAGCGGCTGTAGTATTTGATTTCAGGGTGCCGTTTCAGCATCGTGTTGAAATCTGCGCGCAGCTTGGCGAATCTTTCTTTTGCCCGTTCCTTTTCCTGCATGCGGACTTCGACCACGTATTTTTCGAATGCTGCCTTACGGTCTCGGGGGTCCTTGAGAGCTCGGTATTGCGGGTCCTTGATCGTAGCGCGCATTGTATCTTCCCAGGTCCAATCGGGCTGCACGTTGTGGCGTTTGAGGAGCTTCATGAAGGCGCTCTCCGCCTCCTCGAGGGAATGGTAATCGGGATCCATTTGCGACTTGTATTCGGGAGCAGCAACTACGCCGCTCGTTTCATACGATCCGTATCCACCGCGTCGGTCGCCATATCCCCGATCACCGCGGTCACCACGATCGCCTCGGTCGCCTCGGTCAAAGTCTTCTCGGTCACGTAGCTGAGGTTGCGAGAAAGAAGTCCCGCCAGCCACAAAAGAAGGAGCACTATGGTCGCATTAGCACTGAGAAATACTAACTTGGGAAGGCACTTACGCGGGGGGTGCTTGGGTAGCAGTCGCCTGCGCAAGCGCATCTTTGTAAACCGCAGGCATCTCCCATGTGCTCTGCTTGGTCTCCGCGTGGTACCAGTACTTGCGTCCAGCATCTGTAGTATGTTCCTTCCATGGTTGGTTTGCCAGAGCAAGCTGCAAAGATTTAGTTGGGCTGATTATATTTTAATATGAGATACCAACCTCAACCGGAGTCATCAATTCTTTAGGCTTGTTCCATTGTGTAGCTTTGGTCTGTAAATTGTAATAGTAAACGCGACCATCTGCATTTTTCGCCTCCTGCCATAAGGCGGGAACTGGGTTGCCGCTTGGATCCATTGTGAATGGTGTGGAAGATGCTAAAAGAGAGAAGTGAAAACGGAGCTTCATCAATGATCTCCGCGGTTATGCGCGTTTGGCACGTCGCGTCGACCGTATCAACACTTATCGGTTATCTCCTGAGCTACAAACACCAACTCTATTGACTCCTTTGCGACATCCGCTGTCGCAATGCCTGGTCTGGAAATCCCAGGTGAATTCTTGCGTCATGCTATCCTCGATACAGTCGTGCCCCATGCCCCGGCACTTGACATTGAGGGCGCCCTAAGTTCAGCCCTGGAAGACGGAGCTGATGATCTCCCCTCAGTCCTCTCATCAATCCCTCAACGGTCTCTATTGTTCTTTGGTATGCACTTTCAAAGGTTTGGCAGGGTTTGCGCCTTACTTATTGATAGTCATTAGATGAATATTTGCCTGTCCGTATCGTCTTGAGACTATCTGATTGCTCAGAGACGACCCTGAAACACTACTTGCCACGACTTGAACTCAAGCTCGATGTCTTTGCCGTGGATCCAGCGGAATCAGTTGGCGAGAATACAACGCCAACTCGAGATATAATATTCTCGGGTGTTGTCAGCGGAGAGGAGGATCCCCTGGTGGTCTTTAATGAATTCGAGGGCGATGAAGGTAGCGGGAACCATGTCTATTTGGTTTGGAACATTGAAACTATACTGAGTGAGTTGTTTGGATTATGGGGTTAAATATCGTGAACCGAGCATCACTAATTGTCTGATAGGGCGTCCCCGTATTCGAATCCAACATCCGTCACTCTTATTCATTGCCTCGGCCAGTCTGAATCCCGCTGATGGTCGCCGTCAAGAGGATTCAGAGGATGACTATCTCCCCTCGCTCGTCCCAGCATCGACAAATATGCTGCAATCTCTATCTATCGACAAATCTTTCAATCATAAAGAGCCCTTCCTCCCTGCTTCCAGACTGTTGAGGGTTGTACCGACGACGTATAACGAGGACCCAATTTACAATATCCAGCAACAACATGGCCATCCCTTCCGCGTTGTGCCCGCTGCAAGTGCAAGGATTCGATACTCCCGGCTGAGCTCCTACACTGGTATACCAATGACCGTGGCCAGTCTTGACTTTGAGGTCACCCCTTATCTGACTTGCGAGGTCTCCTTTGACAAAGCGAATCTTCAGCTGTCCGAGGGAACGATCGAGTCGCTGTCAGACACACCGGGCCTTACTCTCCCTATTTCTTGCCGTCCGCGAGATGATGTGACCCTCATGTATAAACTCACGCCGGAATATGGCCCAGAGACCAATCCATCATCTACCGCGTTGGTGAGCACACTAGACATAGCTCTCGAGGCAATAATCCTTGTGGATGATGACTGCAAACCACGTATCTCGATGCAGTGGAGAACTAACGTCGACTTTTCAGTCGCCTTAAATCCGACTTATGGGGGGCCCAGTCCAGCTCTGCAAAGGACCAACCGCCCTACCAGTCTATCAGTGTCAACTCAAGTGGGCGTGACCCCTTCTCATCGAAGTTCATTACGAGAACGAGCATATTCGGTCACTGACGTGGGTATCACAATCTCCTTCTCTGGACCTGTTCGTGTGCAGGTGGGCTCCGTCTTCACTTGGCACGTTTTTATTGTCAATCGATCAAATGTTCCTCGGAAATTTGCCTTGATTGCCATCCCCAAGCGGAAACGCGTGGACCCACGAGGACACGTTGCTCGGCCTTCATCGTCATCTATCGCCAGCCGGAAGGAGGACCAGGTGGCCGAAGCAGTAACTGACGATAATATCGTACATGCGAGGCAGAAGAGTGTTGCTGGCCAGGAAGTGGAGCTGATCAGCTTGAGCACGGATATTCGTGTGGGGTGAGTACTCTCTGCTATGCTTCTTTCCCTTTACTTCTCTAACTGACATTTTTGTTAGCCCTCTCCTTCCAGGAACTTGCCACTCGACCGAACTAAAGCTTCTTCCTCTGGCTACAGGCCCACTTCATTTGGAGGCTGTTCGGCTTGTTGATGTGAACACGAACGAAACGACTGATATCCGAGATCTTCCGGACATTTTGGCGGATGATCAGCCTCGCTCTAGTTAAGAGCAGCCCAACTACTTGTACATATATGACATAAAGATAGAGCCATTTATTATCTTCCTATGGTCTTCTATTGTATCTTTTCTTTTCTTTCCAGATCTTTCATGCTACGATAGCCGACAACTCTTAGCATCCAATGATTTTTTTGAATTCCCAAATATTTCGTTTCCCCAAATGTATTTCATGCCGAAGTGAGCCGAAGTGAGCCTTCTTCCAAGCTTTGATGGCCTCTCTCGTATATTTCCATCCTCATAGGAATGTTCCCCAACGATTGCTTTATCCCGAATTACCTCTATACAGGTACGAGTCATCTAATGTTTAAGTATTGGAATAGTAATCAACTTTATACCCGTCGTTATATATATATCCACACCGTAGCTATCCTACCTGGTGTTCTATGAATATATCCTTAGTTCAGAAGTTAACTATACTGTGTAAACTACATTCGCAGAGTAAATGCATTATGTGTCTCTATCCATATTTACTATAGATAGTTATTATGAGATCATTACTCTGTGGTCCCCAGTATCAATGTATATAGCATCGATCTACATGATCCACACTCGGAAGGTGGACCGAGAATGCCAAGGCTGGCCCCCTGGAGGTCCGGGCCCCAAGCGCGGTGTTGACAAAGGAAAATCTTCATAACTGCTCAAATTGAAATTGTGGCTGAAATATGGCTGAAATGTAGAAGAGGATATAATACAAATCAGTATAATTTATATAGATCGTAAAGTGGATATAGTAATATTATCCATGGTTCGTCAAATCCATTTATGTGATTGGTGGAAGGAGATCACGGGGTAATTGACTCGTAGCTGGCCAGGTGACCTTTGTTACTCAAAGGAATTTAGATTGAAACGTTATCTTCTCTTCTCGACATCTTATCGAGGATTTTCTTATGATCATTGGAGACTGGATTTAATATATCAGATTTAGGTATTTTCATCTGCCCCGACGTCCCTGAGCTTTGCGTCATACTGGCGCACCTAGTCCCTTCCAAGAAATCTTGCCAATCCACTCTGCCACAGTCGTCATCCTTGAACATGATCTGCTCTGCGAAGCGGAAAGTCCTGGATGGACTAAATAAGAGATACATATACGGTCGCGTGGTATGTTAGACGCTCCTTGATGACGTCTGGCATGTTGTTTCTTCCCAATTTGTTTACAACGGCTAACCCTTGTCATTCATTCCCTTCTAGCCTTTATTGCACACAATCATTTTCCTCGTCGAGATGGCAGTAGCAGCACGTCTTGCTGCGAAATTTAATACCTACTATGCTGAAAGGCCAGGTAAGCCTCTTGCCGCCGGTTGCCGGATCACAACCTGACATCACTGCTATAAATAGTGCTCACGACGATGGTCACCAATGCCGTAAGCCTGTCGCGATATTGATCAAGTATGAGCTGGAAGCTGATAAAATGGATGTTATAGGTGCTTGGTGGTGTTGCCGATACCGTTGCACAGCTGATTACGGCCTTCCGGACCCGCCGACCTCACCCAGGCGACGATTTCCTTTCGATAGAGATCCCTGATTATGATAAGCAGAAGCCCCCTGCTGCAGGGGAACTGGGATATGTCCGGAGCTCGTCCCCATCTTTCGATTTCGAGCGCCTGACGAGATTCATGGCATATGGCTTCTTCATGGCGCCGGTGCAGTTCCAGTGGTTCGGATTCTTGTCCAGAGCGTTCCCGCTCACTAAGAAGAACCCGACGGCTCCTGCTTTCAAGCGTGTCGCGTTTGACCAGTTGATTTTTGCGCCATTTGGTATGATCTGCCTCTGTCTGCTTTCGAATATTTTTGGACTGGACTGATTTATCTAGGTCTGGCGTGCTTCTTCACCTACATGACGATTGCCGAGGGTGGTGGTAGAAGAGCATTGACAAACAAGTTCCGTGATGTCTACCTGCCGACCTTGAAGGCCAACTTTGTGCTCTGGCCGGCAGTGCAGATTCTCAACTTCCGTGTCGTTCCCATCCAGTTCCAGATTGTGAGTTTCCCAGGTTCTCTTGTTGAGATGAGGGCCCCACTGACTTGTTAACACAGCCATTTGTCTCAACCGTTGGTATTGCGTGGACCGCATACCTTTCTCTAACCAACTCCGCCGAGGAGGCCTAATAGAAAGCTATTCAAAGCGAACATCATGATAACGATTCGGGCTATAAATTGCACTCTTTCTTCCAATTTACTTCGGACGTCCCGGTTGATTGGTCTGGCTTCTTATGTAAATGGCTATGGTATTTACCCCACAGGGTTTGTATTTCGAATGGTCGGATTTTGCGCATTTGGGGAGACCTGGGGTTTTGCTGTTAAGTATGAGATTTGAGGATGCTTCAGGAAAATTCCGCTTTTCCGCCTTTCAACCATCTTTGAGCTTCACATGATTTCGTTGGGACTCGGAAAACACCCAAGCATGTAGCGGCTATGGACATTTCCATCAGTAAAGGCGACCTCCCCAGAATCTTCCGAATCCGAGGCTAAAGAGGACCTTTTTGGCCCGGCCTTCCCCGTATCGAACGGTAGCTCTGACATCAGTCCCGCGTCAGCCCGATCAGCTCTCCGGGGATAGTTTGGTACGGGTAATTGAGGTACCAATTTTCTAAAGATACTTAGAGAACACTAATTGGATCATATTTAGATCAAGTACCTTACCAGGTCGAATACATCATGAGTAGGTACCCTGGTTGCTACGGGATGCGACCTCTTCACCGGCCTGCCCCACCAAAACTAACCCCTCCACTCTGTACTGATCACGACTCACCGTGGCCTGATTAGTTCTTCTCCTTCTTTCTCCTTTCTCCTTTTTTCACCATTGTCATACCATAACCACCTACAATGTCTCTCTCCAACAAGCTCCCCGTTACTGATGTCGACCTCAAGGGCAAGCGTGTCTTGATCCGGGTAAGCTCCCCAGCCAATTGAGCTTCACTCGCAGCCCCTAATCGCTGACTGAAATAGGTTGACTTCAATGTCCCTCTCGATGAGAACAAGAACGTTACCAACCCTCAGCGTATTGTCGGTGCTCTGCCCACCATCAAGTATGCCATCGACAACGGCGCCAAGGCTGTTGTGCTCATGTCCCACCTGGGCCGCCCCGACGGCAAGGTCAACCCCAAGTACAGCTTGAAGCCCGTTGTTCCCGTGCTTGAGAAGCTTCTCGGCAAGAGCGTGACCTTCACTGAGGACTGTGTTGGCCCCAAGACCGAGGAGACCGTGAACAACGCTTCCGATGGTCAGGTCATCCTGCTCGAGAACCTGCGTTTCCACGCCGAGGAGGAGGGTAGCTCCAAGGATGCTGAGGGCAAGAAGGTCAAGGCCGACAAGGCTGATGTCGATGCCTTCCGCAAGGGCCTCACTGCCCTCGGTGACGTTTACGTCAGTATGTAACACCAGTATATTCCGATTTTCTGTGGTTCCTTTCTAACATCAATTCAGACGACGCTTTCGGTACCGCACACCGCGCTCACAGCTCTATGGTCGGAGTGGACCTCCCCCAGAAGGCCGCCGGTTTCCTCGTGAAGAAGGAGCTGGAGTACTTCGCCAAGGCTCTTGAGAGCCCTGCGCGCCCCTTCCTCGCCATCCTCGGCGGTGCCAAGGTCTCTGATAAGATCCAGCTGATCGACAACCTCCTGCCCAAGGTTGACAGCCTCATCATCACCGGTGGCATGGCCTTCACCTTCAAGAAGACTCTTGAGAACGTCAAGATCGGCAACTCTCTCTTCGATGAGGCCGGCAGCAAGATCGTCGGCGACATCGTCGAGAAGGCCAAGAAGTACAACGTCGAGATCGTCCTCCCCGTTGACTACGTCACTGCCGATAAGTTCTCCGCTGATGCCACCGTTGGTTCCGCTACCGACGCCACCGGTATCCCCGACGGCTTCATGGGTCTGGATGTTGGCCCCGAGAGTGTCAAGTCCTACCAGAAGACCATCGGCGAGGCCAAGACTATCCTCTGGAACGGTCCCCCCGGTGTCTTCGAGCTCAAGCCTTTCGCCAAGGCCACCGAGGCTACCCTTGACGCCGCTGTCCAGGCTGCCCAGTCCGGCTCTATTGTCATCATTGGCGGTGGTGATACCGCTACCGTGGCCGCTAAGTACAAGGTTGAGGACAAGATCTCTCACGTCTCGACCGGTGGCGGTGCCTCGCTCGAGCTTCTCGAGGGCAAGGAGCTGCCCGGTGTTGCTGCTCTGTCCAGTAAGTAAATGATGAAAAATAAATGGCGAGAGGAGGGTCTACGTCGGCTCTTCTTTCGTCGCGCATGTTTATGAAACTGTAATGTACACAGCCAATGAATTTCCTTTAATTACAAACACATTTCAAAAAAGACCTCCATTGTGCTCCTAGATCGAATAACTAAGTGTTGTACCTAGGCACGAAACCGAAGCTTTAGTCACGTTACCGAGAGCTCTCCCGTCAATTGTATATAGAACGAGAGAAAATCCCTATGGCGAGTAAATAGAACATCAACATCATAGTGGCATGTATATGGAATTTAGCCATGCAAATCCCATTCACAACAACTGATACTTCCATTCATCCTCCTACATAATACCAATTTTAGGCTTGCGCAGAATCGGAAGTTTTGATATTGGTATATCAAAGAGAACATCATAGTAATCCCGAAATCAAGATCTTCGCTCCGAGTACTGAATCGTAAAAAAAAAGTTCAAAAGGACCATGTCTCATTTCCTCCCCGACAAGCTCCCGAAAAATGCATGTGGCAATTATTGTTCTGAATCCTCCCATTGGTTCCAAAGACAGGGGGGTATAGTGTGCGAGATGAAATGGCCAGCCAACTCGATAATGAGCCCATCCCGAAACCCGAGGGGGTTATCCTTTTTGGTGCTTGTCCAGGTTCGTCTAGCGTTAAGCCGATGCTTCGACCTTCTTCAATTCTTCCCTGGATGAGTGATGGATGTTAGTGCGGTGAAAGAGTGAAAGAGGGGAAGCTGACGGGTTGGAGAAGTGGGATGGGGGCGAGCGTTGGTAGCGGTGTACATATGAAGATGAAAGAGGATTTGCAGACAGGGAATATAGAGGGTATTTGAAGTATAGGGAGGGCGAACTCACTGGAGCTGCTTTGAGAAGTCATCCGCCGCATCATCGTCATCCCAGCTCTCTTCCCACAGGTGCTCGCTACCGCCGTTTGCTGTCGAGCCAGAGGTCTGCTCAGCTTCTTCTTGGGGCCAGTCTGGGTGGTATAGAGTTAGGTTCGTTGCTTTAGGGAAGCACTTGGATGTCTGGTTGATACCTTCAACGGGGAAATCCTCGAACTCGTCATCTTCCTCCAGGACTTGGGGCTTTGCTTGTGGTGGGGCCTGCTCTGTGGCATCGGCCTTCTGGGTAGTTGGGTTTGACATTGTGGAAGATATGACCGGGAGAATTAAAGGTAGATAGGTTGGAGATGTGTGGATGTGGCAGCTTTGAAGTCGGAGGTCGGAGGTTTTACTTACTAAGACTGGCGATAAGGCGATAACGATGATGTAGTTGGGGGGGGCAATCTTGGGAAAACAGTACAAATGTTGGGATTTAAGTGAAAAAGAGATGATAAAATAAATCGTGATACTGAAGAAGAGAATAGAAGAGAGTAATATGTAATAAAAAAAATAAAAAATAAAAATCAGGTCGAAGTTGAATTGACCACAAAAGAAATTGATTGCGGAGCTACCGGCGAAAGAATCCCATGAGCCTCAGCCTTAGACGTGTTGTTTATATTACTTCCCAGATTTCCCCTCATCTTTTCTTTCCTCTTCCATCTCCACTTCTTTCTTTTTGTTTTCCCTTTCTCCTTTGTTTTTTCTCTGAGATGTTCTCGTCCATCGCGTGTCCGCTATCGCATCGTTGACATTCTTCCCGATCCGGTACTCTCTCTTTTCGGCTTACTCGGATTGCCCCGACCCTGACTTAAGACAATTGTGGATTGTGTTTCTATTGAAAAATCCATTCTACATACTCACTGCCAGGGGTTTCCGCCATGTTGCGAGTCGGGTCCTGGCTGTACGGCAAGAAGCCGGGGCAGTCTATGGACTCGCAAGTTGAGATAAAAGACTGTGAGTTGTGCGATATACTCTGGGAGAGCCCATTGTGGTAATTTGATTGCATGCTGACCTCGGTATTCTGAGCTAGTGGTTGATGCGCTGACAGGTACGTCCTATGGAAAATGTTCAACCTTTAGGCACCGACACTAATGCCATACTCGACTAGCGGCAACCCTCATTCTCAATGATGATGTTGATGGTGCGGAGAATGGTCTCTCTACGGGTACTTCGTCTTTTCACAATGTGGGTGATCGTCGCTGTCACTACGAGCTATGACGTAGCACAGACCTTAATAAAAGATGCTGACTCTCGATCGAATAGCTGGGTAGAGGTGTGGTCGCATTCATCCGGGCGACTTTAGGCTTCGAGCAGGAGATTATGCGACAAGGTCCATGTCTTTTCATCTTCTAAATCCACTGTTTCTAACAATCCCGCAGCATCCGAGCGCCTTTATGAAGCAGAAACCAGCGCCGCCAACGACCAAACCCGGTCCCAGCAAAACGCGCAATCGCCCAATGCCTTTCACTCCGATATCTATGCCCCCGGTACCGAATATGCGCTATGCCAGGCAATCGCCCAATTGATGAACGCGGTTGTTGGGCTACTAAATGAAAGCCTGACGGACTGCGTCAAAGCATTCTATCGCCTGAAGAAGGCGTATGCCACATTAGACGCTATCATGAAGATGGAAGAGAAGTTCATGGAGCAAAGGGGTACACAGAAAGTTCTACTGCCAACTGCGGGTGACCTGTCAAGCTCGAGCTCCGTATGCCCAGACCCGACGTCGGAATCAGCCAGCCTTTCATCGAGAAAAAGCGCAAAAGCAGCTATCCCCGACCAAACAGAGCTCAATTCGTCAATGAATAGATTGGCGATCTCCCCCGGAGCGAAATCTCCAGCCACCTCAACAGGCACTTCTACACCTGCAACACATATTCATCACGACCCTGACTCGGACATCTTCAAAAACGAAATCGATGTTTTTGTGCACTCTGGCACCAACTTCTGCCTCGGTATTCAACTTTTAATGATAACTTTGGTCCCACCCACATTCAGCAAGCTTCTTTCCATTATTGGCTTCCGCGGCGACAAGCAACGCGGGTTGAGAATGCTCTGGCAAGCCAGCAAGTTTCACAACCTTATCGGTGCCATGGCTGCTCTGACTTTGCTGGCATATTACAATGGCATTGTCCGATACTGCGATATTACGACCGACTCAACTCCTGGCGAGGCCGATGTCGAGGGATACCCTCAGGAGAGGTTGGCTTTGTTGCTGACTGAGATGCGGTCTCGGTTCCCCAAAAGCCGGCTTTGGATGCTCGAAGAATCGCGGATGTTGAGCGCCAATAAGAAGCTGGACAGCGCCCTGGAACTGCTGTCAACGGACAACAAGAGTCCACTCCAGCAGGTCGAGGGTTTGTGCGTGTTCGAAAAGAGCTTGAACGCACTGTTCCTCCACAAATATGAGATCTGCGCTGAAGCATTCCTTGAAGTATGACTTTATTTTCAAAGATTTTTGAACCCTCAAGCTAACCTTTTCAGTGCGTGGAACTTAACTCATGGTCTCGTTCATTGTATTACTACATCGCTGGATCATGCCATGTTGCCTTGTACCGGCAATCACTCCACGACCCAAAGCTTGCAGAAGAACATGCGAAGAAAGCCACCGTGTACATGCGAAAGGCACCTGAATTCGCCGGGAAAAAGAAATTCATGGCCCGACAACTGCCATTTGATACCTTTGTGATCCGGAAGCTTGCCAAAGTGGAGGCGCGCGCCAAAGAATGGAACGTGCCTTTTGTGGATGCGATTGGAGTCGACCCCGTTGAAGAAATGATCTTCTTCTGGAATGGACACAGTCGCATGACCAACGAGCAGCTGGAAGAGTCTCTGACCCGACTAGAATGGTGCGAAAGCGAAAAGAACAAGACATGGTCTCGCGAGGGAGTTGAGGAAAAGGCAGTCCTGGAGCTTGTCCGGGCTGCCGTTTTGCGATCCCTGTGCAGACACGATGAAGCGAAAAATATCCTGCAGACCCGCGTTTTGAACCACGACAAGGCTCTATTCAAGGCCCATCTGAAGGATGATTGGGTTCACCCAGTGGCGCATTTCGAGATGGCCGCCAACTTCTGGATGGAGCGTCCCACTTACCAAACTCTGCATGGAATTACTTCCTCCAAGGCGTTGGACGATGCGCCCGTGACATCTGGGGAGACGAGCCTGGAGGCCGAGAGAAAGCAGGTGGCTGAGTGCAAGAAATACCTTGATCATGCTGCTCGCTGGGAGGCCTACGAGCTTGACACTCGTATTGGACTCAAGGTTACTGCTGCGATCGAAGCAGTACACAAATGGGAGAGCATGCACCCCACCGTCTAATCGCGATTATTATGTTTCTTTCAATCCTTAGGCATGTTCCTGTTAATAGCTGCCCTGGATGCCTTGTGTGTAGCATATTCACATGGAGTATGAGTAGATGTTAGGGTTAGATGTTTAACGAATTTATTTTTATCTCTTTTTCCCGTCTTTTTTCACGTCTTTTTTTGATTGATACACAGCTTTTCTTTTCCCTTTCAGCACAATGATGTCATGTGAGGATAACTGGATAACTCAACTTCAACCTCCAACCTCCAACCCTCGTTTTATCTACAATTCAGCTCCTTTGGTCGAGGCATGAAAAGTCAATACTTCAACGTGAATTTCATTGGCTCCGTCAGACCCAGATAGTTCCACTTATGTGACAGCACTTCGGCGCCTTGGCCATCCAGGCCGAGATCCAATACCTTACTTCGTATACTTCGGATACAGTCCCTCATCAGAATATTAGACCTCGGCGTTTCAATGGTAATACCGAGAGAAAGCAATTGAGCTATCCCCGAAGAACTCATTGCGCACCGAGATCGGCAAGGTGACGGATCCTTCAACAATCGGATAACACGGCTTTTGCCATCGGAGGTCCGAAAGCTTGAAGAAAACGTATAAAACGAATTCAGATCCCCATATATCTCTCCCCGTATATCTCTCAGCCTTACAGTAACATATCTCCCCGTTTGCGACTTTTCGTCAAGTATCCACCTCTTATCTCCGAGATACGTTTTTCTATTTCCGACTTCCCGTAATTTTTTGTCTACTTCATATTGGTCTCGCATATTCCACTTCTCACCTTCCCCAGCGCTAGCGCTGGTCCTGTGATATTTCAGCCAATGACCCGTGATAATGGTTGAACGGACAGAACATGACTATCCCAGCATATCTAGTGCAGATATCGAACCGCATCGCAGCGCCGACGGGACAAATGGAACTGCATTGGAAAAGCAAAGCACTGCGGCATCGGGGTATTCCGCCTTTGAACAGCGCACACATTCAATAGTCTCGCGCATTCGAAGTCGAGATCCCGGCCAGACGGCGCAATTTCATCATCCGCTCACCCATACCAAGACAAGCCCTGACGTCATCGTCGATTTTGAAGGGCCGGATGATCCTTACAGACCGTTGAATTGGAGTTTCAGGAAGAAGGCTATCACGACTGTACTGTATGGATTAACTACTATGGGTATGTCAAGCAATGTCGGGGAAATATCGGGAAATAGTGAATTGTGGGAATGACGCTAATCGTTATCAATAGGTGCGACATGGGCGAGTTCAATGTATGTCCATTGTTTTGGCTTTATAGTTTATAGAGTTAAACTAACTAGAATGTTAGTTACTCGACGGGACAGGCACAGATTAGTGAGGAGTTCGGCGTCTCGAATGAGGTCGCTACACTCGGCACCTCATTACTTTTGTTCGGCATGGGATTGGGCCCGTTGATATGGGCGCCTCTGTCTGAGCTATATGGACGCAAAGCGGCAGTTTTACCGCCATATTTTCTCGCGGCCATATTTTCGTTTGCGACAGCCACGGCCAAAGACGTGCAGACAATTATGATCACTAGATTCTTTACTGGCTTTTTCGGCTCGGCCCCTGTTACCAATACCGGCGGAGTCCTGAGTGATATCTGGACCCCCGAAGAGCGCGGAGCTGCTATTGTCGGCTATGCCATGGCCGTTGTGGGCGGGCCTGTCATTGGACCTATAGCGGGTGGTGCTATCGTCCAGAGCAATCTGGGATGGCGCTGGACTGAATACGTGAGTCTTCCACTCTTCGAGGTTGAACCCATGCTGATATCTACTAGATCACCGGTATCATGATGATGTTCTTCCTGTCCATGGACCTCCTCTTTGTTGACGAAAGCTACCCGCCAGCCCTGCTGGTTTACAAAGCGCGCCGACTCCGCTTCGAAAGCGGCAATTGGGCCCTCCATGCCCGCCACGAAGAGTGGGACGTGACTTTCAAAGAAATAGGCAACAAGTACCTCATCCGTCCTTTCCAGCTCCTCGCAACCCCGATCTGCTTCCTCGTTGCCCTCTACGCATCATTCGTCTACGGTATCCTCTATCTCAGTCTAGCAGCCTTTCCAATCGTCTTCCAGGAAATCCGCGGCTGGAACCAAGTCGTCGGCGCCCTCCCCTTCCTCGCATACCTAATCGGCATTCTAATGGGCGGAGCAATCAACCTCTCAAACCAGAGGTTCTACATAAAGCGCTTCAAAGCGAACAACAACCGCCCAGTCCCCGAAGCCCGTCTTCCACCCATGATGATCGGCTCTGTGCTCTTTGCTGGAGGTATGTTCGTCTTGGGCTGGACAAGTCCAAAACACATCCACTGGATCTGTCCGAATATCGGTGCCGTCATGATGGGGTTCGGCTTTTTCACAATCTTCCAGGCCGCTCTCAACTATCTCATTGATACGTTCCAAAAGTATTCTGCTAGCGCGATCGCTGCAAACACTTTCCTGCGCTCTATGTTCGCCGGGGGTTTCCCGCTCTTCACAACTGCCATGTTCCATAACTTGGGTGTTCCCTGGGCTGCCAGTATACTGGGCTTCTTTTCAGTTGCTCTCATCCCGATTCCATATCTATTCTACAAGTTCGGCAAGCGGATCCGCGCACGTGGGACGTGGTCGCGAGACTCTGTTTAATATTCTGCTACATAATTATTCTCGATGGTTTCATTGTACATGTTTTGTTAATAGCTGCATCCTGTTCCTTGCATTGATGATACCCGAGTTTCAGGCATCTCAGATTGAGTCATCATTTCCTACAAGCCTACTATATCAGCTAAAAGATCTACTTCACTACGTTTCTATAATGAGAGTATTCAATAGACAAGATTCCGCATATTATAGTATAACAAAGAAGCAGCAAGCACAAAAATGGCAGAGCAAAGATAAAGAAAGATGTAAAGAGCGACTGTAGTGAGTATCCAGCCGTATGTACCCAATCTAGAAGCCAAAAAAGACAAAGGCCATCCAATACAAGATATTCAAAACATAGAACATGCAACATAAACAAAGACATATGAAATGACCGAAAGGCCTTTTTTTGTGGGTTTCCCTTTTTTTTTTTTTTTTCCCTCTCGAGCCTCTTTTTTTGGGCTTTTCTGTGTTTTTTCTGCGCGGATTCGAGCTCATCATAATATCAAGCTCGAGTAGAGACTACGCTTGTGCGTCCAGTCAATCTCCGCGCAATGGTCATAGCCTTCTCCCATGTCTTCTTCTTTTCAACACGAGAGACAGGATCAGGCGATGCAGCACCGGTAGCAAGAAGCTCTGTTGGAATATCGTCCTGGTGCTTGGCGTTATGCAAGGCCAGCACGGCCATTTGGCCGAGGAAAGAAGGATGTTCAATAAGATCCTCGAGACGGACTTTCAACCCCTCTTGCTCAAGGAGCCAGGTAAGCTGGGCCAGATTGAAGACGTCACCGCCGAGGTCGAAGAAAGACGAGTCCAACTGGAAAGCGGATTGGTGGGTGGGAGTTTCAGGCTCTGGGTCGATGCGGGCCGGGGTGTTGCGGCTGGGTAGGACCTGGTGCCATGAGCGAGACAGAATGTCCGAATGAACAAGTAGCTCTGCGATGGAGCGCGACTTGAGGTGTGCGCTGAGGAAGTGCTCGTCTGTTGGTCGAGGCAGGTCGTCAATTGTCTGAGGTGGAAGAGAGCGCAGCATACCGGCGGAGGGCAGTGCGGCGGTTGGGTTTGCAACGAGGGATTGTGCGATCTCGCAGGCCATATCGAGGACCTTGGATGCGAAGAATGGCATTATAGGTCCCTTTTCGGAGTAGCCTAGGGTTACATCGAGGCCGCGTTCACCGGAGGGGCGAGACACCATGGTTAGATCGGCTAGGTTGTCGTTGACACCGACACCACCCATGCGGTATTTGTTGTTGTCAAGCTGCATGGTTCCTTCGTAGTCGACGTTCTGGTGGAAGACTGAGGTAGTAAAGTAGGTCCAGTCAGGCCAGTCGGTACACTGCTTGATGATCTCGCGGAAGCCTAGGGATTCGAAAGGCATGTTGGAGACTTGCTGGTCTTGGAGGTAGCGGAAGAGATCGACACCGGTCCAGTGCTCGCTGAGATTCACGCGCACCGGGATGACATTGACACATGGGCCGACAGTGTTCTCAATACCGGGTACTGTGGCGTTGCGACCGCTGATGGTCAGACCGAAGACAACATCGGACTGAGCGGAAAGTTTGGCAAGGGCCAGGGCCCAGGCAGCCTGCATGACGGTTGCGATAGTGACATTTCCAAGGGCAGTGGGCGAGATCTCAATCTTTCTGTGAATCTCGGTGAATGCTCCAACGTTCTGGAACATGCTGGTACCCTTCCTGTGGACAACTTGGGTCATATGGGATCCCTTGAGGAGATTGGTCCAATGGCGGTAATGGTCTGGGGTGATTGTGCCTGGCAACTGTCGCAGGTAGCCAGCGAAGGGAGTAACCGGGGGTAACGGGGTGCCTTCATATCCATGCTTAATGGCAGCCATGATCTTCGGCAGACACACTCCATCGTATTGAGTGTGGGAAAGGCGGATCAAGATACGGTGCTGGTCGCTGCCCTTCTTCTTGACAACGTAGAACTGCACGTACTGCTCACCTTCGCGGGGTCCGTACTCGCGATCTCTCTGTTGAAGAGTCATGGTGAATTCATCAAGAGCGCGGTCGGTCTCGTAAACAAAGATGCTGGGACGGATCTTGCGCAACACGACCTGGAAGAACTGATCATGGAAGCACACGAAGACTGTGCGCAGAATATCAAATGCAGCGACAACCTTCAAGCAACTCTCGCGAAGGCGTCTGAGGTCCAGGGGACCGTTGCCTTCAAGATAGAAGTAGTTAAGCATCCATCGGGACTTGAAGAGAGTAGCCGTTAGAGACATCGCCTGGAAGTCGGTGACAGGGAGAACATCTGCGATGCCACCCTTGAAGACACCGATCTTGGGACAGATACCGCTCTGCACCGCGGCATCGTCGACGCACGATGGTCTGAGAACTTCGAGGCTCTCAGAAGAGGGGGTGGGCCCCAGTGTCGTCGGCGTGATATTCAGTAAATCACTATCAACCTCCTTGTGGCCGCCAGACTTGAGGTCAGCATTCAGCATCTGCTGAGTGACATTGGCGGCCCGCACTGTTGTTAGCATGTCCTCAAAGACAGGATTGTTGAAGACATCTGCAACAGTAAGTACCAGGCCCTCTTCCCGAGCGGCACTGACCATCTTCATAGCGGTGATGCTGTCACCGCCCAACTTGAAGAAGCTATCCTGGTGTCTCACCACGTTGGGTGAGAGGCCAAGAGCTGTGCTCCAAAGATTCCACAATTTCCTTTCCACATCGGCCGACATCCCATCCTCACTGGGGCGGGAAGCCGCCGAAGAAACACCCGAGTCATCTTCTCCTTCTATACCTAACTGGTACGGTGAGCTCGCGATGGCGTCTGTAGGACCACCGTACCTTGGCAACCCATCCGTACGAATGGGAGGCACCGTCAGTTTTCCTTCTCTCAACATTCGACCAATAATTTCATGAACACGATCATCAATAATTTTCTGGATAGCAGCACTGTCAATCATCTCTCCGGTCGACTTTGCCTTTTCAGCGAGTGTAGATTGGGAGCGGTCCCAATCAACTGACTCAGGTTCAGACTCGGAAGCGAATGTCGATTGCGACAGAGTCGCAGCCGGGGATTCAATGAAGCCAGTGAAGACTTTGGCGATTGTGTCAGCCAAAGTCTGTGCCTCATCATCCGACACAATATCGTTCCAGTATCTCAAAAGAATGCCCTCCTGCCCTCGGGCAATCTCAACGTTCACAGTAACCGCATACTGAATTGAGTTAGTAGCCAAAACGCAGCATCGATAGGATTGTACTCACCTCGCTCGGGTCATGTGCATGCTGAAGATTGAAGGACAGTCCCTTGTCCTTGGGACCACCCGCAACGGAGTGGTTCTGGATTGACAAAGTAGTATTGAACAGGGACTGTCCCTGCCAGCCAAGCTCATGCTGGATGCTTGCCAGAGAGCAGCTTTGATGAGGGATGCATCGAATATAATCATCTTGAACACTCTTGGACACATCAGTCAGGGTCTGCTGGTCAGAGAACTGGACTCGACAGCAGAGCATATTAATAAATATTCCAACCATATCCTGAATGCCATTGACAGGGGCATCGCGGCCCGCAGAAAGATATCCAAAACAAACATCATCGGAGCCAGTGAACTGGCGCAGCACGATGGCCCAGGCGGATAGGGTCAGGTTGGCGAGAGTCACGGAGGCGCGCTCGCAGAACTTGAGCAGCTCAGGGAATCGCTGGAAGTTCATCATGACACCCTTGAGTTCTCTCTTGGCTTCGAACACAGCCGACGGAGCGAGATGACATGGGTGGACTCCACCGAGGTATTGTTTCCAGTGTCTGAGGGCGTCACTCTGGCTCTGAGTTCTGATGAACTTGATATAGTCGCTGAAGCGAGGTCCTGAACCCTCGGAAATCTTTCGCTCATAGGCGAGAGTCAGGTCACGGAGAAGTACATCCACGGAACCACCATCGATAATGGCGTGGTTAATCTCAAGCTTCAGGATCACACGACCGGTATCCGTTTTGCAGACAGTCAGTTGGTGAGAAAGCTTCGATTGGCGCATCCCGTTCATGTCACGAAGGGAGACGGCAGCCAGTTTCTCCTCTACCTGCGAATCGCGGCATTCGACACGGAGGATATTATCAGAAAGGTTCTTGAGCACAAGTTGATCGAAGGATCCACCAGTATAGTTGCTATCGATGAAAATAGTTCGCAGAACAGGATGACGGTCGACGAGTCTTTGCCAGGCACGGGTAACTCCTTCAGCATCGACCTTTCCAGATTTCCCATCCTTGATCTCAAACACAGTATGGAACATGTAGGCATTGGGATCGCGGAGCTGGCTGAGCAAGAGGCCCTCCTGCATGGGAGAGCAGGGATAAATGTCCTCGACTTGATCCTTGTTCCGAATGCCAGCTTTGCGGAAGGTGCTGGCGGTGAGCATCTGCAGACCGTGGTAGTTGATTGGGAGCAGCGGGTAGTCGCTGAGGGTGGGTTCGGGAGTAGCCGTTTTCAATGTGAGGATATCCTTCTCGAGGGTCTGCTTGCACTTAAGAATCCAGCGGCGAATGGAGCCCTCGTGTTGCATTTTGGTGTTGTAAGTGAAAGCAACATTAAGACGTTCTTTTATGACAATAGCGGATACTTCGAATAGAGCGAAACGAGCAGTCTGGGGGCCCATGTCACCTGCGACAGCGAAGTCCGAGCCATCGAAGACGCTACCATGGTGATGGAAGAGCGAGTCGGCTCGCTCAAGTTGCTGCATTTTGCCCAGGTAGTTGAACAGGATTTCCAACGGGACAGGGAAATCGGCAGCCTGATCCTGGAGTAGACTTTTGGCGAAGTAAGGACGCCCGTTGTCGGCGATCTTGCGTCTGGTGTCCTTGACACGCTTGATAATGTCGTTGAGGGCACCTTTTCCTGTTAGCCTGTCATCACCAAAATGAGGTATCAGAAACTTACGAGCCTCAGATTCCACCAACAAAGGCGCCATGGTGGTAAACCAGCCAACTGTTCTTGAAAGATCAATGTCGGCTTCCCAGGGTTCTCTGCCATGTCCTTCGTTATAGATAGTCGGCACCTTGCGATCGGTGAAAGTGTGACCGAATGAGTAAATTATGACAGACAGCAAGATGTCCACAGTGTCAGTCCTGAAGACGCCGTGGCAGCCATCCAAGATAAACTTGGTAGTATCCTCGCCCAACGTGAAGGATTCCATTTTGATATCTCCATACACATTAGGCGCGTCTTGCATGCCCCAGTAAAGCAAGTTTGGCTTCTCAGGGGTGAATGGCAGAGCGATAGCAGCGTCGTGCGTCTTGGCTCTCTCAGTCTGCATGGCACACCAGCTTTGGAAGGACAGTGCCTTTTCAAGTGAAAGAGATCCAGAGACAACGAGTTCTTCGAGGTCCTGGAGAACGATGCGCCACGATACCATGTCAATACAGAGATGGTGAGCGACAAGGAATAAAACCTGACCGCCCGTACGAAGGTTAAAGAGGTCGACTGCCAGAATAGGCCCATTGATAGGATCCAGGCAATTTTGACTCTCAGCAACCTTGGGAACCATGTCCCGGGTATCTTTGACAGAGTGAACGCGGAATTGGAAAGATTCATCGACCTCCTGCGAGACGGAGTTAGAGCATGTTAGACGAGGGTCTTCTAGTGAGCTTACCGCTGTAGTCTTCTGTTGCCAGGTGCCGTCACTTGATTTGCTGAAGCGTGCCCTAAACATAGCATGCTGGCTAATGACAGCCTTGAGAGCGCGCTTGAGGACTTCGCCCTCGCAGCGGCGAGCGATGCGAACAGTCATGCTCTGGTTAAAGCGAGCGTCGCCCTTGAAGTAGTCCGAGCTCTGGAAGTAGAGCTTCTGGACAGGTGAAAGCGCAAATCCTTCACCAGACTTCTCTTCGCGCTGAGAGACAGGTGCCTTGGAACTCGCGGTTTGAGCAAGTTCCTTCACAGACCTGCTCTGCAAAATGTCGTGTAGTGTCAAAACAAGTCCCTGCTTGCGAGCGCGAGAAATGACAGCCATTCCAGTAATACTGTCGCCGCCTGTAAAAACCAGTTAGTAAGTTCACTATTTCGAAACGATGGATTACTTACCCAAGCTGACAAAAGAACGGTCGACATTGACCTTCTGTAGGGAGATATTCAACACCTGTGCAAAGATTTGGCGGACGATATTGAGCGATCCATTCTGCTCTTCCTTTTCTTGTGGCTTCTCTTCAGTCTTGCCACGCTTGATACGATCGTAATCCGCCATGATGCGCTCGTAAGATGCATCATCAATATCCTCAACCCAGGCGGTGATCTTCTTTCGGTCAAGCTTTCCAGAAACAAGCATGGGAAGCTTCTTGATGAGAGCCCAAGTCTGCGGGACCATGTAAATGGGCAGTTGGTTCTCAAGATTCTGCTGGACTTCAACCAGCTCATTGTAAGCATGACGTTCAAGCTCGTCCTCATCAACAAGCTCGCAGGGCTTGTCAGAAATTAGCTTAGTATCGGCTGCGACACTGTTCAACGACATGACAGTGACCAGGCGCTGCTTAAGTGGGCCATTCTTGGGGAGAACGACGACAGCGTGGCGGGTAAGAGCATCCTCAGAAAGGCGATGCTCGATTTCACCAAGCTCCATCCGTTGGCCATGTAACTTGACCTGGTGATCCTTCCGGCTGATGTACTGAATGGAACCATCTGGGTTGTAGTAGCAAAGATCACCAGTTTTGTAGATTCGGCGAGGACCTGGAACCGCGGGAGTGAAGTCCTTGATCCAAGAGGGGTCCGAGGTGAATGCTTCTGCGTTTTTCTCAGGGTTTTTGAGGTACTCTCTGGCCAAAGGAGCACCCTCAAGTGCAAGTTCGCCGATTGCACCCAGGGGAGTAAGTCGATCGTGATTGTCGGGGTCAACAATCCAGGTGAGAGTGCTGGGAATACCGTAACCGATGCGCCCAGGATCACGATTGGCGGCCACTGCAGTATCGACCACAGCAAAGACACACGTTTCGGTCGGTCCGTACCCATTCATGAGGTGAACAGAGTTGGCCCACTTGGTGATGACTTCATTAGACATTTTCTCACCACCACAAACGAGATGTTTTAGAGAAGGCACCGAGGCGGGCTCAATGATGCTAGCAATTGAAGGGGTGAGGAAAGTCCAAGTGACATTGAGTCTACGGATGGCGCCAGCAACATCGTTGAGACGGTCGTCCTCGCTGGGCACACATATGGTACCTCCCACCATGAGGATCGCAAGAGTCTCCATAACAGCAGCATCGAAAGTGAGAGAAGCAAATTGGAATACTCTCGAGGTTGCATCCATGCGGACCCACGGCGCGAATGCCATGATACTGCTGACCACATTGCGGTGCTCAACAATGATTCCCTTGGCTCGACCAGTGCTACCAGAGGTGAATAGAGCATAGGCCATATTGGAGGGCTTGACTTCAGTGCGACGACGGGAAGCTGATTTGAGGCAGCCATAGGCCTTGATGGTTTCCTTGCTAATGGGGATCACAGTCTTCACGACCCTGCTATAGCGGTTTGTATAGTTGGGAGTGCACAATATCATGTTGGCACCCACGTCGGCGAGAATCTCCTCGTGTCGCGAGGTTGGGTGGGAGGGATCCAAAGGCACGTACCCACCACCAGCGATGAGAATAGCGATGAGGGTGACCATCGCCCAAGCCGACTTGTCCAGACAAACTGGGACGAATACTTCTGGGCCAACTCCGCGAGAGACCAGGTAGTTGGCGAATCCAGATGCGAGGGTCCAGAATTCTTTGTAGGTAAGGTCGCCATCCCAAGCACAAACAGCCTGTGCGTTAGGAGTCTCGTCGCACTTCTCGCGAATGAAATCTTGGACAGTCCGCTCCACTGTCAGCGGGATACGTTGGTTCCATGTACCAATTTCAGCCTTGTCTTCGGGGCTGATGACCTCCAAATCATCGAGCGTGCTCGTACTGTTCTTGGGCATGTTGATCAATTGTTGTAGAACGTGCGCAAATTGTTCGGTAATCCGCTTGGTTTGCCATCCATTGATGACGAGCTCATCGTGGTGGACGGTGAAGGAGATGCTCGTTTTGGTAACACCACATTCGACGACAAGAGGGTGGGTGAAGAAGTCTTCGCTTGTTTGACGTTTCTCATCGATCCAGATCTTGTTGTCGAGCTCACCATCACCCGGTTGGATCACAAGCAGGTTCTTGAAGTCGCAGCCCGTGGCGGTATCCTTGTTCAGCTGCCGGATGCGCTGAAGACCAGAGTGCAAGTGCGGGATCATCTCTGTGGTCGACTGGTGAATCTTCTGCAAATACTCCATAGTGGACATGGCATTGTCGACCTGTATACGGGTGGGCACTGTAGTCAGAACAGGACCTGCAATATCTGCAACACCGGGAAGATCGATATTTCTACCCGACAAGGTCTCGCCAAAGCACACATCACCAGAGGCAGTGTGTGTCGCAATGATAATTGCCCATGCAGCCCGCATGAGAACAGGGATTGTGAAATCAACACTGTTGCGGGTGCGAGAAATCTTCATGCTGTGGTACTGGGTGTTACCAGCACGCATGGCGTCAGCCACTGCACTCTTATTATGAGGGAAAGGAGTGCTCGACAGGTCAGCCAGGTATGATTTCCAGAAAGTGTCGGACTCCTTCATGTCCTTCTTTACCAGGTAGTCGATGAACAAACTGTAAGGGGTTCCAGCACGCTTGGCCTGCGAGCCGAAGTAGTTCTCTTCGACCTTGCGGAATACCAAAGGAATACTCCAGCCGTCATAAAGGGCGTGATGAACAGACCACACGAAGTAACTATCAGATGAGCCACGAGGTTGCACCATGGCATAACCAGTTAAAGCCGCACCATTTTGCTTGGGCAAGTGAAGGATGTCGTTGGGAAGCGCATCGAAGGACTCAGCTTGGACCCAGGAGATGGGGCTATCCTTCAGGACAACTTGAGCAAAGTTCATAGCTTCGGTGTGGACGATGCGAGTGCGAAGAATTTCCAAGTCTGCGACGGTTCGTTGCCAGGCTTGTTTGAATTTGCTCACATCAATGCCAGCAGCAAGGCGGAATGAAGGCTGCGCAACATAAGCACCGTTATGCTTGATGGAGAGCGTTAGAAGACCCTCCTGCACAGCGCTGCATGGGTAAACATCGCTGACAAGGTCCTTAGACACTTCGCAGCTATCGCTGATTTCGTCCATCAGGGTCTCGAGGTGGACCCCCGAAGGTAACAGGGAGAATGCCTTGATGCTTTCTTGCTCAACTTCAGCAGCTCCATCGGACACGACACAGGTCTTGGCCATGTCCACCAAGATTGGGGAATTGAAGATGCTGGAGACGGTAAGTGCAATACCTTCAGCTTGAGCAGCGCCCACGAGGTTCATGGCGGACAAAGAGTCACCACCGAGACCGAAAAAGCTGTCATCTGCCGTCACAGAGCCTGCCTCAAGCTCGAGGGTCTTTTCCACAAGGGCCACAAGCCTGACCTCGAGGCCTGTGGCTGAAGAGCCCTCCCTTCGGTTAGAGGTGTCGAAAGTTATGTAAGACTTGAGGGTCTCCTTAGACAAGCCTTGAACCATAGCCCGCAGTCTTCGGCGGTCAATCTTCCCCGAGGACGTGAAAGGCAAGTTGCGAATAGGGAAAAAGAGTCGGGGCATCATGCTCTGAGGAAGAAGTTCCGGCAGAGAGCTCTTCAGCTTCTGAATGGCATCCATGTTAGACACAGAGATGGGTAGTAGCAGTGGGTCAGCTCCAGGAACAGTGGGAGTAAATTGATCGCTGCTTCCCCCGTTGGATTCAGGATCATGGACGGTAAAGAATGCGGCGAGGCCTTTGGCGATGGTGCGTTCCTCGGGCACAACGACATCAACAGCCACCTGCGAGTCCTCGGGCAGGCATTGGAGACATTGTTGTTCGATCTCCTCTAGTTCAATTCGCTGGCCATTGAACTTGATCTGAGTGTCTTTGCGGGAGATGAAGGCTAGGCTGCCATCGCTGTTGTAGCGAACAAGATCACCAGTGCGGTACATGCGGTCATTTCGTTTGAACACTCCTTGCAACCCAGTATGCCGGTTCCAAGCAGGCTTCTCGAAGAAGGCGGCCTTGGTCTTCTCTTCGTTGGCAAGGTATCCACGCGCAATGTTGCTTCCTTCAAGAATCAATTCACCAACAGCGCCAACGGGCAGCAGACGGTTGGAGTTGTTTGGATCCACAATCCAGACTCTGCAGTTTGAAGATGTTCCAATGGAGGTGGGGTCGTTATTGACGCGGTTACCCTCCATATCAACCTTGACACCAACAGTGGCGACGACGGTGGCCTCCGATGGGCCATACGCGTTGATAACGCACCGGTCTGCCCAGCGGCCGATGTGGTTTGCGGGCATCTTCTCGCCGCCTGTGATAATGACCTTGAGGGAGGGCACATTCTTCGGCTCTAGAGTATTGACAATAGCAGGAGGTGCCGTCATGAAGGTGGCTTCCATGCGGCGAATGGCACCACCCATGTTATTCATACGTTCCTCCTCGCTGGGAATACACACACAACCACCCGTCATAAGAACCATCATGATCTCGAGAATGCTGACGTCAAACGTGTAGTTAGAGAATTGCAAAGCACGGGTTGTGGAGTTCATGTTAAGGGCATCGATCATGGCGATGGCGGTGGTGCTAAGGGCGGTATGCTCAACAACAGTGGCCTTTGGCTTTCCAGTAGTGCCCGAGGTAAAGATAGCATACGCAGCATTGTTCGGAGTAGCACGGACACCAGGCAAGGCCAAAGGCGAGTCAGAAAGTTGGGAGATCGAAGTCTGGCAGACAGCGAACGATTTCGCGCACAGCTTCGAAACTTTGGTGTGGACTGAAGATGAGCACAAGACAAGTTTAGTGCCAATTTCATCGATGAGCATCTTGAGTCGAGACTCGGGGTGGGTTGGGTCAATTGAGACAAAAACTCCGCCTGCTTTCAGAACAGCCAGCTGGGCAACAACAGCCCAAGCTGACTTTTCGAAGCACAGGACGACGAAAACTTCGGGCTTGACTCCAATACTAGAGAGATGGCGAGCCAAGCGACTGGAGACAATCTCAAGCTGTCCATAAGTGAAATTCTTGTCCCAAGAGCAGATGGCTTCTGCGCGAGGGTGAAGAAGGGCCTGCTGCTGGATGAGCTCGTCGGCACACTTCTCGACTCTAGGGGGCGATGCGGCATTCCAGTCACGTATCTGGCGGATCGAGCGCTCAGATAGCACATTGATATCTCCAATGACACGGTCATGGAGGTTGTGAGCGATTAGGTCGTCCAACACTTGGTCAAACATGGCCATAACATGGCTGACCTGGAAGGAGGAAAGGGTCGCTGAGGAGTAGTTGAAGTGGATCTCCGCATATGAATGCGAGACTTGGGCTTCAACAACAATCTTATAAGCACTGGAGGTGGTTGGTTCACGGGTGCTTCCTTTGGGAATAGTGGAAGCTGGGCGATAGATCAAGGAGGTATTGAAGATGGTTGTATCATCAAGTCCAAGCTGATGTTTGACTGCATCCAAAGCAGCAGCATTCAATGCACTGTTCTCCGAGTCTTTCTTTGCTTTTTGAAGAGTCTGCTGCAGCTTTTGATCGTTCTGGACGAAGAAACGGCAGGCAGCAACGCCTTCGGCGTCCAATCTCGTCTCCAAGGCTGAGGTGGAATAACCAAAGCACACATCATCCGAGCCAGTGTACCACCGGAGGACAATGGCCCAGGCAAACTGGAAGAGAGTTTCAGCAGGGAGGCCAGCCATTCTGCTGAAGGCGTGGATATTGGCTGTCTGCTTGTTGAGCGTGCGGGTGGACCGGCCATTATCGATTGCATCATGGGAGAGCGCCGGGAAAATGCAGGGTTCAACATCTCCGAGATACTCCTTCCAGAAGGCGATATTACCCTCTGAGAGACTGTGATGTTGTGAAGTCCGGTTAGTAGCCTTGGATCCGTTCCAACGCTTTATGTCGAAGGCCTCGATGGCACTCCTTGAAAGGGCTTGTGTTTCGTTTTGGAGGGCCTGGCGGTTTAGCTTTCCAGAGATGGTCAAGGGGAGGGAAGAGATGGGGATGTAGATACTCGGAACCTTGCTGCCAGGAAGACTGGTACTCAGACTGGAATGCAGGCTAGCAATGCCGTCTTTCAGGATGGGAGTCGGGGATTGGAGGATAAGGATGTGATCTCCAAAAGTGACTGGAGTTGTGTCCGAAGCAACCACGAAAGCAACGAGAGCATTGGTCTTGATATCCTCACATTGCAGCTGGACACTCTGTACCACGCACTTTTTGTTGTGGTCAACGAAGGCATCAATGCAGGCCTGAGTTTGAATAAGCTCGCTAGCCAAGGCGGATACATTCTTATCCTTCTTTCGGCCGACGAAAACTAGGGAGCCATCGGAATTGTATCGAACAAGATCCCCGGTCTTGAACAGACGGTGTTGACCCTCTGCCCTGAGCCAAGCAGCGTTCTCGAAGAAATCGCAGCTCTCGATGGACTGGTTGTCGAGGTACCCGCGCGCAAGGACAGGACCCTCGAGTACCAATTCTCCAACACTACCTATCGGGACAAGGCAATCTTGGTTGGATGGGTCAACTACCCACGAAATGCAAGACGTGCTCTTTCCAATAAGAGCAGCCCCGTTTTCGTCCTGAGAACAAAAGACGTGGAAACAAGCAGCCGAGCTCTCAGATGTTCCATACAAAACCTGCAGTTGGAGATCATCAGTCTGCCAGCGGTCGAGAACGCTCTGAGAAACAACTTCACCGCCGAAGGCAATGGATCGCAGTCCTGGGACATCCTTCGGCGAGAAGAAACTTGCAGCTGTCGGTGTGATGCTAGCAACATTAACATGGAGTGTATTGATAGATGTGGCCAAGTTAGAGGGAGCAATATCAGCCGGGATGCAAACGCAGCCGCCCCACATGAAAGTACCGAATGCCTCGAGGATGAATGCATCGGATGTATGGGGTGCAAACTGCAGAGTCCTAGACACATCGGCAATTGCCATGGTGGTAGCGAACGCCTCAGCTCGGGTCATGAGAGCTGAATGGTCAAGGATGACACTCTTAGCGGGGCCAGATGTGCCCGCAGTCATAGCAACGTATGCAATGTCGGATGATTGTGCCGCGGGGTTGAGGACCTCGTCTGCGAGGTACTCGAGGAGAGACTCGCTCACAGGAATCACGTACGGTACGGCATCCTCGAGGACATGTGCGTTTTCCGGGGAGGCCAGGGCGACTTGCACGGCGTTATCGACAATCCATTGCTCAACAAGCTCCAGGCTCCGGGGTGTGTCGACTGGGATACAGCCACCACCAGCTTTCATGATTGCCAAGGTGGAGACCATGTTCCACACAGACTTCTCGAAACAGATGGCGACCAGGGTGCCAGGGCCGACGCCGAAGGTGACGAGGTAACTTGCTAACCGAGAGGAGAATTGATCCAACTTAGAGTAAGTCAAGTTTCCATCCCAAGCAGTGACAGCCAACGCATCAGGGCGCTTCTTGGCCATCTCTTGGACAACTTGATGGGCGCATTTCTCAAAGGGCTTAGGATACTTGCTATTCCACGCCATAATCTGGGATCTGTTATCCTCGCTCAAATTGTCTAGCTCGCGAAGTTGGCCGTCAATATTTGAAACAATATTCTCGAGGCAACGAAGATATGTATTGGCCACATTGGCAGCCTGTGAGTCAGAGAGATTGGTAGTCCAGTAGTTGAGATCAATGCGGGCAGTAGAGTCCATGGCCTCGATGTTGATAAAGACTGGGAACTCAGCGGGATCGTGGATCGAGCCAACCTCGACACACTCGATCTCACTGCTGATAGCATCCTTAGAACTGGGAAGCCGGCGGTAGGAGACACCAGAGTTGAACAGATTGGTGTCGGACAGCTTCAAAGCATGTTGAACGTCGATGAGTGAAGTGTGGCGGTAGGGAAGGCTTTCCATGTAGTCGTTCTGAATTTGGTGCAGCACATCGCTGAGCTTCGCGTCATCATCAACCTTCATGCGGCAGACTAGAAGATTGATGACTGGTCCAATAACCCACTGGACGCCATCAGCAGACACATCACGCAGGGATGCCATGTAGCTGAACGAAACATCATCGGATCCACAGAAGGCGCGGAGAGTAAGACCCCACGCGGCGTTGAAGACATTTGCGAGAGTGATTCCGCGCTTCTCACAGACACCTTGAAGTTCGCCGAGTGCTCCAAAGTTGACGGGAATGGAGCGAAGTGCCTTGGCCAATTGTTGGCCGTCGGTGAGGGCGGGGAAGTGACACGGCTTAGCTTGATCCAAGTACGAGCGCCAGTAGTTGATGCTAGCCTTCTTTGGAGCATCCTGGAGGTACTCTATATAATTCTTGAACAGAGGCTGGGGAATTTCCTCAAGTCTTCCGGCATATGCAAGCTGCAAGTCACGGAAGATGATTGAGATTGAGTTACCATCCATTGCAGCGTGGCTGAGCTCAATACGGGCGAACAATCTGCCAGTGGGTGTTTGGCAAATAGTGAAACGATACGCTGGTTCGGGCTCGCTGTAATCCTTAGGCTGTTCTCTATCGAAGGTAGCAAGCACATCATCTTCTCCCGAGGACTGCAAGAAGACAGGAGTAGCGTCGTAACTCTTCAGCACGACTTGACAGAATGGGTGCCGAGGAGTGAGGTTCTCAACGAAGATCGTGCGGAACATCGCATGATGAGAAACGACTTGCTGCCATGCATTTACCAGGCGATCTAGGTTTGGCTGGCCAGATCCGGTGGGTCGAATTTCGAAGGTATCGTGAACGGCATAGTAGGAGCTATCTCGCTTGCGACCAAGGAGGATACCCTGCTGCATGCGGGAACAAGGGTAGATATCCTCGACAAGGTTCGTGGACTCGATGCCCATAGCAGGCAATGTCTCATTGAGTAACTTGTCCAAGGTAGGGTAGCTCAAGGACAGCAGGGGGAATGAGCTGAGAGTCAAACGGGGTGCGAGGGTAGGAAGCTGCTCAGCGAGGGTTACAAGTAGGTCCTGGCATTCAGAAACCCATCGGTGAATGCGATTCTGATGCTCCATGTACTTGTTAAAGGAGAAGTTGAATCGAACCTTCCCAGCCACGACCATGGCAGAGATCTCGAACAGACCAAAGCGGGGAGTATCGACTCCAAAGTCAGCAGCACCGCCTCCTTGGCCGGCTTCACCAGCCATCTGGTCAACAAGCTGGAAGAGACCGTCCTTCCTCTGCAAGTCTCGATGTTGACCAACGTAGTTGAACGACATCTCAAAGGGATGGGGGTGCTCGGAACTTTGATTGTCCTGGGCTGGGAGAATGCGGCTAGTGAAATCTGCGCGACCATTGTCTGACACACGACGGCGAAGGTCCTTCACCTGCATAAGGGTATCGATGGGGTCGTCTGACTTGTATGTAGAGACGAAGATTGGGTGCAGAATGGTGAACCAGCCAACAGTGTGCGAGATATCAATGGATGGATCCCAAACTTCTCTTCCATGGCCTTCATTGTAGATTGTTGGAAGAGAGCGATCGGGAAACGCTCGGCCAAATGAGTGTAGCATTGCTGCCAGGAAAAGGTCAATTGGCTCGGTCCCAAGAGCTTTGTGGCATTCGAGCAGAATGGAATTGGTATGGGCCTGGTCGATCTCAAACGAGGCACAATCCACATCACCATATGTGGTTTGAGTGTCTTTTAGGCCCCAGTAACCAAAGTTAGGTGCAGCAAGAGCATCGGTTGCAACTTTCTGCTCAGCGCGGAGGGTTTTGCAGTGCTCATTCTGCAGGCGGCACCAGGTCTGGAACGGCAAGGAGCCATCACTGGTTTCTGTCTTCTCGGGGTTTAAGATTATGTCTTCCAAATCTTCCAAAATAATTCTCCACGAGACAATATCGACAACCAAGTGGTGGGCTGTCATTGACAGGACATTCGGCTGGCCCTTGACCGAAAAATAGTCAACTGCAAGTAACGGCCCAGAGAAGCAGTTTATAGAAGACTGGCTGTCGGCGACATGAATCTTGACCTCTTCCATGTTGCTAAGATTGTGCATCCGCCATCGGTAAGATCCCTTGATATCGCGAGTTACATGTTGACTCGATGCGGTCGCAAATCCTGTGTCAGTGAATCGTGCACGGAGCATGGAGTGTCGAGATACCAAAGTTTCGACAGCTTTGCGCAGAGCTCGTTCATCGACTGGTTTGTTCAAACGAGTGAGGATTCCTTGGTTGAAGTGGCCTTGACCCTCCTTTCGTACACCAAAGTGAAGGATCTGGATGGGCGACAGGCTAAATGCTTCATCAACAGCTTCTTCGTAAGTCGTAAGGTGATCGATTGTCTTTGCGCGAGTTGCGAGGTCGCGGATTGATTTGCTGCGAAGCAGCTCCTGTACAGAGAGGGAAAACCCTCGCTTCTTGCAGAGACCGATACATGTCATAGCTGCGATGGAATCACCGCCGAGAGCGAGGAAGCTCTCGTTTAGATTAAGCTGGTTGAGGGGAATATTGAGGACACGACTATATACAGCAGCCAAAGCTTCCTCTCTGTCGTTGGTAGGCTGTGAGGCCTCTGTGCCCACGATTGGAACAGAGGCATTTCTCTGGAGATCCGGATCACTCTCCATACCTGCGACCCAAGTGGAAATGCCCTTGCGGTCTAGTTTCCCTGATGGCAGAAGTGGCAGAGCTTCAACACACAGCCAAACCGCCGGGACCATATAAGTGGGGAGGCGAGCTGATAGATGCTCTCGGATGCCTGGGACAAGCTCTGCCTTTTTCGAGGCGGAGACGAGTCGTAGAGGCTCCAAGTCCGAATCAGACTGCTCTGCAAGCAATCCCGTGGATGAGACAACTGCCGCCAGCCGTCCCTTGGAGAATCCAGCCTTGGGGAAGAGAACAGAACAGTGAGTGACGTTCACAGCTTTGCTCAACTGGTTCTCAATTTCGCCTAGCTCGATTCGTTGTCCGTGAACCTTTACCTGTGTATCTTTCCGGCCGATGTAATTCAGGGCACCCGTGTCGGAGTTGTACCTGACAAGATCACCTGTCTTGTAAAATCTACGGCTAGGGCGATTTTCAGGGTCCAAGGTAGTCCAAGCAGGGTCGTAGATGAACGATTCGTTTGTCTTTTGTGGGTTATTCACGTAGCACCGGGCCAGGGGTGGGCCTTCCAAAAGTAATTCTCCAGGACATCCCACTGGAACCAGTTCATCGTGGTTATCAGGGTTCACAAGCCAAGTCCTAACACCAATGGGCAGTCCGATATCTTTACAATCGGTTTCAGGTGTGACATTGGAGTTGAGCACGGATGCGACACTGGCCTCGGTAGGTCCGTAACCATTGACCAGTTTGATTTTCGACCAAGTGGCCAGCTGCGATTGCGACATTGCCTCTCCGGCCAGAACCAAACTCTCCAGTCCCGGGACACTCTCAATTTCAATAAAGCCGACAAATGATGGCGTGAAGCAGGCTTGAGTGACTCGCATCTCGTTGATAGTGGTGACAATGTCATTGAGGCGAGCCTCCTCACTTGGAATACACACACATGCACCATGAATGAGTGGCGTCAAACTCTCCGCCAAACTGGCATCGAATGTGTGGGCGGCAAATTGAAGACATCGTGACTCGCGATAAATTTTCAGACCGGGACCATGCACCATAGCCCCGGACAGGAACGCGCGGTGCTCCAAGAGGGTTCCCTGCAGAACACATGTCAGCTTAGCTCAGATATTACAACTCTATTCAATTAAAAATGACTAACCTTGGGTTCTCCTGTTGATCCAGAGGTAAAAAGAACGTAAGCCGCATTTTGACTTGTTACACCCGATGCAAGATTGACACCGTCGGCGGGTTCAGACAGAGGATCTAGTGTATCAGAACAAAGTGGTATTAAAGTCTTCACGATAGTCCGAAGTTTTTCAGTCAGATGTTGGGAACATAACACAACCGGTGCCTGAACCGATTGGATGAGAGATTGTAGTCGGGAAGTTGGGTGAGTTGGGTCCAACGGGACGAAGGCTCCACCGGCCTTCATCACGCCAAGCATTGCGACGATGTTCCATTTCTATACAGTCAGTATACACTCAACTCCCAATAGTAATCAACTCACAGATTTATCGAAGCACAAAGCCACGCGGACCTCCGGTCCAACTCCTTGCATGCGAAGATAACATGCAAGCTTCGACGCTTGATGGTCCAACTCGGCAAACGTCAAGCTTCCATCCCACGCGCATACAGCTTCACGATCAGGTCCGCTCAACATTTGTTCGTGGATCGCCTCGTGAATGCAACGATCGTGGAGCTGTGGGATAGTGGAGTTCCACTTCTGGATGCGTTGCCAGTCGTTCTCGGAGAACAAATTAAGCTGGCTAATAGCGGTGTTCTCGGCGGAAAGGACTTTGGCAAGCAGCTGGTCGAAAATGCTTGCAATACTCTTCATTTGCTCCCCAGACATGTCGCCCTTGCGCCATTCAAGGAAGATGCTGATGTCTCCACGCAGCACCTTAACATGAAGACGGACTTGGCACTGCGCGGATTGTTAGCGAACTCAATTCTCATCTGAATGAACTCCCCAAAAGCTTATGTTTTTGAACTAACCTCGTCCGGGAGAGCTGTCGCAAGCATAGGTTTTGAAGGAGAAGCAGGTGGGTCGTATGTGCGCAGCATGAAGATGGTGTTGAAAGGAAGATATCGCTCGGAAGCGGCCTCCGAGCTTCCACGACGGCTCGGACTGTTTTCGCGCATCTTATCTACAATTTCTGTGAGGGAGTCGTTGTCGTTGATGGATATGCGGATCGTGGAAATGTTAACGCCGGAAGAACGCTGTACATATGATTTGGGAGAGGAGTCGCCGTCGAGATGTTGGTAACCGAAGCATATATCCTCGGAGCGGATGTAGTAATGTAACAAGAGCGCCCACGTAGCTCGTAGGATTGGATTCAGACGGCCTTCATTCCATGCGGTTACTAACTGCGCATGTTGAGCAGCTGTTGGTCTCGTCTTCATCGAGACTGGGCGTTTAGGCCCGTCCACCATCGAAGCGAACCTAGGAAGATAGCATTTGGTGGATTGGGCCATGGCGTCTAATGGCCAGACGTGCTGGCTTCTATTTTTCGTTTTGTGTTTTCCGAAGAAAGAGAGGCCCTGAGGTAAAGGATCAACGACAGTATTAATTCAACAGTCAACTTGAGCGCGCGCGGGCAAGGATGAGCTCGGTTATTTTAGATAACTAAGTACATGCCCAGCTTTTCTTTTTCCCTTTTTTCTAAAAAAAAGTATTATTTTACGAGCTCGAAAATCACCATGTCCGGTGGGCTAAGACTGCATGGCCACACTTTCCACAGTATCCAGTAATAGAGCGCCAGTGACTTGGGTCACTGGTAAATGGGCTATATTCCTTGCATGGAATCTAGATTGAAGGGAGAAAGAGACAATACGTGGATCAGGCGTATACTTGGCCCCCCCTGTGGAACCAAGTCAGACTAAGACATTTTTGCCTTTTCATTTCTTTTTTTTTTTTCCTGAATTTCTATATCTATTTTCGAATGTAACCCTTCGTAAAAGGACTAACCCACTTGAAAGGTAATGCAGGGGAAATGTCCTACTCTGTGAACTCCGTGGGGGAATTCTCCCAAGTGCCTGCAGCTCCCCCGATCAGGATCCCTTGCAGTCTAGAACGTGGGTGTAGTAGTGAGCAAGGCATCGGGGGATCTCCTTTTGGTCCCGAATGTCGAAATTGGATGGTCGTATATTGTTTATTATCCTTTTCCTGGATCTGACAAGGTCCCAAGGCTGACGTGACTAGCTTTGCTGTCTGTTTCAAGTCCGCTTACAGCAAGCTAAAGAACAGGTACATATCCTAAAATGGGCATATGCCGTATATCCTCGCTTCACATTGCGGATATAGACTTTGTCATCCCTCATGCATCGGCATCACTGCAGGTATACGAGCCTCGTGAGGCGTTTATCGTTTACGATGTACACCGACTGATGCGCACATGGCACCGACCCCGGAATACTTGCTCCAAGCTCGGTTCTCACCTCTACTCTGGGGACCTCTTGTGATCGGTGCGCGTGGCACGGATATCCGAGAATTTGGGCCTGCATCAGCAAGGTGTGGCGAGCTAGGATGGGGCGAACCAGGATTTACCGCGCAGTTCAGGCACTACCGCAGTGAGGGTATCAGTGGCGGTGTCGATCCTGTATAGCGATCGTGATCGTAAAGCTAATTTACCGTGTTCACACACCATGGCTTGGATGCCTTTTGAGATTGGGTATTCAGGCTAAGAAGAATCCTGTACCCCAAGCTGATGTCATCACCATAGTTCCCCAGGGGGCAAGGTCGGACATATCAGATTTATTATCGGAATATACAAGGATAGAAGATGATCGGAGGAATACTTGGCTTAAAGTAAAATACTCTATCCTTTATTAAGGGATTCGATCTCAGAATCACATTTGAGCTATTTTATAAAAATTTTCACATCACATAATGTAATGCGAACCTGATGTGTACAGAAAGCCACTAGTCACTACTGCAAGGGTCAACAAGGGATGGGGGCTTAAGCGAGCCTGTTGACTTGGCATGTATTTTTATACATTACTACATACATGTACTCAATAGATGGATAAGAATACATGGTGTACAAAGTTAAAGCGAAAAAGGGGAAAATATTCCACAGTTTCTTCCCGTCTGTAGGTATCCAAGAGAAACATGCGTTGTGGTGTAGTATGTGCTTTGCTTTAGAATATGATTGCTTTTTCTGCCTTCTTCAGGTTTTTCTTTTTTCTTTTCCACTTTTTTCCCACTTTTTTTCTTCCTTTCCTTGTTTTTCTTGAATCGCTCTCGTTTATAGTAAGCCCAATGATCTGGAACGTACATTTGTATTCGCACTATTCTCACTAGTGATCGAAGCCTCCGAGACTGTACCAATAGGAAATACGAGATTCACCGAAGATCCACACGGGAAAGGCTGAGAAGAACTGGTGACGGGCTAGCCCTAGCTCCCGGTGCGAACAGACAATGGAGATATTTGACAGGTTAATCTCATTGTCACCAGATACATCAATTCACTGCATTTGAGCCCCAAAGTCAAATATCCTTTTCTTTGGGGTTATACAAATACGGAAATGTCTCTCCGCCGCAGGATTATTTGGAATCTACTGCACATGTGAGCATTAATGTACATTAGTGGAGAGTATCATGACAACTCGCCACCCATCAACCACGCTTCCAAGACAAGAGGAAAAAGCAAAACTAAAAACCGGCTTACCCTGGTCAGGTCGGTATCTCGGGGACAGTTACTCGTCAGGGACTGTAGGTACAGATCCCGACTCATGCACATTGGCTTAGCGACCGCCACGCGAACTACCACGTCTTGGAAGATGCAGATTCTAATTCAGGCTCAGTTGAAATGAATACCGATGACAGCCGAAACTCCGAAAGGATTCAAGGTGGGCCATGTCAAACTGCAGGTTTGGGTCAAAAAGAACGATTGGCCCGGATGAATCGAATCCCTACCGCCACTGCCGAGTTAGTAAAAGCAAAAAAAAACGCCATTTCAGCGGATGTATGTGTTGGCCATTCAATTTTAGAAAATTATCATTGTAGTAATTTCCAGAACTAGTTGGAATCAATATCTCTCTCAAGGTTTTCTCCGAATGTAGAAGATCCAACCGAGATTCTTCACCGACAGCTTCTACCGTCAAGCAAAGTTTACTTTGATATATATATATATATAATATATATATTGTAGGTCTGCAGTAAAGTGAAAATAAGAATCGAAGTCGATTAAATGAAATTAAATTATAATAATAACTGCTAGTATTAGAACCCTAAAGTGCCAGATCTTCCATCATACAGAGGTTTCTCCTCACATGAGCAGAAAAGCTATTTGTTTGCCCTAACTCAACACGGGACTTCAAATACAACCATTAGAACTCATATTAGAGGTCATTGCACTATGATGATTTTAGTTCTGCAAGGTAACACAACTCCCTCGTGTTGCTCGGGGTTTACTCGAGGTTTCCTTGCCTCCTGGAAATAGACCTACTGCCAATGATATCCCCCACATCCCCAAGGGGGGCGGAAGGCCCTCCGCGATTTGCCTGAATCAAGTCCACTATAGATGTTCGAAGTGGAGACATGAAATCAGAGAGCAATCTCCCGTCTTATACTTAGAAAAAAAACATGAAATGAAAATAGAACATAAAAAGAAAACAAACCAAAATACATGCAGCTGAATGGGTCCATACTAGCCCAAGTCTGGATGAGCTCACAGGGCATTGCCAGTAATTACATTGTAAGATGGTTGCATTGAGTGTTGTATTCATGTCCACTCTGATGCAGCCCACCAGTAACAGGGTCATAAGGGTGAGCTCAAGGTTGCAGTTCTCCTTGTAGTTCCTAGAGGGATACAAACCTCGTTTAGCCCTATGTACCTTTATTATGATGATCTAGTAGTGAGTCTGACTGTTATTATGTCACTTTATGATCTGTCTGATCTAGACCAAAAAGCGGCAGGTTCCCCAAAATCATGCACGTTCTTCTAAACCATACACTCTTTTAATTCTAATTCCCCGTTCGTTACAGTCTTTCTTTTCTTCAACCATCCTCTGTCGCCAGGTGGTTCAAGGTTAGACATGACATCCTCTCGCTATTCAGGGCCTTTGTGCCACGATCTAGATAATACTCTACGTATTGATGCTGGATCTTGCCGGGGAGGATTCGATTTCTCTCTTCTATTTGAGGAGACTATCCTCCGCATTTTACCTATTATATTAATGCTAATCATTATTCCTGTTCGTCTCTGGCATCTTTCACAAAGACGACAGAAGGTTGTGGGATCATGGTTGGTCCTCATCAAGCTTGTAAGTTGATAGCGTCTACTTTACTTTCGGCAGTTCGCATGCAACTCCCCGACACCCCTCTTCTTTCAAAATGGTGAACTAGTCAATTATGGAAAACTTTTATCTAATAATTATTCTGGGAACAGGCAGCTTGGTTTGGACTACTAGGACTTCAAATTGCGCAAACAGCCTTGTGGGCGTTGCCGGCAGCCGACAGCACTAAGGTCTCGGTTGCAGCCAATGTGATCCTCACAATCGGTGTCCTCGCTCTCGTTCTGTTATCATATGCAGAGCACACGCGCTCTGTGCGACCATCCTTCGTTTTGAACTCCTACCTCTTCTGCAGCCTGCTTTTCGATGCCGCTCATTCTAGAACGCTATGGCTTCGCAGTGCGGACAGCTTCAATAATATCCTTGCCATTGTTGCTACAGCAGCCGTCGGTGTGAAATTGGTTCTGTTCGTGCTCGAGGCCGTGGAGAAGAGACATATTCTCAAATCGGAATATGCGGGTTATCCCCCAGAAGCAACTGCAGGTTTCTACAACCAGGCGGTGTTCTGGTGGCTGAACCCACTGTTCAAGATCGGCTTCACCGGCATTCTGCGTGTAGAAGATCTTTCTTCCTTGGATAAAGAACTGAGCTCTGAGCGTTTACTAGCTCGGTTTGATGAAAAATGGAGCAAAGGTAATTAATTATCTGTCTACTGGTCTACGTGGTTTTTCTATTTGCTAATAATTTTATTCAGTGGCAACGAAGTCCCCCAACACACTCCAATGGGAATCATTGAAAACTGTCAAATGGCCTCTCCTTGCAGCTGTCCCCGCCAGAGCTTGCGTTGTTGCCTTCAACTTTTGCCAGCCTTTGCTCCTGGAGAGATCGCTCTCGTTCTTCAGTTCCCCCGTCAACGACGGTACCCAGAACATCGGATACGGACTTATTGGCGCCTATGTCTTGGTCTATGGCGGACTGGCCATTTCAATGGGCCAGTATCAGCACCTCACATACCGCGGGATTACCATGGTCCGAGGTGTGCTTGTCACAATGCTGTACAAGAAGGCCAGCTGTCTGAGCCTTGGGGAGACCGATCCTGCCAACTCGCTCACTTTGATGAGCGCAGATGTCGAGCGCATTACCAATGGATGGCAGACCATACATGAAATTTGGGCAAACTCTGTTGAGATTGCTTTGGCTATCTACCTTCTCAAACTTCAGCTTGGAATTTCCTGTGTTGTTCCTGTCTGTGTCGCTCTGTTTGCTTTGGTTGGATCTCTCATCGGCATGTCCTTTGTGGTCGCACGGCAAGCCAAGTGGCTGGAAGCTATCGAGAAGCGCATTTCCTCTACTTCCGGGATGCTTGGATCAATCAAGGGAGTCAAGATGCTTGGCCTGCAAGATTCCTTCATGAAATTCGTTCATGGTCTTCGGATCAGCGAACTCGATATCTCCAAGAAGTTCCGTACCCTTCTTGTCTACAACATGGCCTTTGCCTGGTTAACTCGTATTTTTGCCCCGATCTTCACCTTCGGTGTTTATGTTGGTATCTCCAGCGAACCTTTGAGCGTCTCTCGAGCTTTCACATCTCTGTCTCTGTTCTCCCTTTTGGCAGACCCACTCTTGACCCTGGTCATGGCGCTCATGTCTTTCGCTGGCGCTGTCGGATCTTTCCAGCGCATTCAACAGTTTTTGGACAAAGAGGACCACACTGATCGCAGGGGTAGCTCCTCGCAGACTTTGTTCCTCGATGATCTCGCTGAAAAGCGCGCACTGTCCAAGGCTAACGACCTTGACCTGTCATCGATTAACTCGGACTCTGTCGAGTCGCTCAAGCGCATTAGCGCTCTATCTTCTTCAAACGCTGTCGTTGTCCAAGGTGGAAGCTTTGGATGGGAAGCTGACAAGGATCCTATTCTGAACGACATTACTATGACCATCCCTCAGGGCAGCTTCACTGTTATTATTGGGCCGTCTGGATGCGGCAAGTCTACCTTGCTCAAGGCTCTTCTCGGAGAAATCCCCTGTTCCGGTGGCAAGGTTGCGCTCGCATCTTCCAGCGTTGCATACTGTGATCAAACCCCGTGGCACATGAATGGCACTATTAAAGACAGCATCGTCGCGATGTCTGACTATGATCCTCAATGGTATACCTCCGTGATTCGGGCTTGCGCTCTGGAAGAAGACCTCGCGCAGTTCCCTCGCGGAGACGCTGCTATCATCGGAAGTAAAGGTATCGCCCTCAGCGGTGGTCAAAGCCAACGTATCGCACTTGCACGAGCAGTCTATGCCCGGAGAAAGATCATGATTCTCGATGATGCCCTCAGCGGTCTAGACGCTACCACGGAAGATCACATCTTCCACAGCCTCTTTGGCCCCAGGGGACTTCTGAAAGAGATTGAGTCTTCAGTCATCGTCGCTTCTTCTTCTGTCAAACGTCTTCCCTACTCCGATCACATCATTGTCTTGGAGGCAGGTGGTCGGATTTGTGAACAAGGAAACTTTACTTCTCTAAACAAGACTGGTGGATATGTGTCAAGTTTCGGACTCGGGTTGCCTGATTGGGAGTACAACGTTAAGCGATTCTCCGACTCTCCCAGTTACAGCAGTGTCGACACGGTCCAGAAAGAAAAGGAGGTACTGATTGAGGAGCCAGAGCATCACGACCGTGGTGGCGATCTCGGAATCTACACATACTACATCAACGCCATCGGGTGGCTTCCTGCGATTATCTTCATGGTCGCAATGGCCGGTTTCGTGTTCTGCATCTCATTCCCCAGCATTTGGGTAAAATGGTGGGCCCAGTCCGACACTGAACATCCCAAGCAGGAGCTTGGCCACTATCTTGGTATCTACGCAATGCTTGGCTGTGTCGCCATGCTCGCACTGATTGTTGGCTGCTGGCAAATGATTATCACCATGGTCCCGAAGTCTGGCGAGAACTTCCACCACAAGCTCCTGACCACCGTCCTCGCCGCTCCAATGCTGTTCTTTTCCTCTACCGACAGCGGTTCAATCCTCAACAGGTTCAGTCAAGACTTGCAGCTCATCGACATGGAGCTTCCCATCGCCGCAATCAACACTGTTGCTACTTTCTTCCTCTGTCTGGCACAGATGGCGCTCATTGGCGTCTCCTCCAAATACGCAGCGATCTCCTTCCCGATCGTGCTTGGTATCTTGTTCCTGATTCAGAAAATGTACCTGCGCACCTCGCGCCAGCTCCGTTTCTTGGACATCGAGGCCAAGGCTCCATTGTACTCGCACTTCACCGACTGTCTGCAAGGGCTTGTGACTCTGCGTGCCTTCGGATGGCAACACGCCATGGAGAAGAAGAACATCGCTCTCCTAGATCACTCGCAACGACCCTTTTACTTCATGTTCGCTATCCAGCGCTGGCTCACTCTGTCGCTAGACATGGTTGTGGCAGGAATCGCTGTTCTCCTGATTGTGCTGGTCGTTGCTATGCGTGGATCATCCCTCAGTGCAGGCTACGTTGGTGTCGCCCTGTTGAACGTTATCCAGTTCAGTCAAAGCATCAAGCTTCTGGTTACATTCTGGACCAACTTGGAGACGCATATCGGTTCCATCCAGCGCATCAAGGACTTTACGTCAACTGTCGAGTCTGAAGACAAGCCTGGTGAAGACCAAGATGTGCCCCCTAACTGGCCCTCAAAAGGTGCAGTTGCCTTCAATTCCGTCTCTGCAGCTTACAGACCCTCCGAGCCAGTTCTCAGCGACATCTCTCTCACTGTCGCGGCGGGCGAGAAAGTCGGTATCTGCGGGCGCACCGGAAGGTAAGAACAACATTATCCTATTAAATTCCGTACTCTATTCTAACAAAGGAAAACAGTGGAAAAACCTCCATGATCATGAGCATCTTCCGAATGGTGGAACTAACCAGCGGCACCATCACCGTGGACGGAGTTGACATCAGCCGACTCCCCCGACGAGAGATCCGCTCCCGCATCAACGGCGTATCACAAGACTCCCTCCTATTCCAAGGCAGCGTCCGATTGAACGCCGACCCCACAGGTACCCGTACGGACCGAGACATCTTGACAGCACTCAAGAGTGTGCAGCTCCTCCCTGCAATCCAAGAAAAGGGCACTCTAGACACCGACATCGACGAGATCCACCTGTCTCACGGCCAAAAACAACTCTTCTGCCTTGCGCGCGCCCTACTTCGTCCCGGCAATATTCTCATTTTGGATGAAGCAACTAGCAAGTAAGTCTCCTCACATCGACCCACCTCTCCCCTGCAGGAACGACAATTTCCTTTGAGTTTTGCGATCTATACAATTTCCCCCCCTTACTCGAAATTAACTAACCCACTTTCCAGCATCGACACCAAAACAGATGAAATTATGCAGCGCGTTATCAGAGAGAAATTCTGTAATCACACTATTATCGCTGTCGCTCACAAACTTGATACAATTCTTGACTTCGATCGTATCGTCGTTTTGGACGCTGGTCGCATTGTGGAGAATGGGGAGCCGTATGCGCTTCTCGCTGAGCCCAAGTCGCACTTTAGCAGACTTTATGCAAGTGCCATGGCGACGGAGGAGTCAGATTAATTTCTCTTTCTCTCTTTTTTTTCTTGGAAATTTTGGGCCCGGTTGTCTGATTCATTTTGCACAGGTTGGAGCGTCTGGATATTTTTGGCGTGACAATCTTCCACATTCCCTTTTTCGAGGTACATATCGAGAACATATTGGATTTTAGGGCCTTAATGGTCGGCGTTGTATATTTGGGGGTTTTGTTCTGGTTCTTGTTTATTTTTTGGGTTCTGGTGTGATGATTTTATGCTCTTCTTTGACTATCTTTCAATACTTTTATGGTATTTTGGAGTGATGCTATCCACAGCTCCTTTAGCTCTTGAATATTGATCCGTATGCCTTACCTTGATCATCTAACACTAAGTCAATGTCATTTGTAGCTTCAATGGGCCTCATCTACAATTTCCCTCTAAATCGGAGAAATGGTTGCATTGTGCTATCCTCTGGAGCAGTTCTCAACATCTCACTATATTGTTTCGATATAATTAAATGATAATAGACGAATTACATACGTAGAGGACTTGGATAAATTACTTTTTACCTTCTCCAATTTTGTTTGTTGTAGAAATATGACGTTTGAATGGATATATAGTTGCTCGATATATATATCACCGAACTTGAATTCCTTTTCAAAAGTCGACCGTAGTCACTCGAGAAAATCATTGTTTAAATTGACATTTGCCTAATCCTACTCAAGTATGTCCGAACCACACTACCTACTAGTATCTCTTGACTAACTCTGTAATACAACTTGGGGAGTCTGTGAAATCAGGTTATCTCGCAAGGGCAGTAGTACGGCAATTCTGTTATCTGTCACTTTAGATTTCCCATAAAATTGTTGACCCTGTTTGAGTGGGGTTTCTTTTGTATTCTGTCTAAATGTCTCTACTGTTTCGTTATAGATATTTTTCCCTCTGATTTTGCAGATGGAGGCTCTAGGGCTTATTGAGTGTTTGGCTTTCCCTTTCCGTTTTAGTGCTCTTTCATTGCCGCTTTTGGGCTCACTGAGTCTTACATAATCACCAAAGCCCTGGAGGCCAGGTGACCTTGGCAGCATCACCTGATCATTATATAAGCTGATGACTCGCCCGCGGGCCCGCGGGACCGCCTGGAGGCCCGCGCAGGCGGCTGCCAGTCTTAGCTTCATGATTCACTCACAATAATCAACACTAGATGAATCTTCCAGGCTGTATGGGGTTGTAGATCTGATACTGTTCCATTCTGTTTGATCTACATGGCAAAGCGCATGTGTAAGCTTGTTGAAAGAGCTTGCCTCCCTAGCTGTTGAAGCCGTGACCTGGAACTCTTAATTCACTTTGATATTCCCGAAGACGAACGTGGCGTAAGAGTGCTCTGAGCCAAGATTTTCCATCTCAGTTTTACTGATCATAGCGATATACCCACTCGACAGGTCACGGAACATGTATAGGCCCTCCGAAGACTTGATAAATACACGGTCGCCGTTCTCTATTGTGGACTTGGGCTTTGACACATCGATGGGCTCTAGGCAGAAGGTATCTTCATTCTCGGAGCTTGATTGATAAACCCAACGGGAAGGGTAACCCGGCAATTCTTTGCTAACGGCTAATGAACGGCGAGCGGGCTGATCGCTGAGGTTTTGGATCTTCGCAAAAGTGTTTGCCGGTATCTTTGAACGCATAAATTATTAACAATTGAAGTACGGAGTATGAGCATTTGAATACACACCTTTTGTTCTCCACCTTTAGGAATTGCATATTCCATCGTCCAAACGTTTCGATATCTAGGCTCACCGACGAAGCATGGAACGAACCCCGACTGTGAGACTTCACTTATTAGATCATTCCTCTTCTGTTGCCATTCTTTAGATTGAAGCTGCTTTGTCTTGAAATCTTCCTCTATAAATTTAGCTAGTATGGGTTAGCGGTACTAGAGATAGTATGGAAATGGACCAATCGAGAGATACCAAATTTGATAGGAGGACGGGTCTCATCTAGGAGTGATAGAGGCCACTTGTACACTCCGTCGGTAAAACTGAAGCTGAAATTGACGCGTGACAGTTGGTATGCGTTGTTGGCGCTCCTTTTGAATCGATCTTCGACATCTCCAAAACCAGCGATTGAGCCGAGCACCTTGTAGAGTGGAAGGATGTCGCATTGCTATTTCATGTCAGTTGGTGTTCAGTTTCGGGCAAAAAGACGTACGTCAATCACTCTCCAGTTGTAGTAATCACCCACTGTTGCACACCACGCCGAAGGGCTGTCTTGTTATTAGCATGCCCTAGTCACTCAAGTTGAGCCGCATACTTGTTACATAGCGTTGTATCACCCCCAGTTGCCTCCCAGGCCATTGAGTTCGTGAGATCCTTCTCTGATTCATCTTTGTTTGAGCTGTCACCTTGGCCATGGCTTGCACTGACGGATGCCTGTGCGAATGATGACGAGAATGAGGCAGCGGCCGAGATTTTCAATGACCTGGCTTTAGCCTCCTTAGTCTGACTGCTCATAGCAAGACTGGCCACGCTGGAATTGAGGACACCCCCAAGCTGGACCCTCTGCGGAAAGATATCACCTTCACTAGGCATCAGACCAGCCGAGCAATATAGAAGGGGAGATTGACGCACCGTACTTGTTGCTGAAGTCGATTAGACTCTGCTTATCCACGACTCCGAGAATATCCTGCTTGCATTCTTCGGTAACCTCAAGACCAATTGGGTCGAGGTAGAGAGTAACACGCGGAAACTAGTCGTGATCAACGCTTATTCTCACATGGACGGGAGAACGTACCTTGTAAGCGATGTGCATGGTCTGTTGTTTTGCGGAGGTTGCAGCCACCGAATCATCCTTGCTCTCAGCAGCAAATCCACCTTTCGCTGCTGCAGATACACCCCAGAAGCTAGCGCCGCTGCCATTTGGGGTCAATTACCTATTTGCATCGTCCATGAGGTGAAATTATAGGCAGCTTACATGGATGCTTCCACTGACGTCTCGGAGAACGAGCTAGTTGCAAGTGAAGACTCCAAAGCGTTCTGCGTTTCATAGACGGTCACGTATGAGTCGTCGTCGACTCGGAAACGAGGGATCCTGAATTGAAGCTAGTAGAAACACCGTCAGCTTTCAGCTAGTAGTTCAAAAATCATGTCCTAACCTCTGGTAACTCGGAGTCCGTGGATGTACTAGGTTCCGAAATCTCCCACTTCTCGAATTTTCTTGGCTTTATTTGAAAGGCTACAAGTGATTAGCCTCAGTCGATTATAACGAGGGACCGCGTACCGCTGTATGGGCTGCGCTCGACCTTCATCTCTGTGGTCTTGGCCGGTACTTCGGTTTTTGCAGCCTTGTGGTCATCACTAGCTTTTCTCTTTTGATAAACCACCATCCTGTGGCCGCTGAGGAGGCAATTAGTTCGTGTGATAGCATCCCACTGCGTTTCGTTGAGATCAACAGCATGACTAAGAAAATTCATGAGCACTGAGCACTAAAATCCAGAGATTCACCAACCTTAGCTTGCCTCCTGAGCTGGCCATCCACTGCGCTTGGTTAAACGAAGCCTCAAGCAGTTTCGCGTCTGCCTCGGACAGCTTTTGACCCTATTCCGGGGTTAGTAGATGGTTATAGCGAATATAGAGACGTACCTTTAGGTTGAGATCTAGTTGATTCTTGAGGAATGCCTTTGTCTCGTCATCGATATTTGTGCGAGTCTTCTTCTGGATATAGTAGACGCTCAACTGGCCGACCCCATCTGCCGGCGGCTTCTGGTAGGAGCGTTAGAGGGGATAGATGGATGGATGGGAATTATCATATTTTCATACTTCACTTTCACCAGCAATCACTTTGAAGTCTTGATCACAGTCTTGTCCGACAACTTAAATCCTCGTTCGTCACAAAACGGACTCTTGACACTAGATGAATATTAGTCGACATGAGCCATTCGAAGATTTCATCTTACTCTGTAGAAGAAAAGACTCCATGGTCTATCAAAAGCTTTCTCAGATCGGCTAATGTCTTGGTCTCAAACTCGTCGTAATTATCAATACCGATGAGACGGTTCTGGCCTGTCGCATGTGTGCTTGGGTCATATTTGTGCACGCGCAGGAATGTTGGATCTTCTTCTTTCTTGTTGTTTTCGTCGGCAGACATGATTACGACTCCACTGGACTGTCTCTAATTTGGGGAAAGTATAGAGGCGAAGATAATAGTGCAACTTGTGCATTGAGATGAACGAAGAGGATAATAGGGAGAGAGTGGTATAAGTTGGTATGGCTAAAGATGATCTTCATTCCTATGTATCTAGTGCCATATATAGGTGGAGCATATAGGACGGGGGTATTTCCCGCGTTATACATATCATATTAGAGATTTATATCACTAAATTTGTATATCAATATACTAGATTTGTGTTGGTTATAAGGATTTGCTCTTGTAGACCTAGTACCTAAATTACGGAAATCTGGTAGTCAATATTCGTGATAAATCTCCAAGGAATTTCAATAGAAAGATATCTCCGCGGGGATTCATATCCCTCGGTCCTCTATCTCGGGTAAAATATTCTAATATTAATGGTACTGTAGGTTTCGACAGTAGACTCCAATGCTATTGCTCCATCTCAAGCGGATATCCCACTATCGGCCAGTTGATGGCAGCACGGCCCCCGGCCCGGGGGCCAAAGAAAGATCTCATTTAGGGTGTCCACTAACCCCAATAGTCGGTAGACTGATGGTGAGAATATTCTCACCTAATTGGCTCTACTTGCATATTGACTGAGCAAAAGTACGTGAATATAGTATTTAGAGGAAGCATACCTAGTTCTTGCTAATTAAACCCCTTAAGGGTCTAGGGGGGTAAACTCTTGTTCAACGCAAATGTACCTTTTGTTAGGGTTTCACATATTAAAGGTACAGCTAATCATCCGGTTCTTAACCTCAAGATCAGGACTGATCTGAGTTGATTTGCTCACTGAGATTGACCTCAAATGGACTGTGTGAATGATAGTAATTTATACTAATTAGGTCTTATACAAGCTTTCTGATTACCCGTGGACCGATCACGCTTACTCCGTACAATATTTACCTTCGCCGTCTCACTATTCACTAGTGGCCCAGAACACCCAATAAGAATTAGATGTCTTTCCCTATCACAGATTTGAATCCACCAAGTATATGGGGCCAAATAGCCCCCTTCCTGATTTATAATTTACTGTAGCAATGACTCATTAATTATATGAATGAGAAATACCCCAGCTCACGATATAACTATACCTACAATCGCTGTTTGAAGTCTTCATCCGCACATGCGACCCAGCGGACATCAACATCATGACATCAAAATGGCAAACTACACGTCTCCTTCATGGCATCCGAGCCATAGTTGGCGGTCAAGGCCCCCCTTTGATTCTCGTTCCAGGATGGCCACAGACAGCAGAGGCATTTAGCGATATCTTCGAGCCCCTTTCTAAACATTATCAATTTTTCGCTCTCGACCCCCCAGGCCTGGGTGGTTCGCCTCCTCCCCTTAATGGCTACGATACCGCGAACGTGAGCAAAATCATGGCCGAAGCGATTCACGACGCTTTGAAAGAAAAACCGTACCATCTAGTTGGCCACGATGTGGGTGGATGGATTTCCTATCCCTGGGCCGCCCAATTCCAATCGAGAATCAAATCGCTCAGTATACTAGACGCAGGAGTGCCAGGTTTCCTGCCCCCGCTTCAGTTTCCGTTGTCTTCCGCGGCCAACCTGCGTCTTTGGCAATTTTCGTTTAACGCGCTTCCTGAATTACCGGAAATTCTCACTAGCGGTCGTGAGCGGGAGCTACTGACCTGGTTCTTCAATCTGAAGACGGCTCATGCGGATGGTTTACCCAAAGATCAATGTGAACGCTATATACAAGCCTATTCAAGGCCAGGAGCGCTGAGTCGGGGTTTCGAGTACTATCGGGCTTACGAAACAAGTACGAAGCAGAATCTAGAATATGCGAAAACACCACTTGATATCCCTGTCTTGGCTTTAGGTGGAGCCAGCGCCGTCGGTTCGGGGATGATTAGCATGGCCCAGAACTTTGCGACAAAAGTTTCCGGGGGTGTTATTGATGATTGTGGGCACTTCCTTCCCGAAGAGCAACCATCTGCAGTTGCGAACAGACTGCTGAAATTTTTGGCAAACCCGGATAAAATTACCTTGGATGCGTCTTCCAGTGTATGATATTGCCTAGATTTCACCATCGTTTGCCGTGGACGGCTCAAGTTCATACGGTTATACAAAGATTGGCTTGATGCCATCTCTTTTGCAAGGTTAATTAGTGCTAGCCATGACAGCCACGCAAGGGAATAAGATAGTAAAATCGATTGATTTCGGTCGGTCGACAATACAGAATATCATATATGACTCATCCAAGGTACAAGCATACCACACAAAGGAGCAATAGAAGCTCTGATGTGATTACAGAAGGCAAGGATAGTCCCGCATAATTGGCCTTGCGGTGTCTTTTCAGCCACCTTTTCAGTGGTCTCTTTAGTGGTCTTCTCAGATATCACTGTAGATTTCTCAGTTTTATAGGTCGACGGCACAAAAGGCAGGAAAAGGCTTATATAAATAACCTTTTAATACTAAGCCTAATTGGGATATCAGATGGGCCCTCTACCCGATCTCCAACTACCAAGGCCCGATGGATCCGTACTTGTTAAAGACTTTTAACTGGAATCGGTACATGATTGCCGCAATCTCATGGTTTAACAAATGGCGACCGAGCTTCTTGTCCACCTACCAGTGGGAGGGGATCGGCAGAATAGCGACGTAAGGAGCCTCAACCAGGAACACCACCCGGCCGCCCTTCCGTTCCTAAAGGAGCGTACAAGAAGGAGTAATACTCTTATCCAGACACCTCAGATCTGCTCAGACGGATGAGCCAATTTGAAGACAACTTCACTGGAACACCCCCTATAAAAAGCCCCTCCTAAGAAATCTAAAACGCACCTATCAAACCGCAATCTAGAATAGCATTTATAAAGAAAGCAATGGAAGTTCCCGAGGAAGTCCCGGGAACTAAGCCCATAGTATTTCTATCCACGATATTAGAAAAAGAAACCAATTGTGCACCCCATCCGAATATGGGACTACCCTAACAAAAAAAGAAATGAAAACACCCATGTCACCATACATTGGAACAAAAGAAGAATTCGAAGGTCACAGCAACCCCCAGGGCTGAACTGCATGTGATAGACAAGTCGGCCTACAGAACCATCGTTTCATCATTATCCACATCCTTCACATCGTCAAGACCGAATTCCCAATCTCCACGCTCAATCCTGCTGACGCGGTCGAGCTCGGACTGGAATTCGCGACGCAGATGCTCGAGCGTGACGATGATACGACGCTTAAGCAAGTTATTTGTCGCGGGAACTTCGAAGGAGACGGTGCTGTTGCGTCGTTCGATGGCGGAAGATTTGCTGCTTGTTCTGCGGTGGGTTGGTGCGAAAGCCACAGCATTAGATGATCGACGCTTGTCTCCAGGTGTTGGGGAGGTAGCGTCAACGTCTTCCATGGAGACGTTTCCATCTTCATCGGGTTGAGTGCTTGGACGTCTTTCATGGGGGGAAACTGGGGCTGCGCTGATTGGGGGACCGTTCTCGACGAGGATGTATGCTTCGCTTTTATCGACACAAGCGAGGAGGTTGATTAAGGATAACAACTCATGACGAATTTCCTTGCTTTCGGCATCGTCTTCCTCGACTGGTGACCGGGCTGCATCCTCTGCTTCCCTGTTTTTGAGGGTGAGGGCTGAGGACGGGGCATCTCGTGCTTTGCGGAGGCGCTGGACATTACGGTAGGCGATTTCGGCCGCGCCTCGGTAGTCACTGCGAGCAATGCGATAGGCTTGGAGAATGCGGGTGTAGTCGGGGGTGGCTGGGAAGATTTTGTTGTCCGCATCCAACCATAAGACATTGGTCGTCTGTTTGCGGGTCAGGTGAACGAGGATCTCGTCGATGAAAGATGCGATGTTGGGAACAAGAGAGGTGGGGAAACGGAGGATCTGCTTGAGACCAGCAGTGCCGGGTCCAGAGACTGCCAGGATGGTGGAGATGAGTTCGCTAAGCTCGGTTCTTTGTAGTTTGAGATCCTGCAGCCTAGCAAGAGCGGAGTATGCCTTGTCAAACTGGCAAGTTTTGAGAGCCCCAGTGAACAGACGAGACAATAGGTCATCGCGTACCGTCGGGTATTCGGCGTCTTTCTCAGCCCAGATTTCAGAGTCGAGGGCCTGCAGCGCCAGGCTGGCAAAGTCCGCGACATGGGAGTATGAGCGCACTTTTTCAAAGATTGAAAGGATGTGCTGGTAGTATTTCGCAAGGCCGTTGTGGAAGCAGTCGACATCGAGGAGGTCTAATAGCTCTGCTGACATGTCGGAAAGGTTGCCCATTGGCTTGCCGCAAGCTGCTTTAGGTTAGCTGAGGTACATAGAAAAAAAGAAATCAGCAGGAGATACATACAGAGCAGGTAAGCTGCCTTGCGGAAGTAGATTGCTGCGGTATCAAATTCTGACATAGCCACATGCAAGCGACCCTTGACATACGTCGACCAGGCAGTACTTGCCTGGAAACGAAGGAAGTCCCATGCAAGATCGATGTTGTTCTTGGCGATCAGGTCGCACTGGATGTGTGCCACTGCGTTTTGATAGTTCACCTCACCCTCGCGGGTAATCCAGGCCACGACATCTCTGATCCCCAAAGTCAATGTGTAACTTTGTGGGGAGTCGATCGCTTGCTGGGGCTTGATATCGGTAACAAACAGATCCTCCAGAATGCTGGCAGTTCGTTGACTGCTGGTCTTTGAGTTGTCCTTCAGTGAATATCGCTGCATAGGATCGACACGGGACTTGCTTGCATTGTCGGGGCATTTGCGAACATTCGAACTGAGCCAAGCCATCATCTCATATTCACGCAGGAGATCGACAAGCATTGAGAAAAGGTCGGACGCATCGAAGTCAGACTTGCTTGTCTGTTCCCATTCACCGTCTACGAATGTGACTAGGATTAGTAGATCGAAAAAGATTTGACGAGAGATCGAAATAGTCTCCTGCGCACCACTGACAAGAACGCGGGCGCCAAAGCAGGTTGAAGCGAGCTCCGAGTCTTCCCCGCAGAAGTGAAGGGAAGCGGTTTGAATAATAGCAAGGAACGCGTCCATGGACAAGCAATCGGTTCTCATGTGTTCACTTAGGGCCGCATCTAGACTATCAAAGGCTTTGTTGGAAATTTGGTTGGCAAAGTCACAACGCTCTCGGAAGTTCTCCATGCGGTCCAGGATCGACGATGAAGGTTCAGAAAAAATTTCGGCCTGGAGAGCGGCTCGGCACGCCCCGTCAAGCTCTGGTGAGAATCGTTTCCGGAAATCAGATGCCACTTTCAACAATCCAGAGGCTGTTTCGAAATTTGGGCCCAGCTCTCGTGAAACATTGCGGTGCCTCCAGCGATCCAGCATCTTCGGCACTCCGTCGCTGAGTTCGGAGCTGGAATTATGCAAGAACAATTCAGTAATGCTACATTCCCGCACCACAGCACAGGAGTCTGACAGAACGAGCCATGGCATATCGGTGTATGAATCATAGGCGAGAGAAATTGGCTCGAATCGGCGCTTGTTAAGATCTTCCGCGACTTGCCAGAACTGACGCCACCTTGAATCTGTATCTGAAGTATACCGGGAGTAGTCCATCTCATCGTCGGCAAATTTCCGAAGAGAGACTGCCGCTGCTATTGTAGAGCAGAGTCGCTCCGCTAGAGGCAGGCTCTTTTTCACAACTGCAGATGAAGCCGACGAGAGTGGTTTTATGGCCTCCTGATAAACGGCCAGAGCAGTCTCAAGGACTTCCGGCAAGTATCTGTTCGGCTGCAGGAGATATTGTAGCCACTTTTCAGTGGGGTCCACCACATCATCCACGACCAGAGGTGGAGGCAATTCTTGTCGGTGGGTTTCAAATGTCGTCGAAACCCAGTTGGAGGCCCAATCCGTAACTAGAGTTTGGAGATTGAAATGAAGAGTGTAGAGTTGGTAAAGACCGTGGTTTCTCCAGAGCACCCACAACTCCATTCCCTTGCCTTCTTCCCGGGATTTGACCTGGAAATCAGCGATGTTCCAGAACATGTTACCTGTAGCATCCGGGTCCACAGGTCGGAAGACAGCATCTGCGAAGAGCTCCTCAATAATGAGTTCGGATGTCAGGCCACCCTTGACAGCCCAGAACTTGAACTTGCCGTCCTCAAATGGCGAATATGTGACGACGTAGAAGCGATGTCCACCATCCATAGCTCGCTCGGCATTGAATACGCGCATAAATGATGTCTCGGCGGGGTTCAGCGTGTACGATACAAGATCCGGATCCTGAAGCGACCGTCCTAGGAGATCCTTTGTGGCTGCCAACTTGTTCGTTGCTAGATTCCAGATCTTCAGTGTGTGGTTCAAACAAATCGCGAAGACATATGTCTCATCGGATGTGGTTGCAATAGCATTTGCGACATTCAAATCAAGATTGCGTCCGTCGTGTTTGATCGAGGATGGTGCGTTCCATTTGACAAGGCCTCGAAGTGAAGAGCCCCATGTTCGTTCGTCGAAGGTAAGAGGAGACCAGTGTGAGCCTAATTTCATAAAAAAATTAATACAACGAATGTCGCGAACGTAGTATGAGCGAGGAAAACCACTCACCATCGTCGCCAGCTCTGCGGGTCAACCGTAAAAGCGCGCCATTATCGAGAGAGATGAACAATTCCAGGGGACTGCTCGCGTGTAGTCGGTGGGGGTTCGAGAAGGCCAAGGGGGCGGGGAGGCAGATCTTGCACCAGTCCCTCACATTTTCATCGATTGAGGAGGTCCTGCGGAAGAATTCTGGGCGTAGAGATAGGGTGTGAAGATGCTTAGAGGCAGTGATCACAAAGACATTGATGATTTCGTGATCCTCGGAGTCAGACAACTCAACTCCGAAGGGGAGAATCTGCTCCTGGAAATCCAGTCGCAAAGTCACATTGTATTCGTAAACTTCCGTCCCACCCTTGGTCAGGTCCGCGCACTGGATCTCCAGCACTTTGTTGTCATTGATGACCCTCCACAAAAATGTCCTCGGGTACACTCTGCGCTTGCGGAAGTAGACCTCACCCTGTGTCGCAAGGTGACGTCTGGCGAATTCATCTTCATCTTTGGCGATTGGGAGTTCTTGGTCGGAGGATGAGATCGAAAACCGTGGACGACGGACGGCGTCTTGAGTCGGAATTTGGATGTTGGCGACAGTGGTGGGCGAGTAGGGTCGAAGGTCGACCCTTGAGTCTTTGTAAATTTTCGCCATGATTGATTGACGTGTGTTCGACTTAACACTCCATGGCCGGGGAAGTAAAAAGGTTGGAAGATCGAAGGGCGGGAAGCTGGAGCTCTCAAAAAACAAAAGTCTTGGCGCGCCTGAGATTGATCTTTTGCTGTTACATGTTTTGCTCTCTTGAATTATTGAACTACTTTCTTCTCAAAATATAATAAAGAGAAATTATGCTTTCTAAATTGGCTACCTAAAACAAAAAAAGATCCCCCTCAAACGCTGAGATGCCAAGGGGGCACATAAACAGCTCTTGAATGTAATGCTCATCAAGTCAATAACATCGTGTCGCAGAACAGAATAAGTGCAACCTTGAGTGAAAGGTCGACTCACTTATCTTCCAAATCCTTCTCACTAGGATCACCGATACCATTATCATTGATAGCGAAGAGGCAATCACTCTCTGGAAGACAGGGACTATCATAAATCTTGCAAATTCGAGTCTCACCACGGCCCTTCTTCAAACTGAGTCGAGTAGTACTGGCATGAGCGATGATATTACCACCAATAGGTTTCTTAGGATCCGGGTTAAACATGGCACTAGGGCCACCGTCAACTTGGGCAACGACCTGGTTCGTGATCACAACCGCGATACCAAATTCATCCGCAAGACGCTGCAAGGCACGCATGAACTTAGCCAAATGAGTCTGCCGAGAGGCGAGCTCACCACGACCGTTGAAATCCGTTCGGTACAAAGATGTCGCCGAGTCGACCACAAGGAGAGAGAACCGCGTCTCACACATCATCGAAGAGGCCAGGTTAAGCAATGAAAGCTGGTGGTCCGAGTTGTATGCTCGTGCATATGCCACATTATCAAGGACCTCCTCACCAACAAGACCATATCGCTGTGCGACCGCAAGTAATCGCACTGGACGGAAAGTTCCCTCTGTATCGATGTAAAGACACTTTCCCTCGCCGCCACCCATATCAAAAGGTAGCTGGCAGGTCACGGCGAGAGTGTGACAAATCTGACTCTTTCCCGTTCTGAACTCTCCAAAGATCTCCGTGATCGACCCCGTTTCAATACCACCACCGAGTAATGTGTCAAGTCGCTTGGATCCCGTTGTGATGGAGATGAGCTCGCTTCTTCGGGCATGCATTTCGGTTGCCGTGGTGAATCCCATAGGTACCAGTTTTGAAGCTAATCAGAACGTTCTCATTAGTGAACTAATCTCCAATGTATATCTGTATCTGTTCTGCAAGGGGGGTTACCTTCTACTAGGATTTTGGTGGCCTTTTGTTCCGAAATACCCTTGATCTGTTCTAACAACCGCTTGGGCCTAAAATCCGCAGTATGTGTTAGCCGGATTGACACGGGCATGGTGATGGATATAGCAGAGCTGCCGCGAAAAGTCGCAATAAATGTGTAGATCTTCGATACGTACGTGTAGGCGATAGACTCGATCGTGTTATATCCTGCGTCCACGAACAACTTGATATCCCTAGCGGTCAAGCCAGCAACACCCTATGAGAACAAATTCAGTATACAAATCCGACATTTTGTAGCGAAAGCAAATCGCGGTATCATTGACTCACGTCTAACGCAGCAAGCGGGGTTGGGGCACCAGGGCCAGGAAGCCCATTGTCATCGAATTGCTCTTCTCCCTCCATACTGGCGGTAATACACCTCGTTTATCAATGTTATCAGGATCTTGATGTCTCTTTGGCAGGGTCTCTCGACTCGAAAGCACAAATGATGGATCCACTCAAAGACGCGTTTAGGTGAGATGAGTACTCGATTTCCTCGATTTGAATACCAAACAAAGCCACGAATCTCAGGTATTCAGGTAACAAGAGGGCAGTCTCTGACTGAGCAAATTTTGAAAGGTCTGAATCGTTTGTTTGTGGCAAAAATCTCAGGATGACTCCGAGTCAACAAATTGGACGCGTCCAATTGATCGCGAGATCACGTGGGGTGCTGCCTTGGGCCATTCCTGTTTTGGACAAATTTGTTTCTTTTTTTTTTTCAAATTCATTGAAGTGCAAGTATCTACTTTGTTTTTTTTTTCTATACCCTATGATTGAGTGGTCATGTTCTTCATTGGGGTGGATCAATTGCTGTATACCCCCGATGGATGCCAATTGTTCAATATGCAATGATAAAAGGTGTAACAATACAAATCTTGCAATGAACTGCATGTTGGGACTCCATCTGTTCAGTAAAACATATTCTCTCGCTGTTCTTTTGGGCCACGAGAAACCAAGTGCAAAACTCCACATGGGCTGCCGCAGCGCCAAATCAAAATCGATGCTAAATGTCTGAGCAAAACCTGGTGCTGAAGGTCTTCCAAGGTTTATTCCAAATCATTCCGTTTCCTTGTCCGATAATGACCTTCATGAACCGCATCTCACTACTACTGATTTCCAGGAGAGTTGACCCACGGACGAAGAGGATGAAGCAACGACCTCCGGAACCGTCCCTGGTACTGACGGAGAGCAGGATTGAACTCCAGTTGCTCAGATGCCCCCAATTGGATGTTGTCGTTAAAGATCTTGCTCATCCTGCGCCGGAACTCTTCAGATGATCGCCGGCGAAGAAGTTCTATGAATGAGGCGCACTTAGCCTCTCTTTTGAATCCCCAAGTCATGGTACTTACTCATGGATCGTGAGCTCCGCTTCGTCTCAGACGAAAGAGCAGACGACGATTCATTCATCGCCGGGACATGGTTCATGTCATCAGCACCATCCAAGCCTACTCGGCAGTCCTTCGTTTCGGGTTGAGATGGTGTATTGAACATTGTAGGGAGGCTAGCATGCTTTCCGCTGCCGGTTGTGTCATTCATGCCAATCAATGCCTCCTCCTGTGCAGGTGACATGCGAGCGGCATTTGGGGTGGGCAGGCTGCCTCGACTATAAATCGAGCCGGGTCTGTGGTTCTCGTAGGCGAAGCCTGCAGAGGCTAGATCAAGCTCAGTGACGACTGCACGTCGGGCAGCCGGTGGGATAGGCTGCGGGCTGATCATGGACCTCTGAGATCCCATCGAGGACCTGGGGGTGTCAAGAGTTCTATGCAGCGACCTTGGCGCTGGACTGACGGACCGACTTCCAACTGGAGTTGCGGGCGGGCAGGGGCTTTGTGTGGGTGTGTTAGGTGCTGAAACCCAAATTCCTTCAACTTCTATTCCTCTTTCCAACGCTCTGGCACCGAAAGGGATGTCATCGTTGTGCAGCATGGGGTATACCTCGGGTTCCTCTTCTCGTTCTTTCTCCTCTGCGGCAGCGTATTTGCTGGTCACCCAGCGATTCCAGCCGAGTACGGAAAAGGCGTAAAGGAGCACTAGGCCCTGTAAAGCTTGTCAGTTCTGTTTTTGGCGTTACGATAGGGTCACGTACGATCAGCATAGCTAGCGCCTGTCGACGATAATGGTCAGTAGGGGTGCTTCGTTGAAGGTGGTATACTTACCACGCTCATCTTCTGCCATAGCTCCCAGCCTACCCAAAATTCCATGGCTGGTTATTTTGAGATATACTCAGGCTTTACCCGCAAGTACATTCGAATAACAGGCGAAGTGTATTTATGATGAATGAAAGATAATAAAAAAGACGTAATGGAGAGAGTTCAGATATAAGAGCAAAGGCGATATGTTAACAGCTTGAGGAACAAGGAAAGGGCTACCTACTGATGGCCGCAATGGCAGGAACGCCTGATGTATAGATCCATAATCTACATCTCTGGGCCTTGTTCTGTTCACATTTGGTTGGTTTTTCCAGGTCTTCATATGACGAGTACAACAACATTTGCATACTTCATAGATATAAAATGTGCGGTTTTGACAACGGATCATCGTAATGCAACGTCAAAAAAAAAGACTTTCATAATATTAATTGCCATTGCCATAAGAAATGGTATATATAGAAAATATAAAAAGGAAAAAAAAGAATCTCTCCCTCGGGGAATCGAACCCCGGTCTCCCGCGCTTATCGGTTTTAATGACAAGCGGAAATCATCACCACTAGACCAAGGAAGATGTTGATCGAGTTACTGCTCGACCATTGGCTGGTTGATGTCTATTTCATGCCAATCTCATATTATGAGCTCAATCTTCATCAGATTATAGTTAGAATTACTCGAAGGCTCCCTACCTACATAAATTTATATTTTTTTAGCATTATAATTTATATGTTAGCTAGATTTTGATGCATTCCAATCCACTATAAAAAAAAAGCCTGGCTGCGTGCCGACATAAAAGACGCGAATTGACTCGATTATATATTCCCTCCACCTGCGACTCTGCACCAACAAAATTCATTCCATCATGTTTTCCACGTCTCCGTCCAATAGCACTGCATAGAACCCCATTCCCCTACACCCTGATTAACCATGTATCCCGCTAATTGAGGAGACATGTACCCAGTCCCGCGGTGCTGACAGCCCTTCGCAGGCGGATAAGTCTGGCCCAACCAGTCGTCATCCTTACAGTGCTTGTTCTTGAAGAAAAGACATTGGCCCTTTGTGATATACCATGACCTAGGAATCACCAGCTTACTGGAGGAACAGGTATCCCAGTGAAGACCGCCATCAGTCCACCATCGACATGAAGTGGTTTCATCCGAGATTTTGGTCTTTTTATTGTCCTTGAACACCAAGCACATCCCTTCCTCCTGTGATTCGTGTCCTTGAACAGAGAAGTAATCACCCTTGCACTTGTCGTCCTCGTAAATGGTAATTTGCCAACTGTGCTCCGGGTTAAAAGCACTCTTGGTTTTTGATTCGGTGACTACCTTTATGCTGGTCATGGTTACCATCGGTTTCTCAGTGGTCTTTTGTGTGATAGACTTGGAAGTGGTCTTTGAAGCAGTACTCTTTTCAGTTGTCTTTTTGGCAGTCTTCGACGTGGTGGTCTTGGAAGTATCCTTCTCAGTGGTCTTTTCAGGGATCTTCGAAGTGGTGGTATTCGAAACGACCTTTGCAACGGTCGTTTTCGAAGTTGTAGCTTGTGAGGTAGTCTTCTTCGAAGTGGTCATCTTTGAAGGAGCAGCCTTGGCCGTATTTTCCTTTGGTGCGCTCTTCGCTCCGCAATTGGAGATACACCCCTTGCTCGCATCACAAAATTTCGAGGTAGTACCGCATTCACCCGTCGGACCACACTGTTAATATAGTCAGTAGAGATTAACATGGATAGTTCAGACAGTTGTAATACTGACGCATTGGTTTGAAGAGCATGGGTTGAGAGAGGCAAGATCGGCATAGTTACCAGGGCGTCTTGTCCCTGGAACCTGGGGACCGCAAGTAGCACGCGGGAGAGCAACCGGCATAGGAATCGAACCGGAGCTGAGACAGACAAAATTGCCTTGCTTTACTTTGTCACAACCCGACCAGCCCCAAGCTCCAGTGTTCCAAGTTTCGATATTGCTAACAGTAATCTGGTAGCGCTCGGCGATCTTTGCACAGGTATCACCACCTTGAATAGCATATGTGTGGCAGATACCATTAGCACCCGGCACAGGTGCACCGCGCTTTGTGAGTGGATGGCCATGGGAATTGCTAGCATGCGCAGATTGGGCCACTGCAAGGTGGACAAGCAGCAGCGAGAGGAGGACATGAATGTAATTCATTGCATTGACCCTTGAATAGAATATTGCATTGAGGAGATCAACCCATCCTTTATAAATAGTTGGCCTCTGAGTAAAAGAAAAGAGATCCTTTCGAAATTACTTATTTGATTGGGATGGCCACCGTCCGAATACGCACATGAAACATTAGTTATAGTGTTAAATTCATTGTTCAACTGCAGACCCTTGGAAGATTGCAAGGTTCTACCCTATGGCCGAGTATGAACAATGAATTTCCAACAAAGAATGATACCACACCCTGCATGTCAAAATCTTCGATTTACCCTTTGTTTCCTTATATGTGAGGCCCAATATTGAGGGGGTTGGAAGGCCTAGAATCAATATGGAATTCTCAAGCGAGTACGCTCAAATTCACCAGAATCCGAGTCCAACGGAGTCGAAGCCAAGAGAAAACCAACACAACTGTGGGTAGAGTATGCGGGAAGGCAAATTAAAGAAACGAAAAAAAGAGCAACACCCTGACCCTGGAGAGAGCTGAAAGAGAACCGACCGACAATTGACCGATATTTGTGAACAAAGATGAATAGACTTACTGACACTCGCGCGTCTGGCGGCGCTATTGAGACTCTATCCCCAAACAGTGCTCAATAATGCCTGTGAAGTCACGTACTTCCCATTCTAACACCAGAGGTAAAAAGGCTCTTTCATGGGAGAGTGCACAGGGGGATTTCCTTTGCTAGATTTATCCCGGTGAGACATTAATATCGGGGATACAGGTTCCCACACCGACAACCTGTTCAGCATTTACATGTTTCATAGTTATTAGGAAAGGCCGAGAGAAGAAGAAAGGAAAGAAGTTGAAGATTTACAACTGCCGAAAAAGTACCGCAAAGATTGGTGGGAATAATTAAAATGCTACGAATATTCATAGGGCAAGTTCCAGCAAATCGTATTCATTCGATAAGACTCGGAAATTTATGTTGTCAATCCCAGGGAATGGTCTGGAAGCATACATATCCTAGCATTCAAGCGCTGTGGCTTGAAGGACCCGGCTTGAGGGAATTGTGCCAGATTCTTCATAAACATACGGAGTACGGAGTACCTTGCCTCAAATCCTATGACCTACATATTACTAGAAGAATTACGACATTAATATCCAATAATCTCAAGGTTTCATTCGGAGATCATCATCGAATGAAGTTAGCGTGGACTAGCTTGCCTGCAAAGTCTTCGGAAATCTTTACCCGGGACCTCCGATGAGGGAGATATTCTTTCTCCTCTCGAGGTAAATTTATTGGGGGAAAGAGGATTAAAATGTCTTATTCCTGGAGCCAGTCTTCTTGATATCATACTACAAGCGGTGCACGATGAATGACTACCTGTACCTTATTGTAAATCTACCCGTGGACAGAATATCTAGTTACCCCGTAGGTATGAACAGTACGGAGTATGTATCTACATTCATAATCCACATTTTATCCACCTCTCCCATCTTTTTCCTGGGCATCGTTGCTTGTATAAAGCTTGGCACTCTTATCACTGACAGGCTAATGGCTAGATCACAAGCCTACATTAGCTTACAAGCCACAGTCACATCAAGATGGTGTTGCTTACTGAAGTCTCGCTCTGAACAGGGCGATCCTTTCCCTGTTAGTTCGGAGTTAACGTTTTGAATGTCCCGGCAGCTTGCTAAATCACATTACTATTCCTCACTTCACCAGCCTAAGCTGGGTTGGCTTTAAGCCCCTTTAGGCTCCGTCGGAAATCCGGAGGGTTGAGCTTGTATCAGAAAACCATTGGCTTTATACCCTAGTCGTCGCTGAGTATGCATGAACGTGATACATGAAATAGCTCGAAACAATTAAGGTACCTGCGCCCAGTACTTGCGAGCAGTTGCGCGGATTAACTGAAATTCTTCAGCTCACGGTCCATCTTGAGCTTATGCATCGGTCTCCGACGGCATCAGGAGATATGAAAGTTTATTATGCTTCTTGAAACATGGTGATGTTGCATTGGACAATATGCTCCTTGAATATGTATTAGTAGTTCGGTACTTCGGAACGGTTATCTTGTCCCGTTGACTGAAGCTACAACTCGACATGACAGCTATATAAACGACATTCCCCGCGAGATTATCTCGGTATTCCCACAGCCAGGCTACCTCAAAACAGTTCAATCATCCAATTCGCACAATGAAGTTCTCAACTACCATCCTGAGCGCATTGCTCACAACGGCAGCCATTGCAGCTCCTCTCACTGAGCGCCGCGCAGCTCGCAACGCTGCCCGAGCTGAAGGCCGAACCAGCCGAATCAGCCGTCCCCCCTATAAGCCCGACACCAGAGAGCGCATCACTCTGAACGGAACAACCCACGAGGAGTACAGCACCAACTGGGCCGGCGCTGTGCTTATTGGCACCGGATACACCTCAGTGACCGGTCAATTCACCGCTCCTACCCCGAAACTTCCCTCGGGTGCTTCGTCTTCCGAGCAGTACTGTGCCTCCGCCTGGGTTGGTATTGACGGCGACACTTGCAGTAGCGCCATCCTCCAAACTGGAATTGACTTCTGCATCCAAGGAAGCAAGGTCACATACGATGCCTGGTACGAGTGGTATCCGGATTATGCCTACGACTTCAGTGGCCTCTCTATCTCCGCTGGAGATGTCATTGAAGTTACTGTGACTGCTACATCTAAGACTGCTGGTTCTGCTGTCATCAAGAACTTGACTACTGGCAAATCTGTTAGCCATACTTTCACTGGTGGTGTTGATGGAGACCTGTGCGAGTACAATGCCGAATGGATTGTCGAGGACTACGAAAGCGGCGGTCAATTGGTTCCCTTTGTTGACTTTGGAACCGTGACATTCACAAACGCGAAGGCTACGAAGGGCGGCAAGTCTGTAGGCCCGTCTGGATCTACTCTCATGGATATCAAGCAGAGCAAAGTTGTCTTGACCAAGTCATCTCTTACTAGCAACAGTGTTAGCGTGAGCTATGTCTAAGGCTGGGTATAATGGTCAAATGTCTGCTGCAGTATTGGAAGGCCGAAAACGCAATGCTGCACAGGTAGGCGGAAGCGGGTTGGGAGGTTGCAATGGAAACAGATTTTGGCGAACCGGGGAAGATGAAAGTATATCCTGTTTGATCGTAAATACTATGTTGGAAATCAATGAAAATAAACGAGAATTCATTTCCAAGTGACACCACGAGCAGTTCCCAGGCCGGTGGGCCTCTTCTACAAGTATAGAGAACACCTTTATGATAAGACATCCGTCGCCTAGCTCGGAAGTTCGAAATTGCATGCCTGCAGCTCTCGTTAAATAGAGAGCGGAGGCAATTGGGCCGTACGAAGCCACTTCTTTATCGAGCTGAGGTAAATTTCGTAGTATTATGTATGCTATAGTATTTCTTGTCTTGATAGTCTGCGAGATAACATAAATTAAATGAAGGTTGACGGTGGTTAGATCCACTACTTTGACAATTTTGTCTTAGCCATTTAGATTGAGTGGTGAGACACAAGAGAACGAGTTTAGCTGCGGGATCTTGAAGGCGTCGATCATTCCTATGATAATTAGTATGGAGTGAGGCATAGTATAATAGAATATCACTCACCAACGACGGCCGCCCACATGCCCAGTCCACACATGGATAGTGATGCTAGGGAAAACACGACATGCCAAATATTGATCGCGACTTGCAAAGGACCACCTGAAAAGAAGCCACGGATCCATCTTGCTGTCGTTGTTTCGGTCCGGATCACCTCTCCAGTTATTGGGTTGAATCCTTCGCCAACCTCCGTCCGGATAGCATTCTTCTGGATGTCGAATGCAAGGGCAAACAAGGGAGGGATGGTATATGTCAAGTTCAAAAGCATCGAAGCGGAAATTATGCTGACGAAGCCAAAGTAATCCGGAACGGCTGCGGCGATGATGAATGCGATCGTCCACCAAACTGGGACAAGAGAAGCGTAGACAATTTTACCCACCCGCGTATTCAGAGGAGGTAGACCGAAAATATCCATCAAAATGTTATTGTAGACAATCTTGACTCCAATGTTTCCATAAAGACCTGCGCAGATGAGAGCAGAGAGCAAAGAGACCATGTTCCCGACGGTCTGCCATGAGTATACGCTGATACCTTGATAACTCGGGCTATAGCTGTACTGTCCTTGAAGATAATACACCACGCAGCCGTGAGTGAGATAGACGCTATAGATGAAAAACTGGGCACCCCACATAGCCTTGATGAAGTCTCGAGGTCGGCGCATCTCGGCCATGAATTCGACAAAGAGCTGTGCACCTGCGTATGCCAACACACCGGAAAGCATGCCATTCACGGACCCAATAAGGCCGCCCTGAGGGACATTGCTGTAATGGATGATCGGTGGGTAGTTACCATCACTGTCTGGTGTGATCGTCTTTCTGTCAACTGCACTGCCAGCAGACCCGAGTGTGGATATTTTGTAGTTCGGTGGCGACACCGACATAACACCCATCGTCATAAAGATGACAAACAGGTTCATCCACACGGCGAGATTTGCAACCCATCCATACGCCTTGAGGGTTCTGATCTGCGAAATGAAGAAGCCAGCACATGCAAATATGACTGGACAGACAACGTAGCACAGCCGGAACTTCGACACCTGGGAGATGTTTTGGCCAAATTCAATTGTGACTTGGCCTACGAGTAAGAGCAACGAAATCGCCTGACAGACATTTGTAATATGGCGACCAAACCGACCAAGGGTTCTGAATCCGAGATCGCCGTAGTTCTTAGCTGGGAACTCGTAGCTGTCCACGCCGAGGAAGACTCGCCAGATGAGATATCCAGAGTATCCGGCCATGAATCCGAAGACAGTGTAGAAGGCAATGCCTAGATTCACATCCGTCAGCTCAGTCGTTCGCGGTGTACAGGAATAAATGTAGCTAACCTGGTCCCCAACCCAATGTGCCCATCGCAAAGCCCGAGCCATATGGGCCTAAAATGTCCGTTGTAATCAAATAGAAACCTGCCAATAATATGAGCCTTGAGCTTGAAAGATGAGTATAAGTGCCGACTTACAGGCACCCCATGAAGCAGACCTAAGCGAACGGCTTGCATTTGCCCATTCCTCGTCTGTGATCGCCAGTCGCCGCTCTCGAGTTGTGAAGTCTTTCTCTGTCAGCGTCGTGAGCGGTTCTTCGGCTTTCTTCCCCTTGAAAAACTCTCGGACATTGAGCACCGGAGGCTCCAGGAATTCCTCCTCTTCTCTTGTCTTCTTAGAGTAGTAAAGGTACTCTTCAAATGTGACATTGACATCGTAAGCCTCGCGAGCCTGTGGTTTGATGAGGGTGCTTGCCGTCAACTCTCGTGGCGACTCGGCGATGAAAGAGCCTTTCTCATCCAAAGGGACTTCCATATTCATAGATAGTAAGTAGCCTTTGCTTCAAATGAGAATGGATAATGTGAGACAAACGTGAAGATCAGTGCATTGAAAGTGGGTAACATTGGCTCTTTTAATGCCATGCGAACCAAGGCGCGGGGAAGTCAACACAAGCATCCCTAAAATTAAATTAAATTATTCTGACATGTAGAACAAGTATTGCTTCGGAGTGTTGCGTCTTCGGAGTGTTGTCGGAGAGAGTCCCCATCCCCAATCTGTTATCACGGATAGCGAGTTGGTATCAGTTGGACGGGTTAATCTACCGATAAATCCTGCATGCAACGTTGACGATCCATTGATAACAACTTCTAATGATCTTTAGTCTGATTGGGTGTAATGAAGAAAGGGCCATCGGGAGTGAATAAGAGAAGAGGAGTGGAGTTTCAAAAAACCTCCCCCAACCTCCCAAATATGCTTGATTGCCTAAGATATCTGAAATACATATTCCACAGGTATTGATAATGGAAGTGACAAATCCGGAGCTCCCTGGCGTAGAGAGATTGATTCCTGCATTTGCTTAAACTCCGTTGGAGACGAAGATGAGGCATTGAAGGGGATGGGGAGGGCGGTGTGCGTGACGGGATGATGGTCACATGACCAGTTTTGGCTCAAGTTTGCAGTGTTTGCAGACCTCTAGGGATGACAACAACTCGTGTCACCGTCTCTGCGATTCTTGATTGGGAAATGTGTGGCTGGTACCCGGGACGCTGGGAATGCGTAAAGGCCTTGCATACGATTATCCCCGGGGGCGGTACGGAAGACTGGTGGGCCTATCTGTCGCAGAAAATAGGTGTATGGCCTAAGGAGCATCTGATGCTAAGCATATGGCACGGCTGAGTTGCTATTCACATTCAAACAATCAACTCTTCGTCAACTTTAAGGCTGAGTGGATTTACATGTGAGGGACATGGTAGTAAAGTGTTGCCCTTGATGTATTAGTGCCCTTTGTGAGGGTTCCGATCTTCGTAAAGAACCTCAGTTGGAGATCGGGTCATCTTGTGGGTAATCCCTTGACCGACATCCTTGACTGCTAATTGTATTGAGCTGAGCATGACAAGAAGGTGAAAACCTCATAAATCTCCAAGTTGCTTCGGTGAGAAGAGATCCCTTGATTCCTTCACTGCCACGGCCCCGGGGTCCCGGGCCCTGGACAGTGCTTGTAAAATCACGACAAGACGGCGGCTCCCGGCAGTGTTGGGAACTACTATTCTAGCCCCAGAAGAAACTTGTCGCGAGGGAAATGTTCAATTGTTGGCTTTACAGAAGCCCTCATAATCCGTGGCTAATAAGCCGCATCTTTTGTGCTATTTTCTGCAGCTATATCCAATCGAAGCCAACTAGGTCGTCTTGTAGATGGGCAGATGCTTGGGCTATCCAATTTTTCGGGTCTCCATTATCCCGTGCGACTGCTGACGAATCAGAGTTGTTTAACACCACGGCCTCGGTACCCAACGGGGCATTCCAGAGCTCATCACTGTCTGGCATGCAGAAAGACAAATCGGCCAAGGTCAAAAGATCGTTTCTGCCACCATTCACGGTAGAGGAAGTGCATAACCGGCACACCTTATAGAGGGCTAGTCCGAATCTCTTGATCTCTTCAACGTTCGTGTATACAAGCGGTAGTGGTGCATTGTCTTCCTGTTGCAGAAGCATGTTAGGATAGAAAAATATGCCCCGCCGTCGACAGGTTTGGACAAGGGCAACTAAGAGCTCGTATCTGTCATCGGGCAATCGGCATCGCATGCTCAGATCCATGCTAGGATTTTCTCTTGAGATGAAAAGGGCAAGGATAATATTCAAGAGCACACTCTGAAATGTTGTTATAGGCCACGAGGTCTTTGTGTTTTGACGTGGGCCCGAGTCGGAGATGCACCATTGGTCCTAAAGGAATAATCAACACAAAAGTCCATACAATACCAATGTATCTTTCTCACCATTTGGGCGTAAAATGCAGAGCATAGTCTACTATGCAGACGCAGTGACGCGTCTCGCGTCTCCTGAGTACCCTTTATCCATAGTCCAATTGCGACAAGGGATTGAACAAGTACACAAGGCTCCTTTGTGAAGTCAAATGTACTTCGATGGAGAAATGGCCACACTGGATGGAAGGTATCAAAGTAAATATCGATATAGTCATGAGCAATCCATCGGGAAGTGTTATGAACGGAACCATTATTTGTGGGTACAGGTGGTAGAGGGTAGGGATCATCTATCCAAACTTGTTGTTCGCTTGTGCTTTCACCTCCAGCAGGGATGCAGACGATGCCTCGACGTTGACAGGCATTGCATGGTATTACACCTTCGCAGCGGACTTTCCGTGCGTGGCAAGCGCCACATGCCTTGAATTTTCGAGACGGCGGCGCGGTTTGCTGCGGATGATAAGTCCGGATATGGCGTCGCAAAAGATCACTTATTATAATGTGAATTGTGATTTATGTAATGGGATTGAAGAAATTACTCACTTTCTGGTTAGAACGCTTTCACAATAAGGACAGGAAAGATTGTTTTCCCCTTTATGATGATTCAGATGTCGATTCAGGTGTTCTTTGCGCCGATATTTTGCGGTGCAATCTGGATAGTCACATTGGAAGCAGGGGACATTATCGGTAGGAGGCGACATGGAGAATGTTTGCAAGTGGATATTGGACTCCACAACTTTGTCATCAAATTGCAAAAATAAATCGAGTATTTGTATAGTGAAGTGCTCGAAGGGAATCAAGTCAAAGGGGAAAAGAGAACGTAATGACCGAAGGAGTGGGGCTAGCAACAAAGTTGGCCAATGAGACTGTAGGATCCAACGGGTGGATCCTCGGAACATCCCACTTGATGAATAAAGTGGTTCTTAGTCAGTACATTATGCCCTAATTAAGCATAGGCATATCCCACTTGATTTAATAGTATATCAGATCTCCTATAAATAAATGGAGATCGGAAATAAAATTCCTTTCACCATATCAAGTGAAGTGCACCACAATGCACGACCTTCGTTATTCTGGAACTTTGCACGATGAGTCCGAATCAGCCAGCTTCGATGCAGGCGCTCAAAGCCACTTTAGTTCACATCTCGAGCCAGTAATTTCCAAACTGGCAAGTATCCATGCACCTCCAGAATTCGAAGTTTACTGGGACTTTGAAGACCCCGAAAATCCTCGCCTTTGGCCACTTTGGTACAAAGGCCTCACTGTCGCTGCAATGAGTCTTGGTGCTACAGTGGTGAGTCTCTCCAGCACACTCTACACATCTGGGATTCCAGGACTCCAAGAAGATTTCCACATTTCGAAGATCGTGGCCCTCCTTGGTGTCACGACATATCTTCTAGGAATGGGGATAGGCAGCATTATCTTTGCTCCACTCAGTGAACTTGTCGGACGGCGACCAGTTTATATTATCTCAATGATAATATTTTTGTTGCTATTGCTGCCGAGTGCTTTAGCCCAAAATATCGAGTCAATCCTCGTGAGCAGATTCTTTGGGGGATTCTTTGGGAGTGCATTGATGTCAAATTCGCCTGCATCTGTGAATGACATCGTCTCGGATAAGCACCGGGCTTTAGCATTCGGCTTCTGGTCTATCGGACCCACCAATGGCCCTGTATATGGCCCAATCATAGGAGGGTTCGTGTTCCAATATCTCGGCTGGAGGTGGACAAATTGGATTGTTCTCATCATTGGGGGTGTGGTCCTGGTCTTGATATCCTCTGTTAAGGAAACATACGCCCCCGTGATTTTGAAAAGACGTGCTGCTAGAAAACGAACAGAGACACAGAACTCAAAGTGGTGGACACGCTATGACGATAGCGTCAGTTTTACATCTTCACTGAAAATCAGTCTCAAGAGACCTTTTGTGATGCTCCTTACAGAACCAATATGGTAAGCGATCTCCCTGTCATCTTACAAAGCCAAAACTAACTTTCTCACAGTATGTTTTGGGACGGTTACGTCGCGATTGTCTATGGAATCCTTTACCTATGTTTCGTCGCATACCCAATCGCTTTCCAACAAGAACGTGGGTGGTCGCCAGGTTATGGTGGTCTTTCGTTCGTGGGTATTGGTGTTGGTGTATTGATTGCCATTGCATGCGAACCTCTGTTTCGTAAAGTGATCAATCTTCACCGCAAGGATCCAGAAACCGGAATGGTACAGCCAGAAGCTATGGTCAGCATCGTTTTCTTTGGTGCTACTCTTCTAGCCATTGGCCAGTTATGGTTTTCCTGGACTTGTACTCCAAATTTCCACTGGGTTGTGCCCATTTTAGCTGGTGTTCCATTTGGAGTGGGCAATGCATGCGTCTTTATTTACGCCTCGAATTACGTTGCCCGTTCCTATGGAATCTACGCCGCATCTGCTCTTGCAGGGAATATGTTCACTCGCAGTGTCATGGGAGCCTTCCTCCCGCTTGCAGGCCCATCAATGTATGGGGTTCTAGGCTTGAATTGGGCAAGTACAATTCTAGGAATCGTCGAGGGAGTATGCATCTTGATACCCGTTGTCTTCTACTTTTACGGACACAGAATTCGTAAGGCGAGTCCCTTTATCAAAGAGGTAGAGAAACTGCAGGCAGCTTGAGAATATTCGGTTGAAAAAAATGTTATTTATATCTGCTTTATCTTTAGCTATAGCCCAAATTGATCCTATAATAAGTCATTCTATAACAAAATTCCAACATTCATCTATTTCCGAATCGGTGAGATTGTGCTAATCCGTAGTTGTAGCATAAAATTCAAGATGGATTACCTTAGGCCGTACCTTAGTCGGAATAAGCTTGGGGCGCTGTTATGTTCTAGCCCGTAAATTTCGTAACTCAACGCACATCTGCACTAGCAATCATGTTCTGGGCGTACCAGATCAGACATGCACGCTTTGAAGAATATTTTCGGCATCCCGCCTAGTTGCTGGTTGGTGAAGTTTTATCCCGCGCGAGGGTTCGCCACCCCCGAACAGCTCTCAGTGGCAAATGCTTAGTGAAAAATAACCTATCAATCACTAAGCGCTGAATTGTTGAATAAACGTTCAGCAGATCCATGGATATTATAAATTGCTTAGTTTCATCATTCAAGTGGGATGCGCCGAACTTACATCATCAGTTCGAATGAAGCCGAATATCTGATATTTTCAGAAAACGAAAGGTATTTAAAGCGGTAATCTCTCTTTGACATAGGATTATTCCAATTTTTTGATCAGATTCACATTATCAGAAAACTACCATTCTCCACATTTATTCTTACCGCAGCCATGGCAGCAACACACAAGCCAACTCTTACAATCACACACATCACCACTGCGACTGCCATTCTCAACATTGATGGAGTCAATTTCCTGACTGATCCCTTCTTCGGGGCCATTGAAGGAACAGAATATGACTCGACCGCGGTCTGGGAAGAAATGGACATTAAAGCGTACGGATTCGACAGCATTCCGCCACCACCACACCTTATCAACAGGCAAGGTCCAGCACTTCAGCTCAATGAGCTGCCGCCTATTGATGCCGTTCTTCTCAGCCACGAGGATCACCTTGACAATTTGGACCCTGAAGGCCGTAAGCTGCTGGATGGTCGAAAGGTGTTCACCACCATGGACGGTGCCTCCAACTTGCGTCCACGCCCGGGAGTCGTTGGCCTTCGCCCCTGGGAGACTGTGACATCTTGCATTGGAGGAAAGATGTACCGGATCACTGGTACTCCTTGCAAGCACTTCCCAGTTGGAGAAGTTACGGGATTCGTGCTGGAGACCGATTCCTTCGGTTTTGATCCATCTGGCAAGCCCAACGCAATCTATTTCTCCGGAGATACCGTCTACATAGACGAGCTGAAAGAGATTGGAAAGAAATGGCACATCACCGCAGCCATTTTCAACTTGGGCAATGCCACCTTTGAGTTCCCCACTGGCCCTGTTCAGATTACTATGGATGGCAAACAAGCTGTGAAGCTTGCCCGTGATATCGGCGCTGATGTCATGATCCCAATTCATTTTGAATCGTGGGAACATTTCAAGGAAGGCCGGGAAGAATTGATGGAGGTTTTCACCCAGGAGGGATTTATGGATAAGGTGTGCTGGACTGTTCCTGGCGTTCCCAAGGTTGTTTTCTAATTGTGAATATCTCAATGCTGCGAGTGCATTTGTATTATATGATTCTCATTTGTATATGCATAGTCCCGTCGGAGATGCTCCACTGACTCTAGAATTTTGTCAGAAAATACTGTTTTGATTTATGCTCAGTCTTTATTGTAAGGCTATTGAATGGAAGCTTCTATGGAAATAATTCTACTTAGTTAAGCATGTGCTTAGGAACCTTCAAATGGCACTACTCGATGCCTCTTAGATGACACAGATCGTGGAAGGTTCGTGATCATTCTGTGGATTTATGGGAAGTAGATTCTTTCACGGGCGGGACAGAATAGTTCAATATGGCTGTATACCCCTCACGATAAAAAGCTCTGTATAAGCGACGAAGTTGAGACGTCCGGTGGGCTTGGTATAGCTGGACGCAGAGCAACATAATAAAAAGAAAATAAATACAACAATGACTGGAGCGACAGTATATATTCTCATCCAAGTGCATGACTATTCTCTTCTGTATAGAGACAGTCAGGAAAATTCGCCCTTTAACAATTTTAGCGTGCAAACTACTGCTTTGATGAATTGAGCAAACTTACCAGAAATCACCATCAAATCCACAATAGTCAGGCACCATCCAATCAGCGGAGGGCATCTCGGCACCCAGGCTTGTAGACGATGTCTCCATTCCAAGTGGATTCAGCGGCTGTAACAGCATGTCCACAACAGACTGGAGAGAGCGTTTTGCCTGAGAAAACAATTTGAAATTCCCATCGTGGGGACTATGCAAAATATCCATATGCGCAATTAGAACAGAGAGATTCTCGATCACCTGTCGTCGAGACGGTGGGTCTAGTTCCTTGAACCGGCATCGGGATGATGGCTGTAGAAGATATAGTGCGAGGGCCCCAGCCGCTGGGAGAGCACACGATGCCACCTATATCATGTGGTCAGCTCAACAAAACTTTACAAGTTGTTCGGGGCACATACTCTCCAGGCAAGGGATATAAACCCAAGGTTTGGTAGTTGTTCCCGTCGGACTAAGGCATCGTTGACCGAGCATATTAGTTCCATTGCCGATTGGAATAGGCTTGTCTGTTCAATTCCATGTCGCCATGCCGTCCATTCAATCAAGAACGTAGACTGTAGGTATAAAATCCGAATCATGTGTAAGCACTCCATTTCTGTGCGGGGCCTTTCGCTTCCCCAAAGTTCATGAGCTGACACTCTTAGAAAGGAGGGAAGGTTCTCCCATGCCTGGTTGATTTCGTGGTGCAAGTCGCTGTGAACGATGAGCTAATGGGTTTCATGAACCGAGACAGGGTCACGCACATTATTCGTTGTTGTATATTAGATATGTTCCCGCCCAGAAGCAATTCCAATGCCTCTTCTCGAATCATTGCTGTAGTAGTTGACCATCGCATAACGGCGCTTGCTCGGATATGGCCCTGCGAATTCCATCCGGCGAGGTCAAGTTTTTCCAACTCTCTAGTAAGAGTAGTGTCCGATAATGAATAGCACTTTTCATCAATATCCAGAGGCAATTTTATACAGCAAAATTTCTTCGTCATGCGTGGTGGTCGTCCGAGAAATGCCGCTAAGCTGATATCGATACTGTATAAGCGGGAAAAGATACGTTTTCGTACTTCAACTAGAAAGAACGGAGTATCGCGTGGTTCCTGGATGCTCTCATGGAGCCCAGCGGCAAGTAGAGCACATGCTGCATCGTTGAGGCGACGCCACGTTTTGAGACCTACTGACTTGTCAATTTGATGTACACTGAGGAAATCAGCTTGGAGCGTACTTTGGTCTCCGTAAAAAACAGACTGAACCTGAAATGTCTGATATAGAAAGAGAATATGAACGTCATTGAGGACGTCCAGTGCCTCGCAAAATATTGAACATTTGTTTCCAAATTGAATCAGGTCCGTCCTTAGGGCCTGCCGTTCTTGTTCTGTTCGGTATAGAGCGTACGGTGCACGAAACTCAGTTGCGGCAATGCTATGCCCATTGTCAGCCTCTATATCTCCCTGGAACAAAAATGGACGGAATTCAGCCCTCAGCCATACCCAACAAGTGTGAGGATTACTCCCATTGTCTCCCAACGGAGATTCGGACCCGTGTACTGGTTGATGAAGTCCTGCAGAGTCATCAAACGATGTATTTCCACGATGCGGCTGCTATTTTCAAACAAACGCTGAGACAAGGCTAACAGATCGGATCGAAAATTTTCAGAACGCTGTACGGTGACAATTTCTTCAATGACTGCATCAGCGAAGGGCTGAACCAGGAATGCGCCGACATGCGACTCGAGTCCATTTCCCTTCCAGTCATAGAAAAAGTGCGCAATGGTGTTATTTATTTTAGAGCTGGCAAGTGTTTCCAACAGCTGTGCTCCCTCGATTGTCGAAGCATTGTTCATGAAATCAGTAGCGTCCGCTGGCCCCTCATCGTCCCGCCCGACCGGAAGGAAGGCTGAACCAGCTTCCAGATCACCTAGCAACATTGTTTGCTGGCGCACATTGCCCAATAATGAGTCCAGAGAAGAAGATCCCTGATAGCCCGTATTGGGCTGTCGATTTGGTGGGAGAGTTGGCCGGATGCCTTCCAACATGGAGGTAGAATTAAAACTCAGTTGATGTCTAGAATGACCGTTAGAAAATGATCCAATTAATAACTCTGAGATCAGTGGAATTAAACTCACTGCATCCCTGGAGATTGGGATGTGAAGGAGGGTCGAGTGCGCTTAAATGCATTCTTCCTGTAGAGGCATTGATGGGGGATTTCTCGCCCAACACACCGAGCGCAAGGTTGTCGGTGATCGCATGCTAGTTTGGACAGTCTACAGGGTTCACAAGATGCGACTCTTGGTGGTCGCTGTGCTCTTTTTGAACGAGCAGACATATTGTAGTAGGAGAAGAAGGGGAAGATGAGAAGCGGGGCCTCCTTATCTACCGAGGTTTTAATAATTGAAGAGATAGCCCTGAGGAGAACTTATCAAATGATTAAATGAGGAAATGAATCAAAAATGTTTGTTATATTTGTTTTATCAATGAAGGTAAAGGTCCATCCCAAGTTGGTTGTGTTCTTCCTTCCCAATAACTCTCTACAGGTCGTGAATCAATCTCACCCTGTATTTCACGCGACACAATCTCATTTTGTTCCCAAACACGCAGAATATTTAATCCCACTAGCTTTCGCACCTGATCATCGGTTGCACCACGTCGCATAATAGCTTCTATGAGCTTCGGGTATGCCGAGACATCCTCGATCCCAACAGCAACGGAAGGTGTCCCATCAAAATCACTGCCTAGTTCAATTTAGCATGTGCTCTTATAATTACCAAGAACGGTACTCACCAATTCCAACATGGTCCCAGCCGGCAATGGAGGCAGCATGGAATATGTGATCCACCACGTCTTCCAAACTGGCCTTTGCCGGGTCATCGGGCCGAATGAACTTGTTCGCAAAGAAGATCATGATCACACCACCATTTCGTCGGAGCATTTGAAGGACATCGTCGGGGGTATTTCTCAAACTTTTTGCAAGCGCATAACACGCCGAATGGGAAAATATCACTGGTGCCCGAGTCACAGCTATGGCATCCCGCATTGTCCGGTGTGATGTGTGTGAGAGATCTATCATCATACCTAGTCGGTTCATCTCGTGTATTGCAGCACGTCCAAAATCACTCAGTCCATTGTCTTTTCCTGTCTCTGTCACTGTTGTAGCTGCAGTAGCGAATGCATTGTCACAATTGTGAGTTAGAGTGATATAACGCACTCCGAGCTCGTACATCTGCCGGATCACGGCAATGGATGAGCCGATTTGGTGAAGTCCTTCAGCACCAAGCATAGAGGATATTCTCTTTGATTTAAAGGCTTGCCGAGCACATGCTGCTGTCTCGCAGTACTGTAACTCGCTGTACTCCGCTACCAAGCGCTTTGCCACATCAATCTGCTCAAGGGTGTCACGAACGCTATGCTATAATGCAGGTTGTCAGCAGCCATTTTTATGAAGGGCGTAAGGTTTGCCATTACATTTGGATCGTCAAGATGAATTATTCGGGGACACTGGTCTCGATGTCAGTCCCGTGGACTGTTGCATGTCCAATACTAACGAACTCACCTCTACAAACACCGACCAAAACTGCCCACCCACTTTGCCTTGGTGCATCCGCTTGAGATCTGTGTGAGATGCAAGTCCTTTGATACCGTCAATACCAGATTTTGATCGAACGGTTGATCAATGAGGAAACCATACCCTGGCTAAATGGAAGATTGCCACCATAAATCTGATTGTTGAGCTGTAGTCGAACAAGAAACGGGAGATCGTTATGTCCGTCTATGAGAGGTATCTCTGATAACACCTTGGATGTTCGAGCTGCAAAGTCCAGTGGATCGATATCTTGACGCTGGATTAGGTCTCTTGCTCTTATCGCAACCCAAAGCGCTATAGATATCGAGCCAATAGCAACAAGCCTTAGAGGGTTCCATGACTTCGCCTTTTGTGCTTTGAGGACAATTGCCCGACTATAATTTTCATTCGTGTTATCCTCGCGCAATAATGGCCCAAGTGGCCGTTGTGGCTCTGTTGCATCCAGGCGATTCATAGAGACTGGAAAGCGAAAGAAATGGCAATTCAGCCAAGGATTCAAATGTTACCCGGAGACTTTGGTAAGAGAGGATGAACCAAGCCATCAAGCCATTAATTTACTGGTTTACCTTCGAAGCGATACATTTGTCTAATCTTGAAAAGCTTGCACTCTCGGACAAGGTCCGGAGTGTTGCACAGCGAAGCATATCTTGCTATCAGGAGGATAAAGTAATCGACACCGGACAATGCAGATACGACACAGATAGAGAGCCCAAATGTGTTTCTTTAGCCAATCATGTTAATATTCCTAGCATTGCGGGGAAAGTCTCGTGAGGGGCTTTCGGAGAGAGTACGGAGAAAGCAACGACACTCTCCGAGCGGATACAACCCCAAAGATATCTAGTGTGACGACGTTGTGCTAACAAACCAATTAATATTAGACACATAAGACTGACAATGTAGCACGTCCAATATCGAAACACGCCTGATAAACTTCCCGAATATCATGCTTTCAACTCTTGCAACACAAGTCATTTTTGCACTTGTTTTGGGTACTGCCAACGCTCTTCCGAGCTCTAACGCAAGTCCAAAATTTGACACTCGCACATCTGTGCAGCAGGGCTACATAAATGTGGCCGTCGCAACATTGTGGACCGACTCCAGCAAACCGCGGGCAATAGACACGCCGGCACTGACAAACCCGGCACAAATTGAGCAATGGCTCAGCTCTATGAACGTGACCGAGTTCCGCGACCTTACCGAGAACAGCCGGACCCAGACACAGGCTCTGTATGGCGCACAGGTCGACATCCTCAACTATGAAAGTGGTTGGTACGAAGTGGCGGTCCCGGGCCAGGCGACCCAAAAAAACAACCTTGGATACCCTGGCTGGGTTCCCGCCGCGCAGGTGTCGCTCGATCAACACTACGGAAAACTGCAATCAAGCAAGCCTTTTGCGACAATCGACAAGGCCGCGACAGTTTCGCTCTATCGAGATCCGACCTTGAAGTCAAAGCTCATGGAAATCAGCTACGATACAAGACTCCCAGTCCTGAGGGAGAGAGAGTCGGTCATTGAGGTTGCAGTACCTGATGTTGGCTCGGCTTTCTTGGCCGCTCAGGATGCCAGCATTTACAAGTCTGCGTCGGAAATCCCTTATCCGACCAGCGAGGATCTGATCAACACAGCGAAATTGTTCATCGGCCTTCCTTATCTCTGGGGTGGTATGTCTGGATTTGCCTTCGACTGCTCGGGTTTCGCACACACGATCTACCATTCGCATGGTATTTCTATTGCCCGTGATGCTGATGCGCAAGCCGACTTCACTGGTCATGGCATTCGGGTCGACAAGGAGGATTTGCAACCAGCGGATCTTATGTTCTACGCGAATAACCTCAGCGATGCGAGCACCATTTATCACGTTGCGATGTATATTGGGAATGGGCAGATGGTAGAGGCCTATGATGCAGGGACTCCAGTGAGAATCACGACTGCTCGTTTGGGCAAAGGATACTGGGGTGCGGAGCGTTTCTTGTTGTGAGGAGTGTGAGCTATAATGCCAGTGTAGAAGATTTCAGAGTGTATATCTCTCCAATGTGCAGATATCTGTAATTACTTACCAATCATTCATTGCGAAGATTTGTTAGATGAGGTTAGTCGGGCACAGTATCGAAGCGAAGACCAGGGGAGTAGCTGTATACTACTAAGGAATCAATGACTTTTACTCTATACTCCCGAGGTTCCCGATGTGATTTGTAATGCTGCATGTGTCCCACTTTGGATTTTCAGCTCGTTCATCTTCCAGATTGTGGAACGAGACTCCACTTTAGTATATCCCGTTGCCATGGACGGATATGTCCTCCGGTTATAAGATTCTTGGCATTGGGGGCCAGGGACATGCGGCGATCCCTACTTTCGAGCTGTTAGCGCCATCCCAATTCGGACATTAGTTGTGCGTGTCTGATTGGATGAGATTATATTGCTTGGCAGGGCCATGTGGTGATCCCTTCTTTCTAGCTGTTTGCGCCGTCCAAATTCGGACATTAGTTGTGTGTGTCTGATTGGGTGAGGTTCTATTGTGCCGTAGGGCCATGCGGTGATCCCGACTTTCTGGCTGTTGGCGCCGTCCTAATTCGGATATTACTTGTGTGTGTCTAATTGGATGAGTTTATATTGCGTGGCGCAAGGGTGATGATCTTGTTCAGACACTGAATTTCCATGCCAAGGTTGCTGAATCTGAGTTCAAGATAAACTTGGAGAAATGGTAATAATTACTGATAATCTATCGATATAGGGACAGTTATGATGAATGGTCCATCATCGTAGTTAGCAAAAGGCAGACACAGCCGTACAAGAAGTCAATAAACCCAAACAGCGATCATCAGGCCATAGGGCTGTCAACATTGGAGGTGGCTTGGCATACTTCTACTTCTCTCAAGGGAACCTAACAAGGTCTAGGCGAACAAAGCATTTTGCCGAGGAGATTGCCCGAGTTGACAGGCATACTGAATACGGAGTAGATGTCCATAGACACCTCATTAAAACTGGCTCCACCAAATAACAGCCACCCCAGCCTAACTACCTAATTAGGCTTAGTTCACGATGTGACAACTCCATTTCAGGTTTACAAGCCGCCCAGGTGATCTCTATGTTATATAGATTGAGTTCACTATCTGTTCTACTCCTTTTAGGCAAAGTTTTGCTAGTTTTAAACATCAGAATGGTAATATATGTGCATGTTGTATAGAGTACAGCAAAACTACCAATTAGACCATAACAACACCCTTTCTTCGGGCCTAAAGGGTTCACATCCCAGGCTAACATATAAGGAAAATTGAGGCGTCACATTATCCTAAATTTGGAAAACCCCTGTTTCATAAATTATAATTTAGAAGAATACAGCGCTTCGATGATGAGGTGAGACTGAAATGTCAACTCTCATATTTCTAGAGAGTTCTGATTGGTCCACGGATGCGATCGGGAGACGTTGAAGACCCACCCGATCCCGCGTGGAGATCTTGGCAGGGACAATTTGCAGGGATCGGGGAACTCCCGATCCTCATTAACATACGATGTACACACTCTTGCTTCATTCGTACTCGAATTTAAAAGCCGTCAAAAGCCGTGCACTCAAGTGGCTTGCATCCCTGCTTACTTCGTGATGTCAGTGCTAAGCTTGCTTGGCTACAAAGTAGTATAGGGGTAGGGGCGGAATCACTCTTGGCAACTTTATACGTCGCAGCCCCCAAAACGCCTCTTGGGCTAATATATGCTAGTGCTCGTTTTACAGCCACGCTACCTAATTGATAGGCTTCGGGATTAAGTTTTTCAACAGTCATGCGTTTCCTTCGAGTGAACACTCCATGTAAATCAAGGGGATCCTTGGCATTTGGAGATCATACCCAGATCAAGTCATTCAGCTTCGACAAGTACAAGTGGTTCTACTTCGTATAGCACGATAACATAAAGAAAGGGGCAGATAGTTCCTAGTAGAAGTTTCACTGTCAGAGCTATAGCAAACCCTGCTTTTAAGGCTGTAAAGCCTGATGAACAGAGCTACTGATAGCCCATACAATAATGCTAAATGTTTACGATAGAGTATTTTTTTCCATGTGGCTTCATGAGGAGAAGCTGAAGATGTGGGGAATATGTAGCATGTGCACATAAAGTACCCGTGGAATTGTGCATGGAATTAAGCCGAAGTGCACTTATCTCCGACAACACTGGTACCCTTGTAGCTTTAGCGCCGGAGCCTATTTAATGTTATATGGTATATCGAATATTCTATACATAGTCTTACATCGAGGCCCAGGCAGATATGGGGCGTCATTTCCGAGATAGGAAATTCCCTCTGTATCATCTCGCGCCGGGTTTCGCCTAGCTCTTCTTGGGTTCCATTCTGTTCATGTCGATCTTGTGGATCCGTAATATGGCTACAGAGGAGGGAAAGGAGGAGGAGGAAATTGGTACAACATAGGGGCCAAAAGTTGACACATTCATAATGCACATGTTGCATGTAATTTCTATAAATTGGAACAGTCTGCCTGGTATCTCGAGCAAAGGAGTGCCCATCAATTACAAACGTCGAGGAAGTCGACCTTTTGGATTGAGAAAGCATACACAGTCAGATTTTACTCCTGTTCAACCGCCATTATGCGTTTCGTTTCGGGGGTTTTAGCCGCACTTGGTTTGTTCATCGCCGTTTACATTACGCTGTAACATTTATAACTAACGGGTGTGTGTATCAAGTGGTGACGGCGAATTCATTCGTACTCCCAAAGCGCGAAGAGTCCATGGAGTGGAACGAGACGTGCATAGGCATCGAAACCAAAACTAGGGACACCTGGAAGAAAACCGAGATTGGTGAATGGTTCATCTCTATGTACGGCTTTTCTCTCCTTAATCTGGGCCAGTTATGCTAGATTCTTTGTGTCTAACAAATATTCTTAGGGCAAATGCGGAAGACATCTACACCAAGGATATTCAAAAGACAATCCAGTCTTGGGATCATCCTAGCAGTCTTTACGGATTTTATTGTTCCCCAATGAGCTACTGTGAGGCAAACCTTGACAAGGATCAATGCCTCGATCCACGTTCTGGAGCCCGACCTGGGCTGTATTTCTTGATGTGGTCCATCGCCAACTTGAACAATTACATGCTGTCTGTGTTGAATGCAGTTGAACACACATCTAGTGTGGCTATTGGGCTCTCTGCTAATCTGGTCGAAACCTTCGCCACAAATATGGATAACATTGTGAGTGAATATCTCGCTGCAAGTCACGACCATCTCTCTAACTGACACCCCAGCCTCTCGTCAATGCCGGCCCATCTATGGCTGCAGGTTTCTTGGGAGGTCTTGCTGCGATTTTCCCGCCTTCTGCTGCACTCGGAGGTCTTGGTTCGGCCGCTGCGACCATCGGAGGTGGCATCATCTCCCTTCTCGATAATGAGAAGCCCGTTGAACTGTACGTGGCCTAATATATCCTATTATAAGTCATACTAATCCGTTTAATTCTCTCATATAGGGAGCCCAAGTTCAACGATTTCAAGAATATCACCAATTATATCGCCAGGGCCTCGGAGGGAATGCAAATGGGCATCGAAAAATATACCCGCTGGCTTCTAACTTCGATCCCGTCAAACGACCGTTCCCATGGCGTTTGGTACATCGATGATCCCAACTCTCTTCCAAACGTCCTTAGGGATGGTGCCTTCGCTGAGCCCATCACCTCGGATGTCCTCCCAGACAGCATCTATGTCTCTCTATTCAGCGCCGCAATTGCCCTTCTCTGGAGAGGAGAACCTGCTGGCGTCGTCAAAATTACCCACGAATATTCAAAATTGTCTAAGCCTATCTGTGAAAATAAGGATGCCTGGAAAGGCAACAAGTACTGTGATGATCAAGGAAACGCCTACCTTCTGATACGCTTGGATAGCAGCTGGAATACAACACCCTGGGATGACGGTATCGAGGACAAGTTTAAGAAACTTAAGGGCGTTGAGAAGCTTGGGGACTACAGAATTTCCATCAAGACCGTCGTGAAAGCATCCGAGCATGCGGCCTCGAAGAACGGTGGTCGCCCATACTATGAATGGAACCCTTCCAACTTCATCGACCACATCAACGAAGATCCACGGAATAGGGTGGAGTTCTCTGGTTTCAATCTGCCCTTCTGCGAACTTGGACTCTTCAGGGGTGGTGGAGACCCCGGCCTTCTTGACAGGGATGAGTGCGATACCGAGGTAAGAAACGGAGACCCTTCTGCTTTTTGTGCTACTAACAGTTATTTACAGTGTCAAACTATTTGGGCGATGCGGAATTGCTTCGTGGGTCTTGATCGGGAACATCCTAACCGCGGCGGAATTCCTTTCGAAAGGGAGTGTGACTACAGAGAATGTAAATTCTGTATGGGTGGTTTTGCGGGCTGTTAATGGGCAACCAGAATGTGCAGTTTTAAGCTAGCACTAGATATATAGGAAGGTGATGTGAATTGAGTACTTCGTAATGCAGAAGACCAGAGAATACAAGATTACTGAGGTTTTAAAGCGACCTCGGGACCTTCAAGTAACTACTATGCAGTTTGTCGCTAATTATAATTACAATGTATGGAATCATTGAGGCATTTATAACCATCCGTGAATCGAGTCGTAATCGCTAATACAATGAGAAAACTACATGGATTGATTGATATATAAATGGACGTAAACAGTCACTTCCGCATGTTGATTAACACGTGCTATCTCTATCCCAGTCACATATAACAAGGAATATTTTGAAGCAGCACAACCTTGGAATGAAAGATGAGATTATGTAATTGAGATGAGCCACGCCAAATATAATACAAGAATGTCTAATGATCTCCCCGCCTAGAAAACAAAAAGAACCAGATCTATAAATAGTGTACAAAATCGTGCTTTAAGCTAAGCGCCGGTGATCCTTAGAACAAATTCATATACGCCGAGCGTAATGATAGCTGAAGGCAAAGAGCGGAGCATGTGAGGAGCAAGGCCTCCATACAAACCTGCCATGCCTTCTTCCTTGGCGATAGTACGGAAGCATTGTACTAGGCCTGTGTATTTGGCCTGGCCGCGCTCCATGGGTGCCTGGCGCAATCGTGTTCGGATAACCTAAAGAATGTGAGTGTGAGACCAAGAAAATTGCCTCGACATGACGTACCTCATGAGGATATGTGATTAGACCTGCCACGAGCTTAGCGGAAGACGCGGCACCACTCGTACTAACCCAATGGGAAACCTCGTCCCAGAAGGCAGTCCTTGGCTTCCCCTCGGTAGCTTCTAATGACCGGTGGAGCCTAGTTTTCAATTGTTCATAGAGCACCAAGTGTAGAGCCGTTTCGATTGAGCCGAGATAGCTTGCGCTCAATCCTCTGTAAAAGCCAGCCAGTCCCTCATTTCGCATGACCTGTCTGATGCAATCAATGCTATTGCGATATCTTCGAGTCGAAGGACCACCCGTGTGTGTTTGTGTTTTGTCAAGTTGTAGCCTTGTTTTGACAAGCCATATTGGATTTGTTGCCGTAGAAGTTGCTAGTCCTGCGCAGATTGCAGCTTGCGCATGGACGATAGCAGAATCTTCCGTGTGTCCCATGAGCTGAGCCCCAACCCGCTTACAATTCCCGTATACGTAAAACTTGATCGCGGTCGCTGGGACTACACCCGCCATGCTTGGACCGAGGCCCCGGAAAAAGGCTCGCCAGCCTTCAGCACGGTAGATCGAGTTAATAATCCGCAGTGTTTTATGATTTGATCGTTGAAGAGGCCGTGATGATTGAGGAAGTTGGTTCGATTGGGGAGAGGCGTCGGAGCCCCTATTTGGGGTTTGATAAAAGTCGGATTGGAGACGTGTCCGCAAGACATCAAGAGGAGAAGTCACTATCGCAGTAGCCATTCCGCCGCTCCTAAAAAAATGTCAGAAGAATCAAGACGATACCAGCCGGACAAGACATACGCGCCTGCAAGAAGGTGCACCCAAGAGCTAACGGTCTTTTTTTCTGCGAAGGGAACAGAAACACTCTGTTCCCCTCCATCATTATGATCAAACCGAGCCTGAGTATTTCCCTGCATGATTGCCGTCGTACCTTGATGAAGATGAGACCGCGAAGGGCGGCCTAGTCTCGACACTTTTTTTCGGCGATATGCTTTTCCGCGATCCACGATGCCGGCCCCGGATCACGTGTATTTTCTTATCATCACGTGGTTGACACTCTATCGCAGAACATTTCCCGAGGTCTCCAGGGCTGTTCACGCAGGTGGTTGTTAACTTCCCAAGTGAGGTAGAAGTTGCGTGTCGATTATAGTTGACTAGACCCTTAGTATTAGATCGATGTCACCTTTTTTTTTCTAGCACTAAGTGTCCCAGGGCCCATGTATTTTCGGTGGGAAGTGGTAACCATACGGTTGAGTGACAAGTTGTTCCTACACTAAACAATCGAAGTCAACAAAATCACATATTCTTTGGCCTAGCACTTCGCTATCAATATCCTCTGCATTACACTGATATGTGCACTCAAATCAACTAGAATTAAAGATAGCTGAAGGGTTATCATCACACGAGGAGATAGCTACATTGTCCATCCTAATCATATATATTAATTCACAGTACACCCTCATAACCTAGTCAAAAAAATTATCCTGGTCACCATACATATCACCGTTCATAACTCGTGCGGTTCCGCTTACATGAATCGAGTCGATTCTTATATTGCTACTGGCCTTCGGTATGGTTTCTCCCTTCCAGGCCGACCCGTAAAAGTTCCCATCTCTGACTCTAGCATTCTCTGCCACGACCAATGATCCGATGCTGATACCCTTTTGTTCTATCATCTTCGTTGCCTGGGCCTGCAGTGTCTTGTCCACAGCCATAGACAGCTCATAAACAAAGGCCAGAGTAGTGTCCTGTTGCGCCTGGGTCCGGTCACAAATCTCTCGAATCTCGGACTGCGCCAGTGAGGATTGAACTTCTGGTGCTGGAAACGTCTTCTCCAAAAAGTCTATCAGCTTGGCGATAGCGTCTACCAGAGACGTGAGATGGCTTTTATTATACAATGCCCAGCTAGCGATTTTGACCAGGCTTGTCCCTTTCTGTCGGCGTCTAGCCTGTTCCCGCATCAAACGGTCTATACTTGTCTGCGTAGGGGACCCTTGCAATGTCGAAGAATCCCCTTCCGACTTGGCACTCAGACGGAACTTCCTTGATACTTTCTCTGAGTCGGACATGAGCACTAGAATTTGATACAGCGTATTCTTGGCTAGTTGCAGATCGTCCTGTGTTGCCTCTGGGTGCCCGAGTTGTGGATCGGTATAAAGATGGACAGCTTCGCCCCAGCGCGAGAGACGAAGCTTCAGCCCGCTGAGCATTAAATGGCTCGTTTGAGAGTCTTGACCAAAGTGGCGACCTATTTGGACATATTCGAAACATTCCAGACAGGTGGTGAAGATTCCGGCGATGCCGACCGCCCCCGAAACAATGCCAAAAGCCTCTGCCATTTAGCTGGGCTAAATTAACAAAGAAAAAAAAAGACAGGGCCAGGATACCGGACAATTAAGAATGACTGAGCTGGATTCAGACGTCTGACAGAGATTTCTTCGAGGGTTTCTGTTTAATATCAATCTTTTGGGATCTCTCCCCCGTTGGAAACAGCAGAAACCCAGCCACAATGCTCGCCAGAAATCCACCTTCCCGTCATGCAGTGTGTTTGTCACATTATAATAGGGTGAGAGTGAGAGGTGTGGCCCGAATACGAGAGTGGTATGCACTGTTGTAATTAGGGTAATTAATAACAAATTACCTGAAACAGAGCCAATCAAAGCATTACCCTCGAATATGAGGCGACCTGAACAAAAGCATGAGATTTCTGAAAGAACTTTTGGTGAAAAACGAATTTAGAGTCCCTTCCAATACAGATGATTCAAAGTAGCTATAAATTCAAGTAGCTATAAATTAAAGTTGCTAAAATTGCTTTTTTATCGTTCATGCTGCGGATTATGAAAAAAAAAAAACAAAAAAAAAAAAAAAAAAGACTTGCTGTGTCAGCTCCGGCTAATGCACATGCGCGTCCAGACTATTTGCATTCTTTTGCTAATACGGAGTACGGAGTATAATACAGATATTTGATATTAACCACCTCCTCGTATGTTGTATGTCGCTCACAACCCTTTCCATATCTAATCATGTTTTGGCAGTTGGAATAATACCGTATGTATCATTGGCGTGCATTAGCGTCCCTTCTTGTCCGAGCTGGCACAGGCGGGTCCAATAATGCATTTACAAACTGCCAATGGAAAAAATAAACAAACAATCAGACCTTCAATACTGATTTTGAACTCACTCACTATGGACTATTCATAGTAAGAATATTAATATTGGATCAAGAGCACCAGAACCAATTATATGGAAGTGGTTCCTCAATCTGCATTGCAAGAACTTTCCTATAAGGCGTTCGAACAACTCTGCGGTTAGAGAAATAGAGCAGGGGGAGGATAGTATCGCCTCAGTCTGATAATACTGCAAGCCACAGCTGTTATCACACCATGAAGGGATACAACTGGCTATCAAATTTGGATGCAGCACCTGGGGCGGTCCTGTCAGCCTCGCTAAACCCCGCCAATCTATCCATCAGATAATCTTTCAGGGGTCCGTGTAAAGATCCCAAACTATTCACATGTTTGAATGTGTATTTTATTTACCCTTTCCGTTCCTTTCAACACAGTTGTCACTTTCTACCACGCATCACTAATTGCCTCAACACGGAGATGGCTAGTATAGAGGCGGTTCAAACGGAGACCATCAATAGCAAATTATACGACTCTCAACAGACTATCCCTCTGACTATACAGACACAAAACATATCCGGCAGTGCCCGAGTCCACAATGGTCCCTATTTTTCGATCAAGCGGACGTCGACCTATTCCAGAACCCGAGATGCACTTGCATGGCTGAGCTCGCTATTCTTTGACGAGGTCCACGATCGCATTCGTAACCAAGCACAGATCACACGACAAAACCGTACGGCGCAAGGTGATGACTATTATTCCGGAAAATGGCTTTTGGACTCGGTCGTCTTTGATCAATGGCGGTCAAGGGTTACCAGGGAACTATGGTATCTTGGGATGCGTTAGTAATCTTTTTACTTTCCGACGGTGTCAGGGCTTTAGACAGCTAATCCTGATTTGTGTAGCTGGTGCAGGCAAGTCTGTTATGGCGTGTGTTCCCCTACTTGTTTGTCTTTACCTCGCATCATTCTAAGATGACTGATTGTTTTCAGTTCAATCATCATCCAGCATTTACTTGATCTGCAGAAAGATTTCAAGGCCGAGTTCCAAAGCCCAAGGGTTGCTTACTTGTATCTAAGTTACAAGGAGTCTCATACGTTGGACCAGCTGCTCGGAAGCATCATTAAACAAGTGATAATCGATGATACACCTCTCCCACAATCTTTGACCAAGCTTTGGGAGCGTTGCAATTCTGGCGCCGTGAGGCCAACCTTGAGTTCATTGATGGACCTGCTTCAGGAAGTGACATGCGATCGCCCTGTCTATGTTGTGGTTGACGCATTAGACGAATATCGGGTCAAAGATCGCAAGGAACTGATGGATAGGCTCCGGGATTGCAAGAATATTTTTATCCTCATCACATCGCGAGTGCTGCCCGAATGGGAGGAACTTACTGGTGACTGTACCACAGCCGAGATCAGGGCAAACCCAAAGGATATCGATCTATTTCTGGAGCATGGGTTTCAAGAAAGCCCTCGTTTGCGAAAGTTTGAAGAAAAGAGCCCCGGGCTACTGAAACAGATCAAGTCGGCTGTGCACGAGGCCTGCAGTGGAATGTAAGCAAAGAGGACAAAGAATTCTGTCTTGGCTAGTAATCCCTTCTGACTAACACTGCTCCAGGTTCCTTCTTGCTAGCCTGCATATGCGTTCCATAATATGCCAGCGTACCATTGAAGGTGTTAAAGACCGGATCCGGAGCTTGCCTCAGGATATCAACGGGATGTATAACGACACTCTGGCTAGAATAAGACAGTTGGAACAGGACGACGTGAAATTGGCACTGGGCATCTTGTCATGGGTGGTATTCAGCTACCGCCCACTGAAGATCGAAGAGATTCAACACAGCATGGCAGTGGACCTTAGCAGTAAGAGATTCAATGAGAATAAAATGTTCGGGGAAGAAAGCATGAGAGAGGTCTGTGAGGGGTTGGTCACAGTTACGGATGGTGTCATTTCCCTTGTGCACTACACTGCACAGTCATTTTTCAAAGAAAAGCGGAATGAGCTCTTCCCTGGATTTCATGCCACGATTGCCAAGACCTGCATTACTTATCTCTCACTAAAGGCTCTGGAGCAGCCGGATGATATCGAAAACCAGCAATCTTATGCAGACGACTTGTACGACATCCCCGATCCTCGCACGGCTAACGAAATCCTCGAATCTGCGAAATCAACGCGCCATCGTAGACTCTCATACAACCAAAAGCGAGCCAAGTTCCCGTTTCTTATATATGCTTCTGAATTCCTTCCTCGTCATCTTCGGGACCTGGGAACCGTGTCAGTCCTGGATGATATATTGTACTCCCTGCAAAGGCTGCTTCAAGACCGACCAAAAAGACTCTTTTTGATTCGAATAATGTCTGAATACTACCCGCAGCTGGGTCATGCTTCTCAGCTTCTGGAGCCATTCCATCTCGCTGAAGACTTTGTGTTACCATCGGACGCAGGTACGATCTCCGCTGGCTTGATCTCTGCAGGAGGATCCGATGACCCTGTACCCTGGGAAGAAGTATCGCCAGTGCTACCTTCATCCCCAACTAATAACCGTGACTCGCATATTGAGTCAGGAGACCAGGAACCTCATTCCACTCTTGTCGATGAATCACCAAGTGAAGTCCACCCTGATGATGACCTATCAAGAGGTTTACCGACTGCCACGGTGGAGCGAGAATTTACTGCATTGCATTTGGCTGTGTTCCTAGGCTGGCCTCCCATAGTTACACAACTCTTGGACAGTTCCAAACAGCGGCTTGCTATCAACGCTGTAGACATGGATGGACGAACACCGCTGATAATTGCAGCCGGTGAACGACATTGGGATGTGGTTCCGCTTCTACTCGATAGAGGCGCATCGGTTGATCTCCTGTCCAGTGATGGCCACGCTGTATTGCTACAGGCATCACAAAGAGACCGCAAGGATATTGTTCAAAGAGTTATATTCGATCTGATGCACCCTATGATATACGACATATCGCACGTCAAACCAATTGAGCATATAATGGCCATTGTCATTGCCTTCATTCTCGAGGTTTTCTTTCTCGTCGGTGGGTATTATCCTACATATAATCAAGTGAGAGCTATTGAGCAGCGATGGATGAATAGAGTACTCCACCTTTCGACACGCAGAAAGGCGATTGACTCCCAATTTGGAGATCATCTCCGGCTTCTGACAGCAGCCACGTCGGGAGATTGTGAGGCTATTAAAAGACTTGTATATGATGGGAGGGTGCAGTTCCAGTCAGAGACATCGTGCTTTCATAACACTGCTGCCTTTCTCGCGGTTGAGTTTGATCAGAGAGATGCTGCTGCCGAGATTCTAGACAGTGGGGCAAATATCAACATGCGAGGTCTGCAAAACTGTACATTACTCCACCGTGCAGCATATCGAAACAGTATTGGGATGGTCCAAATGCTGCTGGATCGACATCCCACTATTGACTTGAAAGATGATGATGGATTAACTGCTTGGTCCGCCAATCTAGACGAAGAGCACAACGCGGGTAAGTACACACGACATGAAATACCCATGCTACAAGAAGTAGGCTAACCACCATGTATATTTTACAGTGCTCGGGATCCTCCACCGCGCAGGCGCTGACCCCAACACAAGAATGGTGTATGGAGAGAATAAACTGTACAGCTCTGCTGCCGCGGGGAATGTGAGGACTGTCAGATTTCTTCTTAGACAAGGGGTGAATCCATCGATCAAGACAGATTATGGTTGGACTCCTTTGCATTGGGCTGCCGGAAACGGATTTCCTCTTTGCGTCGAGGAGTTGAGGAGGGCTGGCGCGGAGTTGAATCCGATTTCGGATGTATCTAAGACTCCACTAGACCTGGCAATTGAGAGGAACGAGCAAGCAATTGCCAAATATCTCCGTGATGCCGGCGCCAAGACAGCGAGTGAAGTGTTGGCTGAGACTGGTGGTCGGAATAAGTCCGATGTGACACGGCCGTGACGAGGATGATAACGGATGACATGGACGATGGACTTAAAGAAGGAGAAAAGGGAACAAGTGCTAGCCTCTGCAACCTGGACCTCCGCATCATGTTGAGAAACTGACTCTCGAGTCGGCTTGCTTGACCTCAGGGGTCAGTGCCGCTGACTCAGCGGACGGCGGTGGCCTAGTGTAAGTCGCTGTCCAAGTTGGGTTTACCTGTCTAGCGTCTCAATATGTCGTCAGACAACACCTCGATATAAAGGCCCGACCTCCCTTTTGGTACCGACTGTTCTCGTTCACCTTCCTCCGTCACCTCTATTCCATACTTTTTATGAGAAGGATATGTGACCTTTCATCGTGGCTTATATGTACAATATAGAATCTATGTTTTTGAATGCCCAATTATTGCCGATAACAGCCAGCCAGGTCGTAGGCCCCCTACACGAGCGCGGTTAGTATCCGTATGCATCGGCCATGTGGTAGATGTCTCAGAGTGGGTAAGAAATTCAATCCGATTGGGCAATCCCAAAATAAGCTTAAGGTTTGTTTGTCATCCTCAAATCTGCCCGGCCCCGGCCCCTAGGGCCGTCCACCAGACATCCGTTGACATCTACTGGTGCCTGAAGTCATAATAAAGTTCCGCATCAGACCTCAAACTCTTCCGTCTAGCCTAAATAATTGACATTAGAACTTCGATCATTCACCCGGATCCTGGTTATTACTATCGTCTCGCCCTTCATGTCAATGGTTTCTAGCTCTCGGGCCGGTATGCCGAAAGAAATCGGTGGGAAGTTCTCAATGGCTCGGGCGACTCACGTGTGATAGGAAGTCAAATTATTCAAGATGAAGGTCTACTTGGCCAATGGGGCGACAAAGTTGTCCTAATCACCGGCGTTTCTTCGGGAATTGGTGTACACCGTCCGGGCCTTGGCATCTACCGGAGCGACTATCTTTGGCACAGCCCGGTATCTACAAAAGGCGAAGGAGGCCCTGGGTGAAGTACTCCACCCTGGGTGTGTGAAACTCCTTTTCATGGAGCAGACGGACCTATAGAATGTTCGGGCATGTGCTGAGCAGTTTCTGAAACAGAGCTCTAAGCTGCATATACTTATCAATAACGCAGCGGTGGGCTAATCAAAAAGGATTTTGCATGAGAACGTCAGATTACTATTTAATCGTTATAGGTGACGAACACCCCCGAAAGTCGTACCAAAGATGGGTTTGAGCTACAATTTGGAACGAATCACCTGTCTCATTTCCTCCTCTTCTATCTACTGAAAGATATCCCACTGAAAACTGCACGTTCAATGACTACGTTCAATTCTCGTGTTATCAATGTCTCCTCGTCGGGTCATCGTTACAGTGCTGTTCATCTAGACAATGTAAACTTGGAAGGAAATTACAATGGTTGGCTTGCATATGGATCCAGAAAGACGACCAATATCCACATGGCCACCCAAATAGAGCGCTTGTATGGCGCAAAAGGTCTTCGTGGCTATAGCTTACACCCTGGGGCCTTCATAAGCCCCAACCTCCAGAGATACTCCCCAGGAAGAAATGAAAGCAGCGATGCAGGACAAGCGAGCTACGGCTTATCTGTGCAATCTCGAACATGGATGCGCAACGATCTGTTATGGGTCTGTCTCGAGAGAATTGGAAGGAAAAGGCGGTCTATATTTGCAAGGAGCCTCTATAGCAGCTCACTCGACACCCTCGGACGGGGATGGACTTAAATATGGATGTGGCAATTGGGCTTTGATGATGCAAAGGGCAGTGAGTTGTGGAAGCTTAGCAAATCTTGGGTAGGAGTATAGTAATTGCCTTAATGTCTTTTTTCATAGAGTGGCATCTTCAGTCCAAATCCCATTCAGTCAGTTATTAGTTCTTGGATTCATTGTTCGGTTATTTCTGATCGAATCTAAGAATATATTGCTCTGTATTGGAGCGCTTGGACCTTATACTACACCTCTATTCCATGTTGCCTAATATTCATGCAAGAGTGCGAGATTACTATCAAAGTCGTTAGGGTTTTGATCCAACCGGAAAAGGACTTAAGCGAAGTACATCGTACTATGGACAACGGAAACGATCGATAGTATACAATATGAAACAACCCCTTGTGGAGACTTCATGTTTACTGGATCTAACTGCAGAAAATAATTTAGTAGCCTTGACTTAGTATATAAATAGTTTTTAACTGTTCCGTATTCGTATCTTAGCTTTTTATTATAGTGGGTCCGTGGCGTATCAGGCAGCATCCTACAACACAAATTCAGTCAATACCTACTTCCAATATCACAAATTCGCCGAGTATACATGATGTGTAATACTCGAAAGTATCAGAAAGTAGATTTTCTTAAACTATGTACCATATGTGAATATCAAAACGGAAAATACTCTGACAACCTTCGCCCGGGACTTTATCTGTAGTTCACTATCTAGTGTATTCCACAAAATCTTATACTTTCTGCTGTGGATGGGCTCAGGTAGCTTAATGGCTTGGTAGTAAGCCCACTGTTGGAATGAAACAAGCTAAGTTCTTGCAATTTTACTGCCTTGTGGCTATTGCTTTGCATGAGTCCACCCAGACGGGGTTCATATATGGCTTGCCATGATCCTAAGAAACCGAAGTTACATATTCACAGCTCCTAAGTTTGAAAGGTGCTTCTCAGCAGTATCAGTCCTTCTCAATTGCTTCGAAAATCCACCGACATGGCCAACCCAACTGGGATCTCATCAATTGATACCATCCCTGCCTATATGGTACCATTTCTGTATCCTTCGCGAAATGGTATCCTTTCTTCTTTAATATCTTTGGTCTACCTATTCTGCACGGGATCGTTATTCTTCGACGTGGTCCATCATATGCTTCATCGCTGCAACAAATCGTCCCATCCTCTGTTTCAACGCCTAGCGCGTATGCACCGTTTCCACCATCTCTACTTCACAAGGCACATGGATTTCGATGAGAAATATCGCAAACAAAATAATTTCCAAGCATTGCCACTTGAATTAGCACTTCAAATCTGTGGCACCGCACTAGGGTATATCTTTGCTACTTTGCTGGTACCGGTTGGCCTGGTGCGGATACCACGAAGTTATCTTTGGTCTATCATTGTTATTCAAGTTCTGAGAACACTTGTTGTCATTATCACCAGCGGCCACGATTCAAACCACCTCATTTACAAAACTGCCCCTAAAGATCTGAATTGGATCTTCGTGGGACCAGAGTTCCACTGCCTCCACCATGTTTACCCAGACCGCTATATTGGATCATTTGTTAAATTGTTTGATTGGATATGGGGTACTGCGTACTCGTTTCGAGGAAAACGCTTTCTGATTACTGAGAATGGACCCTTCGGCGAAGCGATGGTGACGGAGGTAGAACGCGAAGGAGTGCAAAACATTCGAAGATTGAAATTTGGTGCTGATTGGGACCATCATCACTTTGATAAAGCTGCTGAAGCTTTGATAAATTGTGACATCCTCATCCTTGCCCACAATACTAAAGGTGAAGATGCGAAATCAAATTGTGATTCAGCGGTTCGCCTCGTTCAACTATTTAAAGAGCAAAGAACGACTAAGAACAATCCAACCCTACCTGAAGTTTGGTACGTGGGTAGTGAAACTGACTCCCATCAAACTTCCAACTCAAACGTGCGCTTCCTCAAACACGCTCGTTCATATTATGATGACCCCGATATACTTTACCGCCACGTCGTGGCATCTGGCTTCCAGTCATCCATGGGGTCAGCTACACCTTCAGCAGCCTGGGAAGCTAGGCGCTCAATGTGGTGGATCCGGAGAGGTGCTCGGTATATTCCTGTTTCATACACTGCGTTTCTGAACTATTTTAAATTCATGTACCTAGTTCCCTACGCGGGAGATGTGGATAGAACTTGAAAACAATTAGAAAATAATTATATCACGCAACAGTACATCGCCTTACTGGTGTAAGGTTTCATTTTGTTTAAGATTTTTACAGAGTTCGGTAGTTCACCCGATCTATAAGTAGTAGTGCTAGATGCCGAAAACCGGTGACTGACCGCACATGGTAGAACAAGATCAAAGAAGACTAATATCGATAAAATAATGACCATAGACCGAGGAGCAAGTAGTGCACCTAGTGGAAAGGCCACTCACAGGCCGAGACAATCCGTAGCCAATTAAAGTTTGCTGGAGACACGGTAGGGAATGTTCTTAGCCTCATATAGATCCTTGTGCTCAGATTTGATGATATCCGCACCCTGTATTATGTGTTAGTCCCATTCTAGGAATTTGCCAACTTGTTACTAACCTTCTCGCCAATCATATAGACTGAGTTTTGAATGCGGCAATCAGGGATCACAGGGATGACAGAAGCATCTGCAATTCTGAGGTTCCGCACTCCATGGACTCGCAGCTTTGAGTCAACAACACCTTGATGGATGCTCTTCGAGAGACGTGCCGTACCGCACGGATCTGTAAAGTAAATCATTAGACTTTGCCTGGATACATTTGGAGGGGTCATCTTACGGAATCCAGTCTGGCTGCGATCCAGAACAGCCCTGTTCATATCCTCATCGGAATCAAGGGGCATCTTCCAAGGGTACTCCGACAGAACGATGTCCTTGAATCCAGCACCCTTGGTCAAAAGATCATATGTCCAGCGCACACCCTCCCGCATGGCCAAAATATCCAAGTCATTGCCAAAGAAGTTGAGGTTGATGTTGGGTTGAACCTGTGGGTTAGAGCTGTTCAGGGTAACTTCACCCTCGGAGAGGGGACGTAAGAGATCGACAATGACGGTCATGTAGCTGCCCTTCTCAGGCATAGGGTAATGCCACTGGAATGCGGTGCTGAACAAGCCGACGAAGTCCAGCTCAAAGTGAGGTTGTCCTGCCGGACCGAAAGGATCCAGTCCTCCATTGGCAGCCTTGGCCTCCCGGTAGGCAGGGTATTTCTCCAGGCGTTCGTCAATTCGTGGGAAACCCACAAGTTCTAGGAATCCCGAGCTTGCAGGACCAGTCTTGTCCTTCTTGTAGGTGGACAGTGCTTTGTCATTCAGAGGACCGGGACGGAGGATATGGTTATCCAGACTGTACCCATCCTTGACTTCAAGAACGAAAGGCACAATTGGGTGGTCCAAAAGATGCTGGCCAACGTGAGGGGATTCCACAATCGGGGTAATTCCGTGTTTGGTTAGTTCCGCTGCTGGGCCGACTCCACTGAGCATGAGAAGCTTGGGAGTCTCAAATACACCCTGGGACAGAATGACCTCCCGGCTAGCGTAGACACTGACCTCTTGATCAAAAGCGTCGCTGATCACAGTGACACCGGAGCAGATACGCCTGGCGGGGTCGATGAGCAGCCTCTTCGAGCGAACGCCATAGAGGATTGTCACGTTAGGCTTATTCTTCAGGTAAAGAAAGCTACCCTGGCGCTCGCCGTGGTGGATAGTGTCAACACAGTGAGTGAGGCCCTTCATCTCGCCGGAATAGATGTCCTCGCTCAAAGGTTGGCCCTTGGAAACCCAGGCCTCAGTGAGCGCGTCACGGAAGGGCTTCATCTCCGGCACCAAATCGGCATGGGAAATATTCACAGGGCCTCCGGTTCCAATCTTGCTCAGTTCGGATGGATACAGCTTCTCGTCATCATGATAGGTGGCACATTTGCGGAGATACTCCACACAAGATTCCCAATTCCAGTCGCGACCACCAAATGCCTCCCAATCGTCAAAGGTAGGCTTGGAGCCAGGAATCCAGGTGAAGTAGTTGGCGCAAGAACTGCCACCAAGAGCCTTTCCGCGAGTGTTGGGCTTTTCAACACGCTCGTAATCGTCGCGCTTGATCATGGTGGTCTTGTAAGACCAGTCGTACTTGCTTCCGCGAAGGGTGAAAGCCTTCGACGGGGTGGTGATTTGATCGATCTGATCAGGGTTCGGGATGCCGGCTTCAATCACCAGAATGCGGACGTTAGGGTTCTCGGCGAGACGGCCAGCAATTGCATTACCAGCGGTACCACCACCGACAATGATGAAGTCGTACTCGGAGCCGTTGGAAACGAAAGCCATTGTTTGAGATTTGTGTTTTGTGATAAGAGAATAGTTGAGTACAAGGTTCGAGCAGTTACTGTGAGACTTTAAGACTGTAGGATTGTGTTTTGGACAGAGCAGGAATGAGGCATCTGCTAGATTTTATATTGCACTCATCATCGTAATCCACCCTTCATGGCAGCAATATCTCCAAACAGACTTGCCGCCTTTGCCGGGCCAGAAGCATACCGACAAGAACAAGGCCTCAAACTGGTATTGATGGAGATTGCGTCTGGAAGATGTTCTAGAAGGAAGGTAAACTCTAAGAGTGACGAGTGTTTGCTTTTCTGACCCCTCATGAGGGGAAACCCTTCCCCGCATAAGGCTGTGAAGGGGTTCTGACCAATCAGAGCGGAGGGATATGCCGGGATTTTGTCGGCGACGGAAATAGTTCGGCAATTCCATGACCGGCCTTAACGATGGCTTGTGAAATTCATTGCTTTTGTCTCAGAACACTTGGTTCTGTCAACTTTGATATTGTCATAGAGCCCCTCACATCAAGATTCAATGGGAATTTTGGAGATTTGGAGTCTCCTTCGTGGGGGGGGGGGGCGATAGTGGCAAGGTCTTGACTCAACGTTGAGATACAATAATAAAAGCTGGGCCGTTTCCCAGAAGATAGACAAGCACAACAGATCAATTGAACTCCCTGAACGAACAATAAAAAAAATGCACAGCCATAATTTTACATTGGCAGAAGGTATAGTACCAAGCATGTGACAACAACCATTCGCATTCTGACACCGAATAAGGCCAACCAGTTGCAGACCCATCCGTCAGCACCACGTTGCCTACTTTTGGTGGAGGTGGTATCACAACGCTGGGTGACACGCTTCTCCTTGAGACACTTGCACACTTCAACCGCGAACGTATCCCTGAAAGGTAAGGTGATTCCATCTGCCCTTAGGGAGGAATGTTGCCCTAACGCAAAATAGAGTTGTGCATGCCAAAGCTGCGGGTGCTTGGGGAGAATTTGAGGTTACAAACGACATTTCTTCCCTTACCGCGGCCAAGTTCCTCAATGGTGTTGGAAAGAAAACTCCTCTTCTATTCCGTCTAAGCACAACTGGAGGTGAAAAGGGTAGTGCCGATACCGTCCGCGATGTTCGAGGCTTTTCTGTCAAGTTCTTTACGGAGGAAGGTAATCATGATATTGTCGGGAATCATATTGTAAGTCCCCATCTCGATCAGACGTTTCGTATTCTAATGTCCTAAAGCCGGTGTTCTTTGTCCGCGATCCTGTCAGGTTTCCTTCTCTCAACAGAAGCCACAAGAGACATCCTGCCACCAACCGACCGGATTGGACCATGGTAAGTCCTAATGAAGAACTTTGTATCGCCAAGAAAACTAACCGTTTAGTTCTGGGATTTCCATACGAACCAACCGGAAAGTGTTCATGCTTTGATGCATCTTTTTGGTACTCGGGGTATTCCTGATTCCATCCGCCGAGTCACAGGATTTGGTGTACATACATTCAAGATGGTATCAGCTGATGGTGGGTTCCGCTACTGCAAGTTCCACTTCCGGCCTACCCAGGCTATCACCCACTTCTCGGGCCAGGAAGCTACTCGCATGGCTGGCGCAAACGCCGACTTCCACAATCAGGATTTATGGGATGCCATTGTTCGGGGAGAATTTCCGGCATGGAAACTTTACGTGCAGGTCATGGAGCCCACGCAGGCTGAAACCTACGGCCGTGGTCTATTTGATATCACCAAAGTTTGGCCCCACAAGGACTTCCCCTTGATCGAAGTTGGTCAAATGACTCTTAACAAAAATGTGAGTAACTCATTTCATTAGACACGAAGCAAGTACTAACGACAGCTAGCCCGAGAATTATTTTGCTGAGATCGAGCAAGCGGCATTTTCCCCTTCTAACATGGTCCCTGGGATTGCAATGACACCTGATCCTAGTGAGCTTACGCTAATTTTGCTGTTAGAGTCTGACATTATACTAACCATGTTTGTCTATATAGTGTTGCAGGCACGTATGTTCGCTTACCCCGATGCTCAACGATACCGTCTGGGAGTGAACTACACCCAGCTTCCTTCAAACCGTGCGATCTGCCCTGTTTACGCGCCATTCGAGCGCGATGGTATGGGAACTATGACCCGAAACTATGGTGGTGATCCGAACTATGTCCGAAGTTCACTCGGGAGTGGTGTTCCCAGCCAGATTGTTTCCAACGTGCGACACACTGAACGCATCGCGGTTAACTCTGTTCTCGGTCAAAACGAAATTGTAGTGGATGATGAGGATTTCGTTCAGCCACAGGAGCTATGGAGAAGGGTGTTTGATGAGCCCGAGAGAAGGCAGTGGGTATCAAATGTGTCGGAGACTTTAGAAGGAGTGCCTGGTCAGCTAAAGGATGCTGTCATTGCCATGTTTAGCAAGGTTGATCCCCATATTGGTCAATTGCTAGATGCTAAGCTTAAGAGTATTTCACGTCTTTAGTTCTTGCATTATATACTTTGAGGACCTCACTATCTACGAAAGCCATCATTTCCATGCCGCTTGCTCTCCAATTTCGTTGCATGTCTTCGGGTAATCACCCCTGGTCCACCCAGTGCCATATTAGCCCTATCTTCATCCAAGCCCACCAACCCGTCAATCTTATTTAACTTGGCTAGATCTACTTCGCCTCCGCGTGCTAAAGGTGGCATCACAGAGTCCTTGAGTCCGATGGCCATTCGAGCAACTTCCACGGCGTCCAGGGCGTGTGTCCACGTAGGCAGCTGGTAGATATAGTAGGTTAAGATGGAAAGCCCCAAAAGCTGCAGAAATATCAAGATGCTAATGATAACCGTACCCGCAAGGGTCTTTAGAGGTAAAGGCACTAGCATCCCAGCACCGAACCGGATCTCGCGCCCCGAGAACGCATGCGCTGCTGTCGCGGTTTGGGTGAGCATCGCTCGGTTAGAAATGTACATGCTGGCTAGGAGAGCCATCTCCGCCGAATTCGTATCGTTAAACGAATAAAACCAGTCACCAAGGAGAGACGCTAGTAGCTCCTGGGGATCGGAGTTATCCCACGACAATCGACCGTGATCTGTGGCAATGGCAGCGCAGTTGCTCTGGAAATCTGTGAATATTGAGAAGGCTAGATTGGAGAAGGGAAGCTGGCCTTGTTGACAGATCTGCTGGATTGCCGGCGGAAACGTCTTTTTGGATGAATTGGCTGCAACTTCGAAAAACGACTGGTTGCCGAAGAGAGCGATGGCTGATGTCATGAGTGGACCGGACATGTTTAGCATGTTGGTGTCATACGGATCGGCAGGTCCCGTGTTCCAAAAATTTGAATAGTGGTCGTGGTAGCCTTCAGTCTCGTCTCTGGGAATCGATCAGTGGGGTCTCTAGATGATTTGCAATGGATAGAACGAACTGTTCCGTTGGAGGCCCGTGACCTTTCCCCGCATATGTGCTTAATTCGTCGTTGAAATTCTCCGCCATCGTCTCGGCGTCTGGCCATTTATCCAGCAGAGGGCCATATGCCTGGGAGTTCATATAGTTGGCCAGCTCAAAATACCCCCGTGTGGTTGATGCAGTGCAGTGAAGTGTGAAACTGGCAATTGAGAGTCCTAAATCTCTCTTATCCACCACGTCTAAGAACAGATCCTCGCTAAAATCTTGCCTATTCCGACTCAATGTCCAGGGAAATACCCCGTACTGTCCCGGAGCGCATACCCGGACATTGAGCAGTGCGTGGGAGAAAGAAGTTTGAAAGGGACGTTTCCCAGGACAGGTCGAGGGGAACTTGGCCCGTGGAATCTTTTCGCAGACCGCAGACGAATTGAGCCTAATGGCATGCTCTCGGAGGACCCCCGTCGAGGTCCCGTTCTGGAGAGCAGTAACGAAGAAGTTGGGTGGTTTGTCCGACTGCTTGGAGATTGAGCTTGACCTCTCGTCCATCCAGTAAAACAATGTCTGCCGATAAGTTGGATCGGCGCGACTGGTGTCTTCGTCGGCCAAGTACGACGGATCGGGCCACAGATGCGTCTCACGGTCTAACTGGTTGAATACGGCCAGGCTGGACATAACCTCTTGGACGACACGGTTTTGACGGATGGTGGCTAGGTCCGCTGGTTCAGGGTCATAACCGACCACGACTGGGCCCGTCAACCCGCATGACTCAGAGGGGTTGTCGAGGCATGTCATTACGGGGACAGACTGCCAGGACACGAGGAGTTGCTGGATTGGGTGTTGAGCGGCACCTGTGAGGGTGTTAGTGAGGTAGATCGATTAGTTTAGATGACAGGGATGGACATACTGAGCACAATTAAGGTCATTCCAAGCCATAGGAAACGACTACTAATTCCCGCTCCCGTGCGTCTATATGCTTCCACAAGGACAGTTAGATCAGACCACCGGCGGTCCGCCAGGACGAAGGTCTGACGCAAACTGAGCTTTTGGTTGGGCTTCCGCTTTTGCGTGTACACCACCGCTGCCTGTGCCAGGAGTGCTGATGTCACTGGAATGGTGACAACGCTGGCGATGGAATTAAGAGTCCGCACCGCAGCCACCCAGCCCAGCATCGACAATACCCCATTAGCTGATAGCCCTGACTGAGGGAAATAACGCTGCCCATTTCCCCCATTTGGCGCCGGTGGACCTGCGAGCACGCATGTTAGGACCCAGGGGATTATCAGTAGGGGGGCGTAGAAGAGGAGGAGGTAAATAGAGCGCTTCCGGTATCGTAGAGGAACTAGCGGCGGTGGTGGCTTAGGAGGGTGCTCTGTCATATTAGCTCTGTCGGAGGCTTGCTCAGGACGGTCTCCTGGGTCATCGAGACAAGATATCTGCTCTTCGGGACTGGTGTTATGCTCTGTTGAAATCATCATTAATCTCCAAGGTATTATTTTATCTCAGCTTCCAGATGGGATAGATATTATGTATCTGGCCGCTCTTGGCTGCTGGGATAATTCCGTTTCAGCCTCATTCAATGTCACCCATGATGGGGCTAGGATCGACAAGGCTGTGTACCGGTTTGACCAATGAAGGAAAATCGATTGTGTGATGAATTTCACTTATTCTTGACAGATGCAGGCTGGGGTCGGGCCTATGTCCTAAATATTGTTGCATCCCGTCTTATTAGGGGTCCACCCCGCATTGTGTCGGGCTATACCCCGTATCCAGCATTTCGTTCTCTCACAATCCAATCGGAATACACATCCCAAATTAACACAGCCGCTATGGCTAATTATAAATACATATTCAATTCCCTTCTAAATTTCTCAAGGCTGACTACAAGGATATTCCGATCACCTATAATATCGGGGTGAAATAGATATGGCTTCTGGAGAACAGATGGTACATATGTCATGGTCACTGAATAAGGTATAATGCTGGTATGAGGGTGAAGAATGTGAATTAATGGCTGTAAAGCGTTTGAATTCCAAGATAAGGTTAGTCTAAATGAATGGGAATACACTGAGCGGTAGTGTGAAGTATATATGTGGTATGTTGTTTTCTTCATGTCGGGAGGGATGGCGGCCAGAGCCGTAAGCCTCGGAAAATTTTCCAGCATCCCAGGACTGGTTCGCGACAAAAAATTTTCAAACGAGTTTATCAAAGCTACTGGTGGGCTTGCGGTAGACCATGCGCCGAGGTGGGATATTATCATAGACTGCCGGATGATTGGGACATTTGTAAAATGTAGGTATCCCATCGCGTTGATCGAAAGGTTCTGCTACTCTCTTACTATTTTCCGGATGGCCCTGGCCTCCGACCTGATAGCTTCAAATCCATCATCAGGTAGGTCTTGGAAGCATTTGACGTCGGGGGATGCAAGTCGTTGTAGTGGTCGCATATCTTAATATCGCGACATACTGGTCTCGGGCATTTCCAAAATGGTATGTGAACAGAAAGTGGTGACATTCTTGACGTCCGAACCTTGGAAACACAGGTACATATGTATATAGTCTTAGTAATTATTAGATGAGGTTTGGAGTAGTCCATGGACATAATGCCCAGGTGTGTCCTCCTTGCCTTATCAGATGGGAAAACCTTGGGAAAACCCCAAGTTTGGAGGTAGACCTCCGCAATGGGCCGGGTTGGGCCCTACCTTCAAAGCCCAACCCAACCCACGGCCCATTAGTTGGGGTCCATAAGGCCTCCAATAAAGCCCATCGGTATCTAATAAATTGGCCTCTGTAATCGCTATATTTAGACCTTTTCTACTGATCATATGAGGTTTAAATTTGGAATATTAGATTATAGTAGCTATATCAGTATATAGTCCAATTTTAAGTAAGATCTGAGGAGTAGAGGGCGAGATATCGCAGAAAGTATTGATGTTGATGTTCTGCTATCAGATATATATTTTTGATATAGGTAAGAGTACCACTACTTTCTCGTGAACCTCTGTAGTTTTTAAAATTTCTTTACACACGTGTTTTTTTCGCGCTGTTAAACATGATATCAAGAACTAAATAATAATAAGCTCTAAAACATTTAAATGAATAGAATATTACCTTAGGGATAAGGCCTAGAAACGCGGGTAAAACGGAGCGTAAGTAAAAAAATAGAAAAAGGAGGTTCAACTTTGCTTGGCACCATATGTTTGTATTGTTTGGGGCCCACTGGTACGGGCGACTAAGTATGCCACGCTCGGGCCCCCACTAAAGCCCAATGGGCTTCTACCCTAGGCCCAAAGCCCAGCCCATTTGCGGGTTGGGGTGGGTTGGGCCCTGGGCTTTATGAGCTGGTGCGGAGGTCTAGTTGGAGGTCAAGGGCATAATGTGCCAGTAGGTAAGACAATAATGAGAAGTAGAATAGCCAAGGATGATGATCGCTACACTGTGCTAGAAGCTAGATAATTGAAATGCTCTAGTTGATTTTTGATTTTAGTTAGGAGCAGGTTCGCGGAAGCTGCTGCGCGGTGACTGTATTCTGTATTCTCTCGATGAATTTATATTGCAACCTATCTTTATCTGTGTTGATGAAGCCCAGTGAAACGGTAAGCAGCCAGGTCAGAGAGGGCAATGTGTAGAAATTCGCAAGAAATGCTAATTTCTTTGGTGAGAGCAACAAACTGCGGATAGTTGTTCGAGGCCTCGAACAACAGTCCAGTTTACCATCATTAAAAGCAGTGATTGTAGAGTACGACGTGGTAGCAGCTCTATACTGTGCCAAGAACCAAGTATTTCCATCATCACAAGAGTAGAATGGTACCATTTACGCGCACGGACTTCTTGTTGGCGTTGGTGAGAAGCAGGACCTTAGCCTTCACAAAGCCCTGGGCAGCATCAGGATAGGCCCGGATGATAGCACTATTATTCGCGTGATCGGGGAGCTGAGTCTTGAAGCGGGAGGTACCGTAAGTTCTCGCCACTATGTTAGAGAGCGCAATGATACGGTGTTAAACTCTACCACTGGGGCGCGGGTTTACCATCAATGTACCCTTCGACAACTCAACAATCTTATTCTTATCCATGCCTTTGCCAATGGGCCTACCCATTTACTAGATGTCCCATCTATTCGTTGTAGACGCTACATGCTGGTTGATGATCGAATCATCGGGTTGAACGACAGTTTTGGTAAATAAGGGGGAGATTAGGCTAATTCGGAAGCTCCGTATGTAGGTAAACTACATAGGTAAGTCCCATGTCGGTTGGGATCGAGACTTCAGAGCCAACAACGTCGCGATTGGGTTATCAGTGCCAAGGATGCCGCCGAAGACGCCCTGGTCGTTAGAAAACACGTGGAAGTTCGAAACCTTCCGAGCCTCGCGGTCATAGATGTAGTCAAGATTGCTAAAGCCGTACTGGAGGGCCGTGGAACTCTTGATGTGGCCGTGGGAGATGAAGGTGGGCTCATTCCAGGTGGCGCCATTGTGTGTAGAATGGAATTGGATTATGGGAGTTTGGAGACGGGGAATCTCCTCTATCGGTACTGCCATCGTAGGATGCGAGGATGACGTAGTTGCCTAAATAGGTCAACACAACAGCCCGATACTGGGCGATGGGTTCTACGCCCTTGACGGCTTGGTTCATCTCAGGTACCGCTTCTCTCGCCTTTTGAGATACTGCATGAGATAGAGAGTTCGAAGGTTCGATAGCGGGTTAGAGGATTGATTTGATGAGACCTATCTCGTATCTTGTTCCGCAGAGGCCATGGAGCTTGGAAATATATTAATTAAATTAGCTTTACCCCGGGATATGAGGCGAACTGTCCTGAAATCGGCTTATCCACATCTCCACAGATAACGCAAATGAAAACGGAAGAGAGCCTTTAGTTTCGACGGACGAATACGTCGGATCGACGCATGCACCCCCTGCCCCTGGTTTTCCGAGCCGATCGCTTCGGAGTTGATCCGATCGGCTGGACTAGGGGCAAAGATCTTAATTGGGCATTGATTTGCACCAAGAGATTTCCAAGACACAAGTGACTCGAGGGACTCAATTTATGCTTCACGGCTTGCCTTGCTGCGTTCACTTGTAGTGTTCCTGGATAGTTATCTACTCCATATGGGATACCATATTTTCCACATTTTCTATAATAACTGTTGATGAAAATCAAGCTATTATGTACTAGTTACTCTCATCCTGGTGTGTTTGTAGATATGGCGACTGCCAAAATGCCCCCAGATATCTACCCATGGTGCGTGGTATGAGCTTCGACCCCTTGTCTCGCGATTGGATACACTAGGGTTTGGTTTGGTACTTGGCAGTATAGCTTAAAAAGAGAAATCAGTGAAACACAGGTTCAGACTCGCATACCTGATCTTGAACGTTTCTAATCTTGTATCTCCTCGCGGAAGTATCAAACCCGATTGGTTGCGTACACTAATGCTAATCATGCTAATCTTCCTACGAGAAGCTTTCTCGAACCGATAGGCTATACCAAAGCGGGGGGGGGGGGGGGGGGTTTAAGTGAACCCAGTGAAAAGGGCCTACCCGTGGGGGGGATTAAGTGAAACCAGTGAAAAAGGACTATCCGGTCCAATCAGATGTGCCTGTGCTCTATCAGGCAACGGCCCAAAGGAAGCTCCGATGCTCGCTTCACGAGATCCGGGACCAGCTATGATGGTGGTAGATTGTGTATTAACTAGCGCCATGTCTCCGGGGAGTGTAACTTGGCTAAGCGGGGTACGCGGGAATCCTGGGACGAGATTGGCTGTTTAATTAACTTCCAAGGTTACCCCAGATATTATCAAGATACTATTAGGGGGCACTGTCTTATCCGAAGAGGAATTTGTGGGACCATAAGATCTGGGGCATTCCCTCAATAGAAAAACATTCCTACCATACCTTTCTCTTCAACATTCTTGCATTCCACAGTCGCAGTGAGGCGATCAACACTCACTATGGCAGACCAGGATATCAAACACTCTCCCAAGGGAGATATTGATGTATCATCTGAAAAGGATGTCGTGGAAGGTGTCGTGGTCACTGTTACCAAAGAAGAGGTACACTCAACCTGAATATTCCCTAACGGAAGAACATAGCTCACAATTCACTGTTTATAGAATGACCGAATTAAGAAAAAGACCGATATGGTCATCCTCCTCATCCTCATCTGGGTGTATTTCCTACAGGTGAGATACGCCGAATAACCTTGGAATGCCCAGCCTATTACATATGATTCTCATTAACGGTCTATTAGATTTTGGATAAAGGTGTTTTGGGAACGGCGGCGTTGTTCAATCTCCAGTCTGATATGAAGCTAGTGGGGAATCAGTATTCCCTCATAGGAACGATTGCTCCCGCCGCGCAACTGGCGTGGCAGCCATTCTCCGCATACATCCTGGTCAACGTTCCTCCCCGTATTCTCATGCCAACTATGATTCTCGGATGGGGTATCGCTGTGACCTGCATGGCTGCCTGCAATACCTTCGGAACGTTTATGGCCGCTCGTTTTTTCATGGGTCTGTTTGAAGCTGGATGTATGCCTCTGTTCACCATCCTCACCGGTAGATGGTACCGCCGCATTGAACAGCCGATTCGTATCGCCCTTTGGTACTCTGGTAACGGCACAGGTACTATGGTCGCTGCTTCTTTGGCTTATGGCCTTGGCCATATTCAATCTGATATCTTGAAGCCGTGGCAGATGTAAGCTACTTGAGATCCCTATACTTACAAACACCGCTAACTAATGTATAGTATTTTCCTATTTGTTGGTCTTGTGACTGTCGTCACCGCACCCTTCATTTACTGGAAGCTGGACAATGACGTTACTACTGCCCGTTTTCTTACCGAACACGAGCGACACCAGGCTGTGGAGCGTCTCCGTGCCAACAAGAATAGTTCAACCTCCTACGAATTCAAGTGGTCACAGGCTCTTGAGGTTTTCCTAGAACCTAAGAGTTGGCTTTTCATTACGATGGCCTTGCTCCCGAACATGGGCTCCGCCTTGCCTAGTCTTTTCGGTCCTCTCATTGTGACTGGTTTCGGTTTCGACAAGTTCCAGGCTGCCCTTCTCAACATTCCCTTTGGAGCTATTACGACGATTGTGATCATTCTTAGCTGCTGGGCCTCCCATAAGGCGAAGCTCAAGTCTGCTGTTTTGGCTGCTTTCATGCTTCCAGTGGTGGTTGGAATCGCCATTCTTTACGCGCTTCCACACGATGATAAGAAAAACCAAGGACCGCTGCTCTTCGCATACTATTTGACTTCGTTTATCTATGCCGCCAATCCCCTTCTTCTCTCTTGGGTCGTTGGAAATACGGCCGGTGCTGCCAAGATGTCCACCATGGTTGCATTTTACCAGGCTGGTACTTCCGCTGGTGCCCTCTCGGGTCCCCTTCTGTTCACCGCTGATCAGGCTCCCGGGTATCTTGCCGGAACGCGTGCTGTGCTCGGTCTCTTCATTGCATTGCTTGGCTGCGTGGGTATTCAGTTCCTCAACCTTTGGTTCTTGAACAAGCAGCACAAGAAGCGCAGAATTGCGAACGGTAAGGCTGGTGATATCAAGGATACCTCTATGACCACTGAGGTTGGCGTCGATCGTAATGTTCAGGGCGAACAAGGGGAACAAGGGGAGGAAGTGCCCTTCAAAGACATCACGGACAAGGAAAACGACGAGTTTGTGTATATCTATTGATGGGAAAAGATCTACACCCAATTGGGGAAACGAGGGGAAAGCTTATGTGTCGGTTGTGCATATCATAATTATACGTCTTAATATTGAACATTGAACAAGGCATCAATTCAGCCTGGAATTGGAACATGTAGAATTATCCTCGCCTGATTGTTCGATATCTTATGAGTAAAACAGTATTAGGTACATAGTAGAAGTCATGAAAGAGGCCGGGTGATCAATCGAGGCTGTGGTTATATGAGACAGCCCTATTTTAGACGCGGGCCGTTGATGATTCGGCCTCCAGCAAATATCAATAGTTCATTATTTCTCCTTTTCCGTCCCTCTACCCAGCAGTTGATCTTTCATCTTTTCTAATCTGTTCCCAGATTCGGTGGAAACGTCATCTAGTCGTTTGGATAACGCTCGGTCCGAAGATCTGGTATACTTGTCAGATATCCAAGGGTTCCGATATTCAAAGGAATCTGTTTACTCACGTTTCGGTCCATGAATTTTCGTAGTCTGCGCGGATTTCTCTATCCGCTTCTTGCTTGTCCACGAGATCCTGAAGATCTTTGGGGAGAGGACTCGAAGTTGTCTCTTTGTTCTGGTCCTTACCAAGCTTATTCATGATGTTCTAGTACTGTCAGGATTCTATTCTGAGTTCAACTTTATGTAACTCGATAGTGGTTGTTCATACTAACTTTTATTCAGGTGGTGAGGTATATAACTAACATTCCCGAGGTCGGAATGTGGCGATGTATCGGCGGTCACTTTGGGGTCCTTGACGTCACTCAACGGGAATCTGATTGCCACCTGAGTTCTTGGATAGAGACTACAAGGTATTTAATTTTGAACACGATGAATCTCAAAATTTACAGCAACTATAAACCACCAACATACACGTAGACAGTGCAATTGGTTCGATATATATATTATACTTCATGCCATGGGATATTATTTGCCTGCAGACTAAACTATTTGGTATTCGATATTAGGGTATAAATACCCTGACTCCATATATCGAATGTTAGCGGTTGTCACTAGCTTCATAGAGCCTGCTTAAAACCATGTAAGGAGTGGTAAAGCCAACATACACGACATACAATGGACAATTTATTTACAATACGAACAGTTTGAATGTCAGCAGATATAGCCAAATGCTATGAAAGCCAGCCCGTCCATCTATTTCTTTTATTTGGTAGATCTCAGTTTGATTATACATGTGATCACTAGTAGAGTGTATATGTAGCATCGATATCCTCCTGCGTGTGATAAACCGAGTCAATCCAAACATTCTTAATGGACACCATGACAAGGTTGAGTATCAGAGCAACGGATTGAGACATTAATTCAAAAGACAAGTAGTGTACTTCGGAAAGTGCAGGAAGAGTAAATGTGGCCGAGCGGGCTGCAAAATCCAGGCTGAACGACATCTGCATCTCACCAACAGTGAACCAAAGAGGCATTTCTCTACTCAAGCCAGGCTTATCAGACATAGTATTCTCCCATTTAACGTGGATATGAGAAATGGTCTAAGTCTGTAGTCTAAACCCACATTTTACCAGTGTGTCCAGGCTCGTAGTCTCTCTGCTGAGAACAATCGTCCAGGAACGGGGCAATAAGATCATCCTTGAAATTAGCTGCTTTGTAGAATTCTACCGTCGTGTTCTTGTCCATTCCACAAATCGGTCCACACCAACGTGCCTTCTCGTTGAAACCGTATGGTTTAAGGATATCCGCCTTCCTCGACCATATGTAGTCGGGATTGTTGACGACGTTGCTAATGTCACACACGGGGATAGTCCAGAGACCTTCCATGCTCCAACCCTCCGTATATGTATTAGCGCTGGAAGCAAAGATATCAGCTATACGACTGCTCAAGGTTGACGCGTCGTAATGGTGGCCAGCGGCCCTAAAGGACTCGAGGGAGGATTTGATGACGTCCTAGGCAGTATACAACGTTAGTATACGATACAATATATACGTGTGGGTATCACATACCGTGGGCTTAACCTGAGGCCAGACTTTCTCATTCTCGCCGCCGCCGTCCGCCTTAATGATAGGAGATTCGCCCATACGATCGGATCCCCAGGGCCGAGCCATCCATCCGTCATAGCCTCCCATCACGTTAACATCCCTCTGCCAGTAGTATAGGTATCAAGACCTTTTTGATATTCTCCCAAATTCTTGGGTAGCAAGACTAGCAAGAGCCCGATCATAAAAAGCCCCCTCGGGTTCCTCGCGATCCCCCATAGCTTGCCATCCACTAGGGGCCGTGTAGCCAAAGGACTATCCATAAAATAGGAATTTAACCCAACTGGGATAAAGTGTTACTAGTCCTAATCGGACAGAAGTTGGTTGCCTAGGTGTTGGCTACGTGAATTAGCTTCCGCTATTTAATCCCTCACCATCACTTGCTTCCTTTTTTCCTCTCTCTTAACTTATACATTGTAGTTGGAATGAACTCTTACTTTATTGATTCACCTGGCACGTAACAATCCTCAGATGTCAAATTAATTCATGTCTTTGTCAGATATGTGGAAAATCCACCCAAGGTTGATGCGACTAGTCGAACATTATCGACCATGAGAATTTGAAGACCCGCTTCATGTTGTACCTATATCGAGTGAGCTCCATGTTCAATGGACGGGACAACAAGTTATCCTTGAACTTACTTTAGCATGCTCAGGGATGTTGTTTAAAGGGCCATATGACCCACAGACAAGACCCGATCTTTTAACATAACCCACAAGTCTCGGGCAAAGAACCAAGGTCTCCGAAGCAAAGACGATGCCGGTCAGATTCCATCTCTTCGAGAAACGGACCGCAGCTTGAAGACTACTAGCCCTCATCTCCATGTCCGACATTGGTAGTTTGCCGGCGTTCGTGATAAACAAGACAGGATATGTATCTTGCTTTTTTGCCAAAAGAATACAAATCTCCGGCGAAAAGGAGGAGAGTATAATGGTCCTTCTACTACTGACACGGAAGATCTGGTCGAGTATCCGATCAATGAACGTGTTAATCTCGATACCAAATGGTCCGACACCAGCCTCGACAGCTTCATGAAGCCTAGGATACTCTTCATAAATGTTAGTCTAAACCGAAATTCTTATTTAGAATACCAGAGACACACTTATCTCAATATTGAAGCTGATTGCCTCTGGTAGCTCCGTAAGTAGCTCTTCTAGCGTGGTGAAAGAATCCTGCACTGGATGCCCCCTTGTGTTTGGCTTGAACCCTTTGTTCTTGAAATCCACAGTGTGCTTCATCCTGTCCTGAATGCGCATAGTCTCTTGCTCTTGGTCCTTTGTTAATGAACGTGAGCGTAATCTGTTCCTACCGGGGCTATGTGATAGATCATGTGAATTTGGCGTTCCTAGCACCGAAACTGGTTCGCCTCTTGGCGATTGAAGTTCGCTTGTATACATGAACTTTAGAAGTTAGAATCAGAAATGTATAATCTCTTGAGGAACGAACCTGTTCGAAGCTTAGATCATGAATAGGAATGTCGGTTCTGGACTCGCTTAACGAGAAGTCATGATAAATAATAGGGCAAAGGTCGCGAGTCAGTTGGATATCTGGGTTTATATTAGTAAAAGGGAAATGGGAAGTTTTGTATAAACCTGTTATTACCGAACTGTTATAAGTTAGATAATATACACTTCATATCTAGGACCTCTAGGGTTCTTACCTCAATATATAAAGCGCCCAGCCTCGCGGTAGAAAGAAATGACTGTTATAGATGTTAGTTAGCGGAATATCGTTATGTGAGTAAACATACCTCTATGGTATTCTCTCCTAGCTGAAGCTAGCTGCGATTCGCAGTGTTTTGACTAAGTCCTTGCTAATATTAGCGATACTATGTCTTAGGGTATGAACCGCCGACTTTGAATGGGATATATACCTCTATGACCGACGAGTTGTAGCCCTTCTGTTGATATTCGCTGCTTAGCTAACTAGGTAGGATCTGAACCCGTAAATAGCTTGGTAATCACGAAGGTAAAAGTGACAGTTCCTATAATATCTATTGTATCCTTTTCTAGAATTGGAATAGAACGCTCTCTGATAAGACTCTCACAGTTTGCCCTAAAGTAGTCTTTTTCACCCTCTAGTAAATAACTAGCACTGCCTATTAGCTGACACGCCTCCTAGGACGAGTCTATAGGGTAAAACTTGAAAACTAGACGGGCCTCACTAGTGTTAGTAATAGGGAAGATGAACAGTTCGTTAACTATATCGCTTGGTATAGGCAATTTCACGCGGTGTATGGTATTCTCTACTAAGATTGAGATATCTATTAAAGCGGTGTGTTTCGGGGAAGGGAAAGCTCCTAACGAGGTGTCTTTAAAATCTACGGCTTTGGTGTGCTTACCGTTGCGTAAAGTGCTAAGATTGACAATGATATAATTTTCGCCCGCTAAAAGATAGGAGACGCTTGAAGACTTAAGCTTTAATAGTATATTGGTAGGTCTACCAGTAATGTGATAAGTGTCCTATAACTTTAATATTTTAGCTATATAGAGATGTCCCCTTAAAGTAGTATGCTCTTTAGCAGTCTAACTGTAATAATTGTATAAGTCCTAGCTCGCTCCTACTTGTAGAAGAAGCTCGATAATGGTATAGTGACCTTCTATACAAGCGATAAACAATGGAGTCTAGCTATATAGATTTTTAGCGGTATCTATATAGACATTTTTAGAATATTATAGCAGAGTATTAATATAGTCGCTATACCTAATCCGAGCGGCGATATATAGTGCGGTCTCTCTATATAATAAAGACTTGTGTAAGTCGAAAGAAGCTTCTATAAGGAGGAGCATAATTTTATTATATTTATATTTAATAGCTAGTATCAATATATTATTTAAACTCTTTAAGAGCCCTATAACTTAAGCGTTCTAGCCACATTTAATATCTGTAACTAAACTTTCTAGAAAGACTTTTATAACTTTAAAGAGGTTTTTGATAATCGCGTAGTAAAATGGAGTTAGTCCTTGGTAGTCTGGGGTTAGAACTACCTGTGATATACAGCCTAGGCCCGAATCTTAAGAATAGTTTACAATCGATTGATATATGGAAGTTATACTATTTAGTGTAGTATAATAAAGGGTAAGATGACTAAATGAGTCTTTGTTGAATAAAACCTCTTTTGTATGAGAAGTAAGACCTTTGATTGTAGAATCGAATATAGTACTATGTCTTGGCTTACAATAGAGAGTGTTGCTATTTAACTTATCGCTTATTTTTGAAGCTTGTAGTTGCCCTTCCGTGATAATGATATGGTTTAATAAATCACGATTAAGCATAGTGCTATTATTGCTTAACGTTTGTGATATTAAATATTGAAAGGAAAGTTAAGAGTGATAGGTAACTGTAAGCTCTACTAGTTGGTAAAGAAAGGCTTTAGGCTCTTGCTCTAGGAGAGGATGGCGTAAAAAATGATTAACTGGATTGGGTAAGGCTAAATGGTCGTCCCTTCGGATTGCGTGATATAGTGTAGAATATGGGGCTGCGAGGGGTAGGACTTTATCTAAGGTAACTTGGTTAAGCACTGTATTCACTATAGAGGGATTGTATATAGTGGAGGACGCTTTAATAACGTTATTTGTTAGGACCTCCGATCGGCTTCTAAAGTTCGTATTAGGCCTTGACAAGTCCCGCAGCACTAGGCCCTTGGTTCGGTGCTGCAGCACTAAGGCTTAGCAGCACTAGACACTTGGTTTGGTACTGCGGTACTACAGCGGGAGTGCTACAGCACTGTAAACCATGCAAACACAGCTAGTCTCGTGATATACATAAGTTATATAGAAAAGCTAGTAATTTTGGGGTATTTTGTTTACAGTTTTTCTAAAAATCTGGAAAGGGTCATAACTCAATATTAGATCTATTCAATTATTTACTCTTTATTTACTCCTCTTAGTATATATATATTTATTATTATCTCTCTAACGCTTCCGTTCCCTATATAGACGCTAGCTATTACTTTAAATAATTCTAACTACTAAATACTAGTAAGATAGAAGCTTAACTAAGTCTACCTCCTAATCTATAAGTAGGTTTTAATCCTAAATACTAGGTAAAGTATTATAAACTTACTCGTCTATATTATCGGCTTTAGACTCTACCTCTTTATTATTACTAATAGCGACTATATTATAATTAGATAGTTAGGCCTCTACCTCCTTATTAGCCTCTATCCTCTTACCTAGGTCTTAACTTTCTATAGATAGTTAGCCTTAAGTATAGTTAATATTAAACTATATTATATAGCGAAGTATTATTAGGTCTTAAATAGTTATTATATTTAGAGATCTATATCTATAATAGTAGATATCCTAAGCTAAACTAAATAAGCGCTTAACCCCTATACCTATAGTAGGAATAGAGAAGATATCCCTAGCTAGTACTATAAGAGTTAGAAACTAGGTCTTATATTATCTCTAGAATTAGTATAGGTTATTAATATCAGTTCCTAAAGTAATTAGTATATACTATAGTTTCGGGTTTTATTATATATATATAAAGGTTAAGATAAGCTATTAACTCTTCTTACTAGCTAACCTTCTCTTAAACTATTAATTTTAATTAGGTCTATATAAGTAGGCTTAATATACTTCTAATTCGCTATAGAGCCTTACCTTTATCTACTAATTAAGTTATAGGTTAGTATTAGAAGTATTACTTAAGGTAGGAATATAAGGAGCTTTTATATATAGTATACTAGTCTATATTATTACTAGCCTAATCTACTCCTTTAAAGTAATCTAGCTTATATATAGGGGTAAGGATCGTCCTTATTATATAAAGATATCTATAGACTTCTTTAATATCTTTATAGTAAGTTATAAGTTTCTATTATCCTACCTTTAAAGTATAAAGTATTATCTTTTTCTATAGAACCTTCTTCTAAATTAAGTATTTCTAGGAGTCTTTAAAATACCTAAATAGTCTATTATATACTTCGAATATATAATAGATAGTAATATCTTTAACCTTAAATAATCTAACTATCTATATATAAAAGGGTTTTATAATATAAAGAAGTGTTACGGAACTACCCGTCACCAATCGATGGTACCCTACCGGGTGCACAGATGGGCCACCGAGAGCCAACCAATCTATCTGTTAGTAGATCACGTGTAGTATCTAATACTCTGGTATCCCTAGGTATTTAGGAAAGAGAAAACCCATTCATACTTAGTAAGTAAAAGTATAATTAAGCCTGATTAGACTCCCTGCTAGGAGGTTTCCGGTACGTATGTACTTTAGGGTATCGGATATTACCTACACTAGGAATCGCTATATATAGAACTAGGGACACGTGACTGTGACTCCCGCGTTAACTTTAAGAAGTATACGTAGGAGTATATAGCGACTCTAGTAGTGACTTTAGGGAGTTACGCTAGGAGTAGGAATTGAAGGATATATAAGGACACTTATTTATATACTTAGTTCAGTTCTTTATCTTTAATTATATATTATTACTTATATTTACCTTTTAGACTACTATAACTCTTTACTTAATTATAACTTAATAATACTTACGAGTAGACTAATACCTTGGTATAGATCTACTCGGCGCTCTTACTAGTATCGTTCCTCGATCTCTTAATAGGACTTAGGCTATAGTAAGGCCTTATAGGTAATAGCTTAGTTATAATAGATCGTTAACGTTAGATATATAAGGAGTATTAAGGTAAGTATACCTAGAACCTATTTAACCTAACTGTGACTAGTTAGTAGTATATAATATATTAAAGACCGTTTCGAATTAAGTTTCGAGTTATAACTACTAATATATCTTAACTTAGAAAGAAAGTCCTAACTAAGCCGGTCTAGGATAATAACCCCAATTCTAATACTAAGAGAGATAATAGGATTAAGATACTAAAGGAGTAGGTGAAAACTTTGTTAAATAAACTTTAAGAGTAAGAAAAGTATAATGCCTAGGTTAAGGACTATCTAGTATAAATATATGTCTAAGTCACCGCTTTAGTACTAATTAGTACTATTTAAGGGCTAGCGTTATCTAAGGCTAAGTGTTTCGAAGGAAACTAAACTAAGCTTCGAGGATTCTTTATTTAGATAGATATATACCTTAATGTGAATAAAGCTAAGCTTCTATCTAAAGCTAGTAGGGTGATTTTTATATTAACCTACCTATATAGATAAGTATAGAACTAGCTTAAACTATATATTCGAGATTATTATAAGAAGGTACTAGGAGATTAGTCTATAACTACTATAGATATCTTCAGTAACTATAATAAGTTCTGCTAATATCTCG